CGGTGTTTATTATTAGCGATAGAGGGATAAACTAAATAAGAAGATTCTAGAAGAGTCTCTACCGACTTATAAGGGTAATATAGTATCTAAGTACCGCCTACTATCCTTAGATAGACGGTATTTCGGAGAGGAATAACTAAGAGATTTAGGTATACCTTCGTTACTATATCGATTAGGCCTAATCGAACTAGTCGGATTAGCTACCCGTAGCGATATTAGCGCTTAATAATAAGAATAACGCCGCTATAATAGTTAGCCCTTTTTTTTACGAATATAGTTAGGAACCCTCGGCGATTTAAGTACTAGATAACGAGGCGAATAAAGTACGGAGTTCCCCCGAACTCGCTATAAGGGACTTTATCTCCCGGCTAAGTAAGGTAACAGACTTTATATAAACAGCTATCGCCGCTATATAATAACGCGCTAAGGACGTAGCTAACTTATATCGACGACCGGCCGAACGGTTCGAAGTTAGCGATAAGGTATAGCTAAAAATTACGAACTATTATATTACGAGGCCGAGTAAGAAGCTCGACGCCTTATATTATAAGTATAAAGTTACTAAAGTTATTAGCCCTCTAGTAGTCGAACTAAGCGTTCCCTTTACGATCTATCCGCGTTTCTATATTAATTAGCTATAGCGGGCGGGCCTAGACCTAGTGGCCGGTTAGTAGACTAACGATACTTAACCTCCTACGATTATAATTAATAAATAATAAGAATAGCTAGTCGAATATATCCTATACGTACGAAATAAGTAGCGAGGCCACGGGTTATAAAAAAAGTACCTTATAAAGTAAAAAGGCTATTCTAAGCTAACCTAGGAACCGCTATCGAATATTATAGATACGGCCGCGCTCGATAAATTCGAAAAAATTCACGGATTTATAGAATTTTATAATAGTCCCGACTAGAGCGTAGCGAGATCGTAATAGCTACGTAGACTTTCCGCTCTAAATATAGCTAATTTTATAATATTTTTACTCGACTTATAGGCGGGGGGGGAGGAACTTTATTTAAGGCTATATAACTATAGCCGATCCGCCGGGCTACCGTATAGAGACCGCACGTTAAACTTTTTCTTAAAGAATTAAAGAATAAAAATCAACCCCGAAAGGTCCCTCGTACCTAAACTATAGCTATACTATATCTAGGCCCTAGGGGCCGCGCCTTCCTCCTCGGACTCGGGCTCCTTATTAAGGGGATTATAACCCTCGATAACAAGGAGTTATTAATAGGTTAGCCGGTAACTCGTAAAGGGACCGTAAGGACGTGAACTTATAAAGTACTCGTAGATAGAGCGTAATATAGCCTTAATACTAATAAGGCGGTAGTTAGCGTTAGGGGCGGCCCGGGGGTACTATCGTAGGGCGCGCGTAGCGCGTTCGCCTATAGTAGACTATTTATACGTTTCCTAGCTAGTTAGTATACGTTTATTATACGAGGATACGGCAGACATATAGCGGACCTATCGCCTAGGGTAGCGCCCGCGTCCTTTATAGTAATAACGGCGGCTATAAACTCTAGGGCGGTAGGGACGGCCTTAGGAGCGAGCTATAGAAAATATACGTTAATAGTACGAGGGATTAGCGTTTAGAATATTTAGAAATAAGTAAACTCACGGAGATATACTTATGCTTAATATTAATATAATAATAATACTTTTTACTACTAGAGTTTACTCGAGTTAGTAGACTAACCGCACCGAGGTCGTAGGAAGACTTACTCTTAACGCTACGGTAGGGCGCGGCGGAGGGGTTAGCTATAAAGGCACGGAGGTAGCGAGAATATCTAGAGCGTATAAGTAAGGTTCCTATATCTTCCTCGTACTTATATATATAAGAGCTTACGGCGGCGGCTAGGGGGCGCCTACTTCTTGCCTAGCGGCGGTATAGAAGGGGGGGGAGACGATAAGGACTATTATTACGCGTTAGTACTATCCTCGTTAGGAACTCGCACCCTAGGGTTATATAATATACGCGACGGTAGCGCTTAGAGCCACGAGGGCCCTAGGCGGCGCCTTTCTTACTAATAGCTATTATATATATACGTTAGCTATACGTCGTTACTTTAGTATCGAAGTCCTTACTAAGGGTAGGAGAGGTAGCGGCGGTAGCGGCGATAAAGAGTTAATTAATCTACGACGTTAATAAGGCTCTTAGAGTAGCCGTAGGCGGCGCGCAGGGACTACGCGCGCGTAGGATTAACTCACGGGGGCCGACGGGCTAATTAACTATAGCGCGCTACGAATAGGGTTAGTAAGGAGGTCGTAGAGGTATCGCGGGGCTACCGCGGGTTATTAAAGGTATATACCGGTATCGAGAAATAAGGCTAAAGGAGAGAAAAATAATAAGTAGGGAAGGCCACGGCCGATATTATTATAGCCGCCCTTAGATTTATCTAATATTAGCTTATATTACCTTTACCTTAGCCTTATTTCGCGAGGCTAACGGGTGCACACATAGGACGCAGCTATACCACGCGGGGTACTACGAGAAACCGCGGATCCACCCGGAGTGCGAATTAGTATATACAAAAACCCAGGATATGTTCCTAGCGGTAAGGCACCCCGTAGCTATCCCGACGGGCCACCGCAGGCTGGCCTAGAGTTAGTGGGGGGGTAGTGTTACGGTTCTACCAGTTGCTAGCGGCTAGGTACAAGACCCAGCCTAGTTCACCCAGGCACGTGACGCGTGCCCACGAGGACGCACAGACCTCGCAGGGTCTTCACAGGAAAGGGGGACCGTAAATTCCCTCTTCTTTCTCTTTTCCTACCTTATCGTTAGATAGACTCAATCTGAGCTACCAAGTTGTTCCAACACGGCTTAGCCCACAACAAGCGATATAACGAAGATTTAATAATATCGGCGGATTAATCTACCGGGCGGTTAGAACGCTATAATAAGATAGATTAAAGGAAAGTTAATTATATAATTAAAGTCGATCAAAGATTAGATAAAACCACCGAATACTAGCCTCGCCGTATAGACCTAGTATAGTCGCTACGAATACGCCGCGTATACGTAGATACCGAGGACGGTATACGTAAAGAGGGGCGTTCTGTTAGATATATATTATACACTAAAGTTATTGTAGGTATCAGGGGTAGCTAAAGCCACTAGCCCTATGGCTAGGAGTGGCTTAGGAAGCCCCGATTAGGTCACGTGCATAGGGGCGCACTAAGGGAAGAACCTTCGTAGCCGAGGAATACTTCTAGGAAGATCAAGAGATTAATACAGTCACTTAGGACCCCGTACTCGTAGCGATCTAGCTGCGCCCTCCCGACATTATGCACCTTCTCACTCTCTTCATTAAACCCAGTTCTGACACGGTTCTACTAGTTGCTGGCGGCTGGGTATAAGACCCAGGCCGGTTCACCTAGGCACGTGACGCGTGCCCGCGAGGACGCACAGACCTCGCGGGTCTTTATTGGAAACGGGGACCGTAAATTCCCTTTTCTTTCTCTTTTCTTACCTTATCGTTAGATAGACTCAATCTGAGCTACCAAGTTGTTCCAACAGGGCTTAGCCCACAACACTTTAGAAGCACTGAATTCGTAAGCGCTATAGACCCTTATATCAGGCCCCAGAAAGATCCCTGTAAGCTCTAGGGGGCCCCTGTAAGGGTCATATGAGAGGGCCTCGTAAGGCACCTAATAGGGGGCTTCGTAATATATTTATTAAGAAAGGGCTAGGAATTTCCCCGCTCTTCCCTTTCTCTTACTTTATCGTTAGATACACTTAATGTAATCTTGTTGAGGGCTAAGCTCTGTTGGAACAGCTTAGTAGTACGGATTGAGTCTATCTAACGATAAGTTAGAAAAAGGGGAAGAAACGAGGAATACCGTTAGTACCTTATAATCTAATACTCTACCATACTTAATGAAAGCCTTTTATTTATAAGAAAAAACAAACCAAAGAATAAATACCCGCATTCGTCTTAGTATCGCATTCTATTTACGAAGCTCGACCGTTGCGATTACGCTTGACATGCTACGTCGTGCCTGTCGTTGGATGACCCGTCCTCCCCTCTAAAACCTGTTTCGTAAAGTCCAGCTGCTAATTCAAGCTTTTGTGGGGCAGTAGAAGCATCTAATCCACGTAGGCGTCCTGTAAGAAGTTGTGAGGCTTCCCTTGAGATAGCAAGCACTGTCTCAAGATCCTCAACTCCAGTGAAACTGATATTCCAGACTAGGGACTTGAGCCGTTGCTCCAGGACTGACTCAGTCGTGTACTCAGCCGCTAGAGTTCCACGAGTACAGTTGCCATACGCACACAAGAAACCGCTGGAGCCATCAGCCTTCACAGCTGGCATCCAGAGTACCCAGACCTTTTTCTCACAAGTGTTCCCATGCGAGTCGCCACGCTACCGCATTCGTATGGCTTTGGTGCAATTGCAAGAAAACACTCTGACTGATGGAATCGAATGTAAGCGACCATGCACGCGAACAATGGCGAGGGCAGAGTCGTATATATTCGAGTTGTTATAGACACATCCAGCTACCCAAGCCATTGATCGTAAAACGCAGTCACCAATGACGTCAACGACTTGAATCGATTCTAGAGGCGGATCCTCAGTTGTCAAAGTAATGGTACCGCTGAGTTGCCAGTTGACAGCGTGCATATACGTCCTCATGAGCGACCAGTCTGTTAAGTCAGCCTCGTACGTGGCCGATCCTCGAGGATGAATTGAAGCCTGCTGACGGGAGAGAGCCATCATCAGCTCGAAGAGCTTGACACGCATATGGAGGGGTGCATCATCCCAAGTACATGCGATAGCGATACCCTGACTGGACCCGAGAGCACTGGGAACTAAGTGGTGCACGATGCTTCTCGAAGCAAGCCAGAGAATCTGAAACCCCATCCAGGCATAGACAACAGCGGGCGGATTGTGACCTATGACAAGGAAGGTACCAAAGATGCCTACCATGGCAGAGACGGAGTGAAAGTACCACATTATCCGCCAAGCGACACTGTGTCGGACATTAAAAGGCAAGCCTATCAAGATCTTGCCGTCTCCTCCAGGGTTGAGAGCCGAGGGCAGGTGTCCACAAATGGAGTCGACAGTGACGGAGGAAATTTTGTCACGGGAATGACCTAGAGCGATGAGAACCGCACCACCGGTGAACCCGCAGGCCCAACTCACGGTAGAGAACCAATGGAGACTTTCGCTCCCTAGGGTCTTGAGCACAACAGTCTCTGCAATTTTGACGAGAGATAATCCGAGGACGATGGCATCTGCGATCCGGCCGCGCTGGCCCGCAAAATCAGGAACAAATTGGTGGATAGGAATCTCTTCACCCTGTGCCGCTGCCCTGATTGAGTCCAATCCCGTGCCAGTGGACTTGTCGACGTGGTGAATGCATCTAGCAATCGGTGCGGGGGCCTTGTCCGTCGCCGATAATCGACGCATCAATGTCCGCACAGCTGAGACACTTTCACCACGAGACTGTTTTGACTCCATATCATCAGAGTCACCAGCGCGCTGGTTGGTGAAGCCGGTTATGGTAATCATCTTGACGACATTAGATTCCGCCTGCCGTTTCTTCGAAGACTCTCTCGCGTCCAGAAGGACCGAGGACCCGACAGCAGCAAGAACATTCCCGTTCTGGAGACCCATCGCTTCTCGCAGCCAGTGGGGAATTGCACCAGCCAGGGCCGCCTTGGCGACGTGAAGCAGACCAAAAGAGCTCATCGATGCCCATGGCAGACAGCCAGCTGACCGGATTCCGAGAGTGAGCGTTTCAGCAATAGGAGCGCCAATAAGTGTTGCAACGGCTGAGATCTCAACGAGGCCTTTGCCGAGACTCGAAGCCGAGTCGTCTGTGGCAAATCGCCTACACTCGTGTGTCTGATGGGCCATGGCGCGCTCGGATGTGGGCTCCGAATGAGAACTTGGAAATTTAATGATAAGGGTGAGACAACTCTCGAAAACATGACCACGAAGACTGCTGTTGTACTGGGAGCTCAGTGCTTGGCAGGCGCAGCCACCATGTGACCTAGGGCAATGTGCCTTGCCTTGGCTAGGCAGATTGCCTACAGAATCCCCGCTCTTCGGTGATATCGCCCGCCCTTCGGGTGTCATCGAAAAGCAAATCTAATTATGAACGAGGCTTATTGTGTAGTGCCTAGCAGAGACACTCTACAGCACAATCATACAACGTATTCCACAAGTGAGTGATCCACGCAAGCGAGTGGTCCGCCCTCAACTCTTACCCTTAGTCCAACTCCCAAGAAACATAAGTTGACTAACATAGCCCAAGTCAATCGTTAGCCATCGGTATTATATACTTTTGACACAAGTGGAAGCTTCTGCCAAGTTCTCGCGCTATAGCTAATTCTCACGTAGACGCTCCAGCGACGCTTTTTCATAAACGAATGGTTCGCGCCGCCTGCATTTGTCTGCCATTTCCTTAACCTTGGAAATTTACCTCTCTAGGTATATAAAGCTGGAATTGAGTTTATTTAACAATAAGTGGCACCAGAAATGTCCATCCAAAGCTAGGGAGAAAAGAAGAGAAGAAGAGCTCAGGGACGCTTCCCGCCCCTTCAAAGGGACTTTGTAGCGGATTCACTATGGGCTAGAATTAAGGGACGCTGATCTTCTTGCTGCGGTGGATCACGTAGAAATCCTGCCCATCCTCGGCTTTTTTAACCTTGTGAACGACAGGCCGCAGGAAGCGTGGTACGTGGTTGTCGATGTTGTCGTCAATGTCGACCAAGATGTCGTTGAAAAACTTGAAACGGTTCCCGATCTTTTCCTTCATCGCTGCCATCTGCTTGGTAGAATTCTGCAAGATGGCCATGATTCCTTGCTACGGTGTCATGTCAGCCCAAGCGTCTCAACGCCTTGGGTGCGGTTGTGAGCCTGACTAATCCGCCGCGCGCATGACGCGCCGCAGCATGGCGTGATCGAGGTAGAAGTCGTCGTCGAAGTTCCGTTAGCAAACAGAGATATGAGGGTGTTCGGAGCGCAATCGTACTTGTGAGCACCCCGTCCGCGGGCACTGGATAGGGTCGCTCACGAGCAGGTGGTCCAGGATCGTCTTCTTCTCGAACGCGTGCTTGCACCTACAGTTGCGGAATGGCTCGGCTATGACCTGCTGCGCCATTGGACAGATGAGGCTGACAACATCTCCCTCCACGGCTATGTTCTCGTCCTCGCTCTCGGTGCCGTCGCTGCCTACGTCCTTGCCACCCCACCATGACGGGGTTGCCGCGGGCGTTGAACCAGCAGGCATACATGCCAGAGCTTCTTCAGTTATCGTAGTCGTTTTAAGGGCGTAGCCCTGGTGGGGGGTGGGGGCTGCGTATTTTTGTTGCTTCTTCGCTCGGAGGTCCTGGTACACGGAGAGCGGCCTGTCGAAGGGCTTGGTGGTTTTGTCGTGGGTCTATTGCGGTCTCCTATTTGTGAACTTTGTCTTCGGTTTTAGAGGTGAAAATGGTGGGATGTCAGTGACGGTCGTATGTTGTGCCATTCTGATACGACTTCACGCAGGTGTTCGGTTACGGGCAGGGGATTGTTCGTGAATTCGGCACCCGATGACCGCAGTCAAAATATTCTGCGTAGACAACACACATTTTCTACATTTCCGATGGTAGGTAAACGCTTCATCCCCTAGGTTCGTTTGAGCTCTTAGCTTACGGTATTCTAACAAGGAAACGGTGCAAGTATAGTGGAGAAGAAACAGGACTTGGGTTTTTTCGATACAGAGAATTATAGAGACAAATGAGAGAGATTGTTGGCGTTGTATACGATTCCCCAGGTTCTCTCACGTATCTATCTTTATCCTTCAGTTTTCCGTGTTCCTAAGCCTCTACAACAAGTTTCACGCTAAATAGGGGCTTGCGCTTGTTGCCACAGTAAGATGTGTAGGAGTGTAGGTACTGGAAATAATATTATGCTTGCAATGGTGCTCAATAGACTACATTATACTACCGTAGAAGTCGACACTGGAATCGAGCATATCCACTCAGTACTGAACTGGCTTCGCCCCGATGTCGATCGATGAATCCTCAACGTCGAGAAACGCAGGCTGATGAACTTTTCTATCCACTTGTTGATTAAAGCGATCTCCACGCCACACTTGCAGCGCCTTAAAGGCTCAGCGTACCTAGGTATTTCTCCGTACGGTTTCCGTATCCATACTCTAGACGGAGTACGTACTGTATACGCAACCCCTCAGACCCATCGGATTACTCATCAGAGACCCCTATCCAGGATTCCAGGGACCACCTGATTCTCACCCGCCGCAATGAAATGAGCCTCGATCAGTCCTTGAACGCCCAGGACCTCCAAAGAGCGCAGGAGAAGCACCATGGCGGACATTTTCTACGACCCTAACCTGACGCAAGCTGACAGGCTGGTCCTGGAATGCCTCGAGGGTGACATTAAAACACGCGTCGAGCGCGCCGATACCGATCGGCAGCATGAGGATCCAATTCGTGCCGACCATTTGGGTAAGCCATCCATCCTTGCCCCGATGCGCACGACGGGCACGCCAAGCAAGATTTGTGCGACCGACTGACAGACATCGCCAGATCGCCAGAACACCACCATCGCGACGCTCAATGCGCTCAATGACCCCAAGAGCGCGCACTTTGTGCCGACCGTGCTCAACGGGCTCGACCTGCACACGCAGCCCCTCCCAAAGTGGGTGAATCGATGGCTGCTGCAGCCGTACGTCCGGCTCGCCCAGCCGGTCGTGCGCCACGAAACAGACGTGGTCATGTTCTCGCATCTGCTCCTCTACTTCACCACGTCGGTCCCCAGCGCCCTCTTCCTCTTTTGGCACTTTACGTGGATCCACGGGATCGCGCATACCATTATGCAGCTCAGCTATGTAGGGTATGCTGCTGCCACCATCTGCGCCTGGGGGACTCGCCTGCTGACACACGCAGGACGTACACCCTCATGCAGCATCAGCACATTCACCAGCGCGGCATCCTGAACAAGAGCTTCTGGCTATTTGATGCCGTCTACCCGTACATCACGGATCCCCTCATGGGCCACTCATGGAACTCGTACTACTACCACCACGTCAAGCACCACCACGGTAAGGACGGCTATCCCTGTCTCTGAGAACATTGAAAGGTCATTGCTAACTAGGCCAGTCGAGGGAAACGGGCCAGATGACCTCTCTTCCACCCTCCGGTACCAGCGTGACAATGTCTGGCACTTCCTCCACTACGTTGGCCGCTTCTACGTCCTCATCTGGCTCGACCTGCCTCGGTATTTCCTCTCCAAGGGAAAGACGGGCTTGGCCCTCAAGGCCGCGTCGTGGGAGTTCACCTGGTACGCCACGCTGGCGACGTTGCTGCGGCTCAACAAGCACGCCACCATCTTCGTCTTCCTCATCCCGTTTCTCCTGCTGCGCGTCGGCCTCATGGTCGGCAACTGGGGCCAGCACTGCTTCGTGGACTTTGACGAGCCGGACTCGGACTACCGCTCCAGCATCACCCTGATTGATGTGCCGGTAAGGCTTGTTCTGTCAAGTGTAGACACATGGACTGACTGACTGGACCAGAGCAACCGACACTGCTTCAACGACGGCTACCACACTTCGCACCACCTTAACCCCCTCCGGCACTGGCGCGACCATCCCCTCGCCTTCGTCAAGGGCAAGGACTTGTACGCCTCGCAGCACGCGCTGACCTTTCACAACATTGACTACATTATGATTACGGTGCGTGTCCTGACCAAAAACTACCGCGCCCTGGCCGAGTGCCTGGTGCCCATGGGCGATCAGATCTCCATGACCATGGAGGAGCGCATGGCCATGCTCGAGTCGCACACCCGCCAGTTCACCGAGGAGGACATTCGGCGCAAGTTTCCCAGCAAGGGCCAATGATCAATGATACCATCACTTGCATTGCTTGGCGTTGGAGCGACGGTAGAAACTATACGACGAGTCAGAACAACTCATACACAGTGCCTCGCTTCTGCAAATGTTCTCCGCTCCAATGCAGCAGACACCGCTGGGCCTTCTCATCGCGGCCAACTTTGTGGCACCTTTGTGGATGTTCTCAGGCTGGACAATGCAGGTCTAGTGAGACTGAATTGTATTTATCTCCGTATGCTCCACGTGGGATCTGAAGAGGAGTTAAGTTCCGGGCCGATGAAATTTCGAATGAGAGATTATTGGAGCGAATGCATTAATCTGAACAGCTGGCTCAAAGATCAAAGCGAAATTAGTCGCGGTCCAAGTACTGCGCCAGACATTGAAATCACCCATGTGGACCAGGGGGGTTTAATAATTTTTATATTGTTTGTATGATGATACAGGCCGGGAACTTGTATTCCGTCCCCAGATGACAACTCGCTATCAATCATAAATAGTCGTGATCAAAATCGCTAAAAATAAAAAAAAAAGCACCCAAGGCCGCCAGGGCGCATGGGAGATCGTACTGTTGACAGGGCGTGTCCAGCTCGGGCGCACCAGGCGCTTAGGAGCCGAAGATGTCGCCAATGGGGTCGGGGTAGTCGCAGTCGGAGATGAGACCGTTGCCGTGGCAGCACTGATCGTACTCGCGGAGAGACTCGGACATTGAGTCGGCGGAGCAGTCGGTGCCAGCCCAGTCGGCGCCGTTCTGGTAGCAGCAGGTCTCGGAGGCGGAGACGATGTGGGAGCCGTCAGTAGGGGAGCGGCAGCCGCAAGCGCTGGCGGGGACGAAGAGGCCAGCGAAGGCAATGGCGATGGCGGTGAAGTGCATTTTGATGGTGGTTTGTTGGTGGTGAAGCTTGAAGCTGGTTGGTGTTGGTGGTGCGTGTTTGATTGGGCTGTTTGTTTGTGTGGTTGGTTGTTGATGCTGATAAGAAAAAGAAGTCCTTGAGTCGGAGAGCCTGGATCGTTTTATAGTCAAATCGTCCTCCCAAGTTGATGCCTGCGTTGTCCATCTTGACATCACGTCGTGAGCCTTGGCTCCGAGAGACTACGGGAGGTTCTCACGGCTCTGTGTCTTGAAGATACTGGGGACTCTGTTGCCAGCAGGACATCGCAGACTGTCCATGTTGCAAATCGGGTCCCTGAGTGCCGGTAACGGCAGCGAGTGAGAGCCCAGTCATGACGATCGAGGATCAGCAGGCCCTGCATTAGTGTCGACGCGTCAGGGTGGGCGAGGGTGCCGATCACGTTACTGTGCGGCTGCGTGCGATTACAGTAGTGACAGCCTCGTGAACCTTGAGCCATCCGAAACCTGGACGCTTTCTAAGTAGCGAGATCGAACGGCTTCTGTCAGGCAAAGTGCCCACCAACCTCACAGCCAAGCGGCAAGCCTCAACTGGTAGTGTTGAAGTTCGAACTCAGATCCGCAGTGCCAGTGACCCTCAGCATGTTCATACTGTATGTCTCCGTCAGCATCATCACCATCCCAAGATTCCCAAATCAAGAAAGCCGATGTGCCGGCCGTAAATCCTGAAGGAACATTCAGTCCCTGCATCTGGCGGCGTTGCAGCGCTATAGCGTCCCGACTTGGCAAGAGCTGCCGATGCGGAGATCCACTTGGCAGGACGCCGCAATCCTGGGGAAGGAATTCTTCAAGATCATGACGCTATTCACGGCGAGGGGCCCTGCGGTACCTTTCGTCAGCCTTTTTTGAGCCTCTGCTATGCCACGGCGTCTTGCTGATGATCAGCTGACATACGGCATCGGCGCGGTGTGGGATGACGTATCAACTTGGTCGTGATGCTGACCCTTTCGGTTTCTGTGTTTCAGTCTCGACTACGGCTCTGCGCGCTACTAGTCTAGTAGACTGGGCCTCCTGACGACGGGATCATCATTCGAGTGGTCCCTGAACAGAAAGTGGTGAGCAAGCTCCGGGCAGTGGCCAATTAAGCTTTGGCCATGAAACAAAGATCCTTTTTTTAGTTTACGGTATCTTTCTTCCAGAGTTAAGTGTATCAAGACGCGGGGCCCGCTTGTGTGATGTTTACTCAAACGACAAATTGTGTTCACGTTCCCAAACTAGCTCAATATATGTGCGCTGGCACAATGTTGGAATAGACAAACAACAGGAAGAAGTAAGTAGATGAGCTCCATTTATTTACACAAATACATTACAAAGTCAACAACAAGCATTTGAGCAATGTGAATCTGTGAGAGCGTCTCTGTAGGGTAGGCCTTTCTCTGACTACGCTCAGGTGCGCCGGTCACGGTAGCCGCGTTACGGCACGGAGGATGTGGGGCCAGCTACGGGTGAGCACCACCGGCGCACCGCGAGACAGTGAGCACCGGTGAACAGCGGCCATACGTCAGTGGCAAGCTGTGCTGGGACTGGGACCCGGAGGTGCACTGCGAACGCAAAGTCCATCTCCCGCCGTGGAAAAGGTCTGTTGCGTCCGAGAGCCGCAGGAGGGCGTTTCTGCTAGCGAGGCCTGGGCTTGATGCGAGTCGAAAGACTCGAGGAGGACGCCTAGGTCACGCACCAAGGCTGGTTCAGATTGAATCCAATAATGCTTCATCCCAGCTTTGTCGAAAGATGCCCTCTCCAGGCAGTGTCTCAAGCCATAAGACACTCCTCATCACCATCAGCGCATCCCCCGACCCGCCGAACTCAAACACAGAGGCCGCATGACGCGCCCTGTCCAGAAACCGACGGTGATTATCGGTCCCAAGCGACGTGGCCATGCCGACCCCAAGCAGCCAGACGTCCAACGACCGTGCCTGGCGTGGTTCTTCATCAACAGTACTTTCGAGTCTTTCAAGCAGCTGGCAGACGAGCGTGTTCTGCATGACTGCGTGTGAGAAGTACGTTGGTCCTTGGAGCATGAGCATATACAAAACCATGGCGACACGTAGACACTCGGATATCTGTGAGAGCTCATGAACCGACGAATCATGTTTTGAGCGCAACAATCTGTGTGCGACGAAACACGTGAGGTCGTGAAGCCTCGTGTTAGACATGGCTGTAGTACTCGCTTTCCAAAGGATGTAGCTCAGTCGTATAAAAACATCCTTCACATCACCTGCAATTTCGAGACGATCGAGAGAGGGCACACTATGCTGCAAAGACGCCGCGTCAATCTGCCAGTCCGACAACGTCGGTATGCCGTCGCCAATGCCAGCGTCGTCCTGGGTGTCAAACTGCGGGGCGCCTGTCACAATCATCGAGACCCTGTACACTGTGAGCGCTCCTCGCTGATCCAAAATCTCACAAGACGCACCAGCTGACCATCCTCGCCGTGAGCGGGCTCGTTTGGCTGACGGCGTACATGCCCTTCCTCAATGCCACCAGCCTCTTCACCCCGCCAATATGCACCTGGCTCGCTGCGAGATTGCCCTTTCCGAACTGCACATGAACAAGTCAGCCCTTGTCAATGCTACGACGAGAGAGCTGTTTATCGCCTCACCTCAATCGCAGCCAACGTGATGACAGAATTCATGGTCCCGTCCTGCACCGCGAGCGCTGCATTGTCCACCTTGTGTCGAAGAAGAGCAACCGAGTCGGCCATGAGCATCTCCGAGGTATGAAATCCCTTCTGGGCCAGCAACTCCTCGTCGAGACACGCCGTCTGCAGCGAGACGTGGAACAGAGCCGGATCACCTAGCGCCAGGGGCCACCAGGAGACGAGGAATGGATTCGACGCCGAATCAAGATCGAGGGGATAATATTGAAAGGCTATCTTATGAAGGACTGCGACTGTCAATTGAAAAGGCTTGGTGATAGGCAGATGTGGCGCACCCACAGTTGTAGATCAGTCGTTGTACGTGCTTCCGTGGTAGCCTTGTTACCGGGTACGAGTCGAACGGATCAAGGGCAGCAAAGCTGGCGTCGAAGGAGGGAGCGCCTCCGAACGTTATTAGTGGCGCTGTCAAAGGTGCATTGGAGTAATGGCATTCGACCCTGCGCTTGATACATCGTGAGCAGCGTGGCGTGCTCAAGTCGCAGCTATGCTTGTACTTTGCGCAGGCGGTGCAGGACCGGCGCAACGTCTGGCGCATTGCGAGGTGAGATGACTTGGCCGGCCCTTCTCGGCCCTGACTATGGATAGGTAAATCGCTTGTCATACTAAGTCTGGCGAGAGAGGGATATTGACGAATGAATTGCGCGGACTGCTCGGCTTAACTTGATTCTTGAGGCTCAAGTCTGGATGAGATGCGAGACGCGGCGCTTGCAATTCGGAACTTGGACCCCGCTATGATGGAGGTCGGAGGCTAGTCCTGCTTGGGTCTAGTGAGAATGCATCACCCGCTTGGGTTTTAGCCTCCAGGAACTGCGTGCAGTGATTGGTCGTGCGCCTGCACGTCATGTTCGGAGACTAGTCCTTTTCGGGTCCTACTCAGGAACCGTGTTGACGGGATACCGGACAATGGACATGTGCTAAGAGTCCAGTCCAGGTCGCGCAGTGCTGAGCAATATGGCCTGATATAATGTCACCTGAACGCAACGTGTGCAATAAGAGGAGACCTGTCCGCTAGGAGGAATGACATATGAGACGCTTGGTTGCCAGCTGCGCTGCTTCCCACTCTTCCTGTACCCAGATTGGAGTTTCCGCTACCATGGCTGCCGCAAACTCCAACAACTCGAATTCGCAGCTCTCCGAGCGCCAGCGATGGCACGATGACTCGAGGCCCGCCTGGCCTTTATTTCATGCTCAGTGGTCTGCAGGGCAGATCATACTCACGATGCTGCTGGGCCTAGTCATCTATGATCAAGGTGACTCGGCTCATCTGAAGACAAGGAGACCAGTCACTGACAAAATCAACAGCCATGTACATCTGGAAGAAAGGCTCCATCGCAGGACCGCGGTTTAAAATCCCGCTCATGGGTCCCTTTTTCCAGGCGCTCTACCCGAAATTCGAGGGCTATCTCGAGCAGTGGGCGAGCGGCCCCCTCAGCTGCGTCTCGGTCTTCCACAAGTACGCCCAAGACTCCCCCCATCTTTCCAGACTCATACTCATCTTTCAGATTCGTCGTCCTTGCTTCAGACCGAGATATCGCACACAAAGTGTTCAAGACACCCTCGCACGCCGAGCCGTGCATCGTCCCCGTCGCCAAAGACATCATCGGCCACAGCGCCTGGGTCTTCCTGCAGGGCAAAGCGCACGCCGAGTACCGCAGAGGTCTCACGCCGCTCTTCACCAACAAGGCCATCGCCACCTATATCCCTGTGCAGGAAAAGGTCCTCTCTGACTACTTTGACCGCTTTGTCGCCTCCAGCACGGAGAAGAACGGAGAGGCCCACGAGTTCATGACCTTCTTTCGGGAGATCAACTGCGCACTCTCATGCCGCACCTTTTTTGGTGAGTACATCCCTCAAGAGGCGATCAAGGAGATCGCCAACAACCTGTATCTTGCCACGGCGGCCATGGAGCTCGTCAATGTTCCGCTCTCGTTGTACATGCCCTTTTCCAAGGTCTGGACCGGCAAGCGTGCTGCAGACGCTGTCCATGCCCATTTTGCCAGGGGCGCTGCGATGTGCAAGGCCAACATGGCGACCGGCGCCAAGCCAACATGCATTGTCGACCATTGGGTGCTGCACATGATGGCCTCGAGCAAGTATCGAGAGAAGCTCGCGGCTGGCGACGCAGACGCTGAGAAGCCATCGAATCTCATACGCGAGTTCACAAACGAGGAGATTGGCCAGACCCTGTTCACGTTCCTGTTCGCCTCCCAGGATGCATCCAGCAGCGCCACGACGTGGACTTTTCAGATCCTGGCGCAGAGACCAGACGTCCTCAACCGCATCCGCCAGGAGAACCTCGCAGCACGAAATGGCGACAAGAGTGTGCCTGCCAACCTGCCCATGCTCGAGTCCCTGACATACACCAACGCCGTCGTCAAAGAGCTCCTTCGCTACCGCCCGCCTGTGATTTTCGTCCCCTATCTGGCGACCAAGAATTTCCCCGTTACGCCCGAGTACACCGTCCCAAAGGGCGCCATGATCGTGCCGTCCTGCTACCCTTCACTCCACAATCCAGAGGTATATCCGCGCCCGGACGTTTTCGACCCTGACCGCTGGATCACGGGCGACGCTTCCTCCCAGACGAAGAACTGGCTTGTCTTTGGGGCCGGGCCGCATGATTGCCTCGCGCGCCGATACGTGCCGCTGTCCATGGTGCTGATGATAGGCAAGGCGTCGCTGGATATTGACTGGGAGCACCATGCCACCGAGAAATCCGAAGAGATTCGAGTCTTTGCGACGCTCTTTCCCATGGTAAGTCGTGAGTGTGCTCGATGCTGAGCCAAGCTGATGATGTGCAGGATGGGTGTCCGCTTGTTTTCAAGAAGCGAGTGTAAGGGCAAGCAGTCCGCAGCAAACAAAGATACGGTACACCCGAGGTTCGTCCTTTTGCGGAAGTTTCATTCAAATTAAATGAACAAACCGACTTTGCTCACAACTCGAGGCAATCAGAACTCACGGCCCCAGCCTTCTGCCTCGCCGGAAACGGACATCTTCATTAGCACTGCGTCTGCGCCGACAGTGTGATGGAAAACCTCAGCACCTCGAGTGGATGCTCTTGCGTTAGGCCAATGATAGATAGTCATGAAGTCGAGGGCAGGCTGTAGGAATAGCAAGAATTGAAGGCAACTTGAACTCGTTGATGTCCTGGACCGCGTTCGAGGCGCGTCTGAATCTTATCTTCTGTTATCGATAGCACTATCAGCTCGGCATCGGCTCCGGACCCCGTCCACGTGACACTAAGCGAGCGGTCCCGAGCGGAAGCTCAAGCTCATGACGGCAACGCTAGCCCGCCTGACGCAATGCGGGTAGGCCGGCCTCGGCCCCAATCTCGATAAGGCAGGCGTCAGTCAGTCAGTCAGTCAGTCACCTGCCTTGGTCCTGCTGATGCATGCTCGAGCTCTCGACATCGGGCTCTCGACCTCCATCCCCAACCCTCGCATTGCCTTCTTATTCTTATCTGCTGGGCTCATTGACTGGACTTTTCACTTTCTTCCTCTGCTTTTCATTCGAGCATTGTTCGCTACCTTGTCCGATAGACCGCACGCTTCGTCACGAAGCAGCATCGGGCGCAATGCCCACCAACGATGGGGAGCCGAGCTCTCCCGCCGACGACCGCCTCTCCATCCGCAGCGACCCCTTCACCGAGTCCGTCTCGGACAGCGATGCGTCGTCTTATGCCATCCGCCGGCGTGAGCGCCGCAAAAAGTACGCCATCCGCATGGTGGCCTTCATCGTGGCAAACGCCTTTGCGCTCTGCGCCGGGTCCAACATGGTCTTCTCCATGTACGCGCCGCTCTTCCAGTCGAGATTGCACTATACGCAGCTGCAGGTCAACGGTGCGGCGATTGCCAGCTCCATCGCGCTGTACCTCCCCATCTCCGTCCTCGGCTTCCTCTGCGATCGATACGGTGCGCCGCCGCTGGCGCTGGTGTCGGGCGTGCTTTTTGGGCTAGGCTACGGCATCGCGGCCATCATCTATCAAAAGCTGGACGAGGAGTACCGCACAGTCGGTAAAGCTCATGCCAGCGCGGACAAGACCTACCCGCTCATGGTCTTGGCGTTTGTCTGCATCGGTGCGGGGACCTGCTCGGGCTACATGGCAAGCGTCTCGACCGTTGCCAAGAACTTTGGCAAGGGCAAGTACCGCGGTCTGGCACTGGCGACCCCGATCACCTGCTTTGGGTTGAGTGGCATGTGGTTGAGCCAGGCAGGCACCAAGGTCTTTTATGAGGAGCGGCCGGACGGGACCAGGGGCGACGTTGACGTGTACCGCTTCTTTGTGTTCCTGGCGTTGTTGCTATTCGGCATGGGGGTCATTGGCACATTCACGCTCCACGTGGTCGACGAGGAGGATTTGATTGACGAGGCCATTGAGGAGCTGGAGCACAGTGGACTGTTGGATGGAGGGTCGCTGCTCAGCCGGTCCGAGAGGCACAACTACGGTGCTGCTGGCCCTGCGACGCCGGCCGGCGAGAACGACAGTCCCTTTGACGAGGCCGGGAACGACGACGACGACAACAACAACAATGCCAGATGGAAGAAGAACTGGGTCTTGAATGCCGAGACGAGGCAATTCCTGAGCGATCACACCATGTGGCCGTTTGCCCTGGCCTTCTTGCTAATGATTGGACCGGGCGAGGCCTTTATCAACAATCTAGGCACGGTTCTGGGCACCCTGATGCCTCCGGTCGCATCGAGGTTGGATCATACCGCGGCCGCCACTCATGTCTCCATCTTCGGCATCACCAGCACAATCGCCCGTCTGCTCATCGGCACATTGACCGACCTCCTCGCGCCGTCTCCCAAGACCCAGCATGTGCAGATGGGCCCGGGTCGGCCGTCGTCGCCGCTGGGGCGGATCACCATCTCGCGCGTAGTGTTCATGCTCTTCTTTGCTGTGCTCATGTCGATCGGCCTCCTGTTCCTCGCCTCGGGCGCCGCGCAGAACCACGCGGAACGTTTCTGGGTCGTCTCAGGCCTGGTCGGTGCCGGCTACGGTGCCATCTTCAGTCTGACGCCTCTCATCGTGACCATTATCTGGGGCGTCGAGAACTTTGCGACCAACTTTGGCATCATTGCGACGGTCCCCGCCATCGGCTCCGTCGTGTGGGGCTCCATCTTCTCAAGTGTGTACCAGGCCGGTGCGGATGCCATGCAAGTCGGGCCGGGTCAAGAGGACGACGACGTCTTCTGCTACGGCAAGCAATGCTACAGCCCGACGTTCTGGGCCGAGGGCATCACGGTGCTCGTCGCGTGCGGGCTGTTGTGGTGGGCCTGGAAAGGCAAAGGCGGCTGGCAGCAGCGCGGCATTGTCATTTGAGAAGCTTGCACATCTGATTATTGTTTTGCTGTTTTGGGACTTCGTCAACACTTATCACGGCGTCGGGTCTACATGAACACATACACGTCTGGTGTTTGGCGTATTGGGTGCATGGGAGGCGCACCTGTTCTATTTAACTGGGTGCAACGAGTACAGCATGGGATCGCATTTGCTCTTAGAATCATTTGCGACTTTCAACTACAACACATTTTCTTTGTGGGCTTCACATTTTCAAGTACAATGACCTGGTCATATATCAATAATGCTTGTGACTGCTCGCTTACAGCGATAAATGCATTTAAGCCGACTGAGCCCCAAGATGAACCGTTCTTTCCCATTTTGGAAATCCCTGGTCAGGCTCAGAACTCACATCGAATCGCCAGAGGAGGTTGAGCAGTACAATAACGCAACATTCATCTTTCACGGTCATTTCACCCCGAATCAAGATGGATTCCCCGTACAGAGACGAAATGGAGGTCCTTCATCCCCTCATTCGAGCTGCCTCGACGCTGAGCGAACACATCATCACCACAACCCTGGCGCCATCCTCATCCTCCGCAACCGGCATCGTCCAAAAGGCCGATCACTCACCCGTGACAATCGCCGACTTTGCCATCCAGGCCCTCTTGTCGTCGACTGTGCGGGCTCACTTCCCCAGCGACGCCATTGTGGGCGAGGAGTCGGCCGCGCAACTGCGCGAGGATGCGTCTCTCCTGGACAAGGTGGTGACGGCATTGACATGGCTCGCAGAGCAAGAGGGCGTCGAGGAGGCGGTGACGATACCCAGGGATGCGGAGGCCATCTGTGTCATTGTGGACGAGTGCGGGTCCTCGATACCCAGTGCCGAGCGACGCACGTGGATCTTCGACCCCATTGACGGCACAAAGACGTACATGCAGGGGAAGCTGTACGCCATCAACGCGGCCCTGGTGGTGGACGGGGAGCAGGCCATTGGCATGGTGGGGTGCCCCAAGCTCAACCCGAAGCAGGCCAGTCCCGTGGGGGACGGCGACATTTCCAGCGAGGGATGCGTCGTCTTTGCCGTAAAGGGCCACGGCGCGTGGGTGCAGGAGCTCGGTAAGGGCAGTGAACCACCGCAGAGGCTGGAGAGGCATGGGCAGGATCTAGGACTGGACGACATCCGCTTCACGTCCTGCACGACCGTCTCGTCGTCGGTGCCACAGCTCAACGCCAACCTCCTGTCGCGGCTGAACGTTGCGTCGTCAAACGACCTGCTCCCGTGGGTGCTGCGCTGGATCTCGCTGGCGCTCAACATGGCCAACACGACGGTCTGGGTGTACAAGTCGCTCGACAGGCGGGGCAAAGTGTGGGATCACGCGGGCGCCATGCTCATCTTTGAGGAGACGGGGGGTGTCGTCAGCGATGTGAATGGGAAAAAAGTCAGCGTCGTCGGCAGCAGGATCATGGAGGGGAACTTTGGGTTTGTGGCCGCGCCGGGCGGTCTGCATGCAAAGGTGCTCGAGCAGGTCTGGGTCGTGATGAGGGAGATGGGGCACGAGGGGTTGCTGGGGGCATGATCAGCATACAAAAAGGAATGACAAACAAAAGTTCAGTATTGCCGCGACGACGCTTGTGGTTCATAAGGAAGTCCCCTCGTAGTCTATCATTTCTTCTAGCTTGTATCTGTTCCCACCCCAATCCTTGCGATTGCAATGCTGCAGAACGGGTTCCAACCTCTGTCCCCTCAGCACTCACAACGGCCCAACTCACCGCGCCGTGTACACGCCCGTCGAGACAGGGTGGTACCCCTTCTTGCCCACCTGCAGTGCGAGCTCGCTCCTCCACTCTCTCCCCTCCGCCACCATCTGCACCGCTCTTTCAAACGTATACTGCGGCTGCCAGCCCAGCATCTCCTCAGCCTTGTGCGAGTCGTACACGCGGTCCATCCTCTGCAGGAACCTCCAGCCCTTAGCCTTGAACACATCAAGGGTCTCGGGCGTGCACTGGCGGAAGACGCTGCGTGAATCGTCGTTCAGCGCCCTCAGCACCGCCTCGTCCCTCGTAAAGGGCGGCGGTGCGCTAATGACAAAGCGCTCGCCGTTCAGCGTGTGGGCGCGCTGCATGGCCAGATCACAGGCCGTGACAATGTCGGCAATGTCGCAGCGTCGGTAGGCCAGCTCGAGGACCTTGAGGTTGTCATCGGTCATGCTGGCGCGACGATCGTCGTCGTCGTCGCCCTCTGGAAAGAAGCGAGACGTGCGCAGGATGACGACGGGCAGCGCCGTCTGCTTCTGCTGGGAGGCGAGCAGGCAGAGGTCCTCGGCGGCGCACTTTGTCACGCCGTAAATGTTCTTGGGCGAGGGCGTGACGGACTCGTCGATCCAGACGGCGGGTTGGCCTGGTACCGGGCTCAGAACCGAGCCAAAAGTCGAGGTGGTGCTGATGAAGACGAAGCTCTGCAGGATTGGAAGTGTGGCGGCGCATTCGAGCAGAACGAGGGTGCCTGTGATATTGGTGTCGATAAAGTCCTGCTGCGTATGGCTCCCAATGTGAGGTTTGTGGAGTGTGGCCGCGTGTACAATGCGCGTGATGGTAGGATTGGCAGCGAGGATGGAAAAGATAAAGCTGCGATCCGACACGGAGCCGATATGGTGTGTCGTTGGCGAGGACAGAATGTCGATGCCTAGAGGTGAGTAGCCGAGGCTGGGCAGCTTGAGCATGAGAGCTGCGCCCAGGTGACCTGACGAGCCGGTCACGAGGACATTATAAGATCCCTCCATGCTGAGCAGTGTGCTTGACAACTGGCGCGGTGGCTATGAGTGTTTTGACCAAGGTTGTCTGTCGATAAAAGGAGGACAAGCTCGCTCGAGCTCGAGGGCAGTCAGGCTAGTGGTGGCTGGAGCCGTGAATGACTCAGAGTCTCAGAGGATGAACGGCCGGCCTCGGTTCAGTGGGAGTGAGGCAGGGCAAGACGGCGCATTATACTGTCGGATCTGGACATACTCTGTAAAAAAAGTGCCAAGTCGGGCGTGTCTGTGACATGTTTTCCCCGACAGCAAGATGCACTGGGTTGACATTTGATGTCGGGGCCGTCATCCGCACGCGCAGAGCACGGATTGTGCGCCTGAGGAAACCCCCGATAGACCAGCACAACAATTACAGTCGCCTCCCCTCAATGACAATCGCAAAGCCAGCCTTGCTCTCGTAGAGCCCCATGGGCGTCTGCCGACGCAGTGTGACGTCCTCCACATCAAGCCCACGGGTGCGCGGGTCGACGTCGAGGTAGCGTGAGCCCATGGAGCCATGACGGAGATACTCGACCAACGCCGTCGCCAGCTCGCGGCTGGTGAACCAGAGCTCATTGCTGGAGCTCTTGTTGCGCGCCGCGTCCCAGCGACCCCAGCCGTCAAATTCCGTCGCGGATGAGCTGCATGAGCCGTTCCCTTGGCCTTGCACCTCCCCATGAGGCCCCAGATCCGTGTCATTCTCATCGAGAAATGTCCTGACGTGAAACAGCCTGCGTTGATGTCCCATGGCAGAGGCCTGCGCGCCAGGCTTGAGCGTGTCTACCAGAGTCGCGCGAGGCAGAACCCAGCCATCACCAAACGCAGCTTTGGGAAGGAATACAGCTTCAATCTTGGACCCTTGCGGCTCAACTTGAATGCTCTCGTTGAATTTGGCAATGGCATCCTCCAGATGATCTGCGATATGGAGGCTGGCTTTGTCGAGGTATGGTTTTGGAGGATCTACGTAGAGCGGGTTGCCAGCTGTCGTCGCACACGGTTGCTCGTGTTCCGTGTATGGAGGAGGGGCGTCGGCATCAAGAGTGCCCGTAGGCTGCCAGGCGCTCTGGGATGATTGCTTCGACATGCTGAAATTGTTGCGCCCTGTGATGGTTTTGTGAGGTGAGGCCCAATGCATGTATTGTCGCTGGTGCTGGTGACACTGCCCTCGACAATCTGACAGGATGTGGGTGACCAAAGTTTAACTCACGCTACGCTTTAGGGGTCAGACAGTCAATCATCTGACAAGGTGGGCGACTGGACCCGGCGGACATGAATTTAATGGGGGCTAGGACGATGCGCGGCGCAGTCAGAGGCTGAGGTCACCTTGCTCTGGTGAACTTTTGAGCGTGCAAGGCCGACTTCATCTTGAAGGCAGCGCCGCAAAGGTACATAATCCGTTGTGGGGTCCATCCATACCTTACCCTAGACACATCATGTGGTCATGGCATTTAGTTGCAATTCCTTGCCTCTTGGGAAGGCGACGAATGCACGAGAGTGAGCGACATGGCGTCTACACACAACGTTCGCAATCCATCTAGGTGAGTCTGTTATGCACTCGGCAGACGGAATCTGAATTAGAGCTTAAAGGACGCGCATCGCGTTGATGCTCAGGCCAAAGTCCTCATTGGGAACACGATTTGCAGCAGTTCCTCCCATGATGGAATAGTTCACGCTGCCCCCTCGCCACGCCGCTCCAAGGCGAGACCAATTATCTCTGCCCGCAGGGCTCAAGACGATGTGTGGGCACATTGCAGGGATTGATGGGTTATGCGGGCAAGATATTTTTGAGGAGGCAAAGCACTGGTAGGGGCGGTGATCCTTTCCTGATGTCGGTCATGATGCGCTGCCCACCGAAGGAAGCAGATAAAGGCAACGATCCCGTCTTCGTGCGGTCGACTGCCGTCTCTACGCAGCGGTTCCTCGAGACGTGAAACCAGTCTCTTCTGCACTTCTTCTACGTCACACCTTCCCTACCCTCACCACCTCCTTCCCCCACAGATGCCCGGCATGCGCTCCCTCGTGCTTGCGCTGGCAGGTGCCACCACGACGGCCCTCGCGCAGTCGTTCGACTTCACAACGCTCGAGCCCAGCGAGGACTTGGAGTGGACGCCCTGCCTCGAGAGCTATGAGTGCGCGCGCCTCGAGATGCCCCTCGACTGGACCAATGAGAGCGACGCGCGCACCGTGGCCATTGCCCTGATGAAGCGGCCCGCCGTCGTGGACGTGGACGACCCTGCCTGGGCCGGCCCCATCTTCACCAACCCAGGTGGCCCAGGGCACTCGGGCGTCGACTTTGTGCTGAGCTCGTCTGCGCGTCTGCAGGCGGCCGTGGACAAGCCTGGCGAGAGGCACTACGAGATCGTCTCCTTTGATCCCAGGGGCATTGCGAGCTCGACACCGACGGTCGACTGCTTCGGCTCGCTGCTGGAGCGTGACGCCTTCTTCCTCGAGCTGCGTGGCAGCCAGGGTCTTGTCGCGGGCGAGAGGGCCATCAAGTACGATCTGGCCCTGTTCGAGGGCATGGGCAAGCTGTGCCAGTCCAAGTATGACGATGGACTCGAAATCTTCCCCTATATTGGTAGCGCCAGCGTGGTGGAGGATATGGTGCGCATGGTCGACAAGTCGGATGAGTGGCGGCAGTCGCAGCAGAAGAAGCGCGGCCTGGAGGTTCGCGACACCGAGGAGAAGCCTCGCCTCATGTTCATGGGGTTCTCCTACGGCACCGTCCTCGCGCAGTACTTTGCCAGCATCCACCCGGAGCGTGTCGGTCGTGTGCTCGCCGACGGGGTCGTCAACGTGCACGACTACGCCACTGGTCCTGGCTGGTTGACGGCTGGCCTGGACACGGATTCTGTATTTGATCACTTTGTCGACGCCTGCTGGGAGGCTGAGGACAGGTGCCGCCTGTACCGAGCGGACGCGTCTGCTGATGACATGAAGACGACGCTCCGTGACCTGATTGCCCGTCTGGACGCCGTTCCCATGGGCGCGCTGGCCCCCGACGGCAAGCGTGTCGTCGTTCGTGGCGATGACTTCCGCGAGGCGTTTGGCGTGTACTCATACAACGGCATCACAGGATTTGCCAGTCTTGCCGTCGTCTTTGACGTCGCACTCAAAGGCGACTTTTCGTACCTCATCACCTTCCTCAAGACCATCCGCACGGTCCCTACCGTGGAGGATGGCTGCCCCAACGAGAACGGCGTCCAGCTCGTCCTGTCGCCTCCCGAGAATCTCTACAGTGTCATGTGTCTGGACGGCTCCGATGTGCGCGACAAGGACAGCGACTACTGGGTTGACTATGTCAACGATATGAAGGACGTGTCCGAGATTTACGGGGCCACGCTGGCCCTCATCCGGTTCGGCTGCTCGCACTGGCCGTTCCGCGCGGACAACCGCTTCGACGGTCCCTTTAAGACGCCCAAAGCCGACAAGGACGACCCGAGCACGCCTGCTGCTCCTCTGCTGTTCATGGGCAACCGGTATGACCCCGTGACGCCCATCCGCAACGCCGAGAACATGGCCAAGGATCACCCCGGTGCCGGCGTCCTGATCCAGGAGTCGACGGGCCATTGCGCGCTGCTGGTGGCGACGAGCAACTGCACGTCCCGGGCCGTCGCTGAGTACTTTGACACGGGTGAGGTGCCCGAGGACATCCTGACCTGTGAGGAGTCATGTCACCCGTGGGATACCGGCTGTGGCGTCAATGGGCCCGGCACTGGGCCTGGCGCGGGCAACGGCAACGGCAACGGCAACGGCAACGGCAATGGCACTGTCGCGGTGGCCAAGAGGGGCGAGATGGGCTTCATGGAGATGCTGCCCAGGGGCCACGGACACTTCAACATTGGGTACTAGAGTGACGCAAATTGATAAATGAAGCGATTTTCTCTTCTGGCTCCTCCTGCATGCTGCGCCTTATGAAATGACAGCTGCATCCTGAGGGCTGAATGCGGACAGGCGTGACAGCGCCAAGTGACAAGCTTCCCAGGATCCGTCCGCCAAGGCCGCGCTGTTAATTTCCTCGAAAGGCCGAGGACCACTTCCCCATGTTTTGCCAAGCTGCCGCGCAGCTGGAGGGAAACGGCATATTCATGCATCGCGTGGCGGCCTCACGTCTGTGAAAAAGTCTCCTCCCTCCCTCCCTGTAGTCACTTCCTGCTGCGACATTGCGTTTTCGACTGATTGCTCATCCAGCGCTTTGGCCTTGCGAGGCCGTCCATTCCTTTTTATCTTTGATAGTTCACCCACGCTCTTTACACGCACTCTTTACACGCACAAGTCACGATGAAGACGATTACGACGCTGTGGGCGCTTGGAGGCGCTGCTGCCACGGTCGCCGCTCACGCGCAGGACGTCGCGCAGATCCTCCTCCCGGCCCAGTGGAAGCCCAGCGACGAGCTTGGTGTCTCGGTGGTGCACGTCGGGGCATCTGCGACGACCTTTGCGCTCGGCTGCCCGACCAAGGCGAGCGACTGCTCGGTGGTGATCCCGACGATTACGCAGGGCGCCATGACCTGGGGGTATGGCGGGGAGTGGCAGAACATCCAAGGCGTGGACGAGTAGTATGTGTGCCTTCTTCTTCTTCTCCATTTCACGTGTCAATTCGTGTGCACTAGACTATAGTTTGTGTACACTATGACTACTAGATAGTAGATTCGCCCAAGGTGAGGTAGAGCTGACGAGAGGTGATCAGCACGCTGCGCAACGACTGCGACATTGCGAGGGGCACCATGATCTGCACCACGGCCGTCACGCAGGTCAAGGACGACGTGACGAGGTCGGGCCATCTCACCGGCACCACGACCTACCTCGGGGATCTCATCCACCCGATCCCGATCACGGCGGGCGCCAAGAAGCCGGGCGAGCACACGCAGGCGACGACCACGACGAGCACGCCTATCGAGACCTCCGCGTCGTGGACTTCCACGCCCGTGGAAACGTCAGCCAGCAGCACCACCCTTGCGACGAGCACCGCGATGACACTGACGGGTGGGCTGCTCCCCACGTCGGATGCCGGCCATGACGATGGCCACGATGATGATGCGACACCAACGGCGACACCCTCTGTCATCCCGACCGACACGCCTGGCGCTGCTGTGTCTGTGCACCGCAGGTCTGCCGTGATGGTTGCTGTCGCGGCTGTCGTTGGCGGTGCTCTATGGCTTTAAACATGAATGATACCTTTTGAAGACAGCTTTTATGAGGGAGGCATGCGGATACGACCGCGCGTGAAGTCTATTTGGCTCTGGGGAGGATTGATTCCAGCGGCTTGGACGGCAGGCAATCTGGTCTAGACTCTAGAACCGAACGGGAATCCCCCAATCACATGATTGTTCTTCTTCTTCTCGTCTTTCTTTCTTCGCTTAACATGTCTGTTCACATCTTCCTGGACATTGTCGCCGTCTTCCCTCTCCGTCTGGCAGCGCTGCTCTGGCTTCGCGATGCATCTGTCCGCCGCCCCGAAGCTTTCTGTCGCTGGTCCCCACGACAACTTCGCTCCCGCGCGATATAGATCACCTCGCCAGCTCTACAAGCTCCTCCTCTACCACTTTGCGGGATGGCTGATCACGGCGGCGATTGTCGGCTCCTTCTATGGCGTCCTGGTGCACTACTCGGACAAGGGGGTCATGCTGTACAAGGACAGGCGCGTATTCAACGCCGTTATCATCGCGCTGAGCATCACACTGTCGCTGAACCTCGAGAGCTGCCTCAAGGCCATGACGGGGGACCTGCGCTGGTGGGTTCTCAGTCTCCGGGACTGGACGTTGCCCGAGGCCGATCTGATTTTGCAGAGCGAGCATTTTAGCTACCTGCTCAAGCTCTTTGTCGTGGCGAGTCATTGGATCTTGCGGATCGTCATTGTCTCCTGGATCCTTCTCCATATCGTAAGTACATCCCCCCTAGACTGGAAACAATCTCATGCTCACCCCGAGTACAAGGCGGCCCAGGTCGCCGTGGCCACCATAGGCTTGACTCATACTGTCGAAGCCGCTGCCCATGCCACCATCACGCGGCCCGGTCTCGTCAGTGTCCCGGACATGAGCCAGATCGAGACGACCAGAGTCATCAAGTCGCCGACCCTTGCCCTCGCCGCCCTGCGCTTCACCGCCAACAGCTACGGCCAGATTGCCCTGGGCTACAACTGGGGTCGTCTCGAGGAGCGTCCTGAACCTGGAACATTGTTGAGTCCAGGGGGGAATTTGCAGTACTGTGGCTCGGATCGATGTGAGTTTGTCTTTTACGAAGCCAACGCCTCCCAGGGCCAGAATTACCTGACCGTCGTGACGAACCGATCCGTGGCCTCTGTCGCCCACTGCGAGGCGTATCGCGTCATTCGAGGCGGCGATGGGAATTCGACGACCATTACGATTGATGACGCGGACGCTTCCGAATTGAAGGTACCCACCATCAATGGCGATGATCAGACCACCTTTCTCACCGCCACGGGTGCAGGCTTTAACAATTCCACGGGTATCGTCTTCGCCTTTGAGGCGTCAAGGACGAATCCGTGGTTCTACGCATGCAACATCACCGTAGAGCCCGTGCGGAACGCAGTGCTCCCGGAGCATGAGCTCGGCGCCAATGTCTCCTCCCTAGCTGCCGTGGCCATCGCCCTCCAGGCTTACGGTGCCTCGACACAGGGCTCCTCGGCCGCCGGGACGGGCGCAGCACGGCAGTTCCAAAGTTATCCCGCCGCATCGTCCTATGGCGAGCCCAAGGGGGGCAATGCCAGCGCCATGGCGCTGAACATGGCCAGTTTCGCGACAGGCGTCATCGCCGTGACTGCCCTGGCCAACGACAATGTGGAGATACCAGGCCAGCGGCCCCTGCGAGGCGTCGAGTTCCGCATCTCGGACTGGACGGCGCTTCACATCATCCTCGGCCTGATTGCGGGCGTGCACTTCTTGCTGGGCCTGGTGACCTCCCTCGTCGCGGACAGGGTGGTCGTCCAAACGCGGAGTGAGCTCACCATGGCGGAGCTGCTGAGGCCTGTGGGCCAGAAGCTGGAGTATCGGCACGTGCAGGCGCGCAACAGGCCGCAGCCGACAATTCGGTACAGGATGGGGGACTGGGATGAGGCGTATGGGTTCCATACCGACTGTGCGTTGGAGGTTGTGGACTGGTAGTCTAGGATGACTGGTGGGAAGGCACATTTATCTCCTCCCATGTCTGGCCGTCAATCAAAGGCAGACTTGGATCCAGGGGCTGCGACCAGAGACTGTTCGACTTGACAAAGCTCTGACTTTGGACTCACCACCCCCAGTCTCCGTGTCAAGTGTTGGGATAGACAGTACGTTCCTTCTTCCTTTGGGCCCACGCCTGACGACCATCTGATCATGCCTTCCCCCTTTTTGCTGTCATCACGGCACATCAGATGAATGTGAAGCCTCAGGTTCACATCCTATTTGATGCACCGTCATTCGTTTCCCAGCCATTTCCCGTAAAACTTCTTCCCGAAGCATCCTCCCTCAGTCTACTAGACTAGACTAGACTAGGATAGACGGACGACTCGCCATGCAACCCCCATTCTGGTCATTTCGCCTCGTCCTTCTCGCTCTCGCTCTCGTCGCCATGGCCGCCACAGCTCAAGATGACGACGACGTGGAGATACTCAGAAAATGCAAGGTACCAACCACATTCAATCGCCCTCATGCCATCTTCGTTGCCCATGCTAAAATTAAGAAACCTTCACAGAGCGAATGCAACCGCCGCTTCAAGGCCCTCGGCATCATGAACAACTGCGACAAGGACGACTCCGACCACCAGTGCATGTGCGAAACACCAGGCTTCTACGGCCTGTACATGTGCTGTCTGGAGGAGGTGTGCGCCGAGTACGGTCTCGAGGTGGGCTCGGAAGAGGGCGACCAGCGACTCGCCGTCCCTTGTGTCGTGGACTCGACATCCCGGCAGGTGACGCTGAGCTGTCCCGCGCAGTACTCGATGACGGTACAAACGTGCCTGTCACTTTTTCTTGAAGATCTGGGACTAATAATGTACAACACAGAATTTCGATGACGTCTCTACAATGTCGAGTTTGATTGAGACATTGGGCACCACCACTACCACCACCACCACCACCACCACAGACGCGGCATCGACCACGCCCGCGTCCACTCTTGCCACCCGGACGTCCATGTCTCTCCTAGTGGACACGCTCGTTCCGAGCGAAACAGGGCAAGGTGGGAATGGTCAAGGAAACGCCGACAAAGCCGCCACAATCGGTCTAGGCGTTGGCCTCGGCGTGGGCGTCTCCCTGTCCCTCGTCGCGCTTGGGTTCACCATATTCTTCCTCCGTCGACAACGAAAGCAGAACCGTCCCGCAGAAGATACCGAGCCACCTGCTCCTCCCGCACAGCCCTCTGAAGCCGTGCACGAAGACGCCATCGTGAGATGTGCGCCTCACGAGCTGGGGAGCGCGGAGAAGGGTCCGTCAGAATTGGCAGCTGCCCGTTCGCCGACCGAGAGCAGCCACATCATATACGAGTTGCCTGGCGATTCCCGAACACCATATGGTCGGGCGGTATGAGGAGAGAATGGGTCGGTGTAACGTATGGAAAGGATTAATGAACGAAATTTGGAGCTGTCTACCTATGTAGCTCGCATGTGCCCTGTGGAATTTATTAGCCTATGAGACCCTGTATGCTCCCGTGTGTCCCCCACCCAAACGACCGAATTATGTACGTGTGTATGATACCCCCTGATCCGCTGATACCAGAACGCCTAGTCCGTCTCCCGACTTTTGCCTTTTGCTAGCCTGTCTTTGTCCTCCCAGGCGCCCAAGTCATCCTCTTCGTCGGAGGAGAGGGCTTGTTCTCTCCGTCATTGCCGTTGCTGTTGCTGTTGTTGTTGTTGTTGTTGTTACCACCGCCATTAGTACTGCCGTGGACACTCTCGTTTTCTGCTTCCTCGGCCTCGTCGAGCGTGAGCCCACTACTCTCTCTGTGGCTCATTCTATGCGTAAATGCACTGATCTTGTCTCGGAGTCCAATGCCCGCGCCGCTCCTCCTTCTAGAGTCGGTGCCGCCATGGCTCGTCGCTGGGCGATCGGAGCTGCCCGTGCCGATCCTCCTGGGTCCGCGGTGAACGATGCCACTACTGGACCCAGGTCGGAGCAGGTCATGGCCGAGCCCTTGGTTACTACCTCTTCGTCCTTCTATGGGCGTTGGAGGCGTCAGGTTGACATGGGTCGGCACCGCCATACCGCCAGGCTGGACTTGCGCAGAGCCGCGGGATCTGCTGCTCGCAATGCTGCTACTCCTGCTCGGTCCAGGTGCGCTGCCATGCGTGCTACCACGCAGCGAGCGAGGCGGCGACCGGGAAAAGTCGACAGGCGAGTGCGCGTACATACTGGATGAGTCGTCGCTGTCCTGCATGCTGCCCGCGTAGTTCTGCGATCCCGCCGAGGACGACGGTGCTATCAGCGCCGAGCTCGAGGCGATGTCCCTCAGCTTGGTACGCTGTTCGGCGTTCGGTCGGTGCCTGGAGAACTTGTTGCCAATGATGGCGCCCGTGTGTGACAGCAGCGCGCGCATGCAGGCCTTCTTGAACGCCATGGTGAGATCCATGCTTGACCACGTCTTGTTCTGCCACTCAATCGTAGGCATACGGAAGACAAAGTCGTGCACGTCCTCAAAGTTGCGCTGCTCCTTGCCCTTGTAGCTCAGGCAGAGCACAACTGACTGCAGGCGGATGTACGAAAAGGTCATGTAGTTGCTGGCGCGCGCAATCATCTGCGTCAGGTCGTCCGATTGTTGTTTGTCTTCGCCAGGTCCTTTGCGGCCCCGAATAAACCTCTGCTTCTTCTCGCCGACCACCGTACTGTCTCGACTTTCCTTGGACACACTCGTGGATGACCTGTTGATTTCCCTCTTTGGAGCGGCCTGCGCAACGGCGCGCAGAGAGTCGTACGATGGCTTTTTGGCAGCAGTTTTCGATCCGCCCAGGCGGAGAAGGTTGAAACGGTGGCCCTCGCCCGTGTTCACGGTCAGGTTCTTCCTCGTGTTGTTCCGGTCTGGCGTGTGCGACGTCAGCGTGGGGCGCAACCTGAGCTCCAGTGACCCAGCCCGCGTCGAGAATCCAGAAGAGTCCTTGTCCATGGACGGCGTCCCCAGTCTACTTGTTGAGCTGGTGAGGGACGACGTGTCATCTTCCTCCGGTGGCTGGTCTGCCATGAGCTGGTGTTTCATGGCGAAATGCGAGTTCTCCTTCTTGGTCGCCGACTTGTTCTGCTCGCCCTCCATCCCAGGGAAGATGTACGCCATGAGCCGCTTGCCAACCTCATACTCCAATTGGATTTCCATGGGAAACAGATCCACCTCGAACCGATCCATGACCGTGATGCCCGCAATGGCCTCGAGCATGTACCAGTACACGCGAATCATCTCGTGGCTGGCCTTCTCGCCCTGTGGGATCTTCTCTGGATCGTCATAGGCCCCAATGATCTGGGGATACGTCGCGTTAGGCAGAAGGTTGAGACCGAGCACCTTGCCGACGCGGAGTAGATTCACATGCGACCCGTCCGAGTTGTCCGTGCGGTCGTACATGAGATCCTTCAGCTGGAGCTCGACCAATGGCTCGTTTGAATCCTGCATCAGGTGCCAGACAATATCTTGTACCAGTATATTCCACTTAAGCAGCGCGTTTTCGCTGGCATTGACGTCGTACTTTCGCTGCGAGGTGGTGATTGCTTTCATGACGAAGAAGAGTTCATCTTCCGCGGCGGCCAGATCGCGCTCGAGTGTGAGGCGGTCGTCCCAGCCGCGCTTGTCGAGGTACTTGGCGTAGATTTGAAAGTGCGCCTTGATCTCTTCCATCTGCCTGATGCGTTCTTGTAGCTTTTGAATCTTCTGCGGCGCGCCGCTCAGGTTGCTGAAGTCGGAGGCGAGCATGATCTTCTCGAGACGCTCGCTTCGCGTCTTCTCGAGCGGCTCGCTGTACATGAGAAGGTCCAGCACTATGACATATAGGGCGTAGTATTGGGACGAGTTGCAGAGCGCTCTTACCTGAGGAAACTCAACCCAAAGGCTGTCCATTCGCTTCTCATTGTTCTCTGCAGCAGGCGCCGATGTGTCTTCTGCGTTGACCTCGTCGTTGTACTTGAGGCGAAGCGTGTTGTACTTGTCGTACCGGAGCACGGCGGACGTCTTCTCTACCACACGCTTGAAGCCGAAAGGTGTAGCTGTGAAATCAAACATGATCTCCATGGGAACCCATGGCGGCCACGATGAACCACTCTTGGTGCCATACCGACTTCCGGCATACATCGAGACCAGGTTCGTCAGGAACCATTTGTGATGTGTGACGAAGAACTGCGTGCTGTCCATGTTGACGAGGAATCGACGCTGTACAAGACCACTGACATCATCAGAGATGCGCTCCTTGTCCATGACCTCCATCACCTTGAGCTCCATGCCCTTGGCTGTGATGATGACAACGTTCTTCTTGTTCTTCTCGCTCTGGAGTTGAATTTGGGGAGCGATGAGCCGCACATGATAACTACTTTGGGGACTGAATTCGTCAGACAGGCCGGAGGTCAGATCTTCGATGCCTCTGCTACTCGTGCCTTCCGGGTTAGACTCGGATGCTGTGGAGTAGAATTTCCGGTCTTCACCCAGTATGCTCTTGATCCGGTCCTCAATGTCAAGGTGACTACCGCGGTCTGAATAAGCTGATGGAGGCACAGACTCGGCTTTACCATTCTTACTACTTTTCATCTTGTTTTGTTCTTCCACAATATCAAGGATGAACTTGATGGCCGGCCGGCTTAGGTAGTAGATGAATCCACGACGCTGGCTGTTTTGGTGTATGTACCGCAGCACAATGTTTCGCAAGACATTGTTCCACTTGAGCTGCATGTTGTGCAGGATGAACCGATTTTTGAACTCGCTCTCAAACTCGGGCCTCGATGGGATATTCAACTTTTCGTCATTGACATCGATCGACTCCTCGGATCCACACTCCTCCTTCGGTTTGGGTTTTGGCCCTACTGGCGGAATCTTGGCCTGGACTTGCTCGAGCATGTCCTCCAGAAACTTCTTCTTCTCTTCTAAAACGGCCGAGTGCTTGCGAAGTGCCTCGAAGTTTTCCACGCACTCCTCCTCCTGAGCGTTGGTCCGTACGACCTTGAGTTCAGCCTCGCCAACATTACGGGAATGGGTCTGCATCTGCACGCGTAGTTGCTCGAGACGTTCCTCGATGAGTTTTGCCTGCACCTGCTTCGGGTCATCGTTGTGGCTCATGATGCAAAAGTGCGTAGGCTCGTTGCCAAAGGGACTTCTGCGTGACGGATCACCGGCGATCGTTCCGTCAATGTCCGTTTGCCTAAAGTATGTCAGGCGAGGCGCGAATCCCAATGGGAGGATCTTGGTGTTAGGATGAGGCTCGGTGGGCAAGATCCAGTCCAACTCGACAAAGTCATCCATGTCAATCCAACTGTAGTCATGGTCCGGGATGTTGAAGCGCGATAAGTCTGGTTTGTCTCCCTGGTCGGTGATCAGCGTAGAGATGGAGCCACGCTTGATGGCCTCTGTTGTCGTACCCTTCAGGCTAGCAGACACCGCGCGTAGATCAGCATTGGCGAGGTCAAGCTGTGCTGCGTGAATCTTAATGCCAGACGTCTTGGCCTGCTGCGTGCTCTTGCCCTTGTCCAAAGTGTTGAACCACTCTCGGCGCTGGTGCAGATCAAGCATGAAACTATCCAGGCGGACCTTGAGACCCGTAGCAGAGACTGCATTTTCCGAGTAGTCCTCCACGTCTTTGTGCTTGTACACATGGGCGAGAAACAGTGGCGCTAGCAGCAGATTGTACTTGACGGTCGCCAAGTGTCGCCCAAACTTCTTGCTGTTCTTCTCGCGGCCTGGGAAGAGATTGCCCTGCCGAATCGGCAACGACAGGGGCTGCTTGAACAGACCCCACCATGCGAAGAAGTGCGTGAAGAAACGAGGGGTCAGGTGCACCGTGTTGTAGCTTGTTGACGGTTCAGGGCTGTCCGACATCCAATCGCGGTCTACAGGAGCGCGGACTGCGATGGACATGTGGATGTAGCGGCTTCTGAAGCCACGCATAGAGTCATAAAGCTGTCCGTCGGTAGACTGGGCATACTTGGGGCTCTTGAGGATGACTTCGTAGTGAGGCTTGAAGTCAAAGCTGCGTTTGCCGTCCTCAATATCGCGTTCAAAGGTCAGTCCGGACATCCATTGAACATTGCCTGATAGCTTCATGACAACCTTCTTGAACATGGCGCCAGTCTTGGTAATGTCATCTGTCACAGCCTTACCCGCTGATTCTTCGCGGCGTGCCGCATCGCGAACCTGATGCGTATAGTCAGGCACGGCAAGAATATACTCTCCACTGTCTACCGTCATGAACCGCTTGGGGTCGTCTTCGGCGTTGATGTTCCACCTGACGTTGTTACGCCAGCACATGAGGAAGCCCGCGCCGGCCCCAGTCACACGATACGGATCACGCGTGCCCTTGAGCGACAGATGCATGTCGCCATCGCCTCGCCAGGCGATGCGCATACGTGAGTGGAAGACGAGGCGCAGCTTGTCCCAGTATCCAACACGCTCAGAAGGGTCGATCTGGGGCTTGGTGAAGGACTCAATCACCATCATCATGTCTTGAATGGCTGGTTGGTAGCAAGGCGCCCACGTAATCCTTGTAGGCAGCGCGGTGTTAATGTCCATGAAGACGTCCGAGTAGGATTTTATGGGGCCGATGGTGCGTCGGATCTCGATATCAAAGCTGCCGTCGCTCGACTGCCGGGAATCTTTGGGTGGCACTATGTTAACGCGCACTTTTCGCGTGGACTGCTGTCCACGAAACTCTTCCGCTATGACAAAGTTGGTCTTCAATGACATGGCCGGCAATTTTGTTGATTGTCCCGTCTTCATCCAAGGAATATGAAGAAGCGGTAGCGGATAGTCACGAAGTGACATTTTGGCCTCGTCCACCTCGATAGTGACGTGCATCGGCACGAGCAGTCCATACTTCATATCCCGTGGCATGCCTTTGCCAACATCGTTCAGGAACGTCGGTAGCTCGCTCAACGGGAACGTCGGCTTGTCTATGATGAAGCGGAGATCGGTGATCATGGTTGACATGAGTGCCGGGCGTTGAGGCACCTCCAGAATGTTCTCTGTTTCCTCAATGTCGTCCGGCAGATTGTTCGGGCCCCAGAACGCTTTCCGTAGCTCGCAGACGCTGTTGCGCGACATCTCGTATGCGTTGTCGATGCGCTTCTTCCAGGTCTGGGCATTCAACGAGTCTAACTTGACACGGGCCTCTTGCTCGGAAATTCTCGAGTACGCGTTGATACCCGCCGTTTCCGACTCTGGATCATAACGCGGTATTCTCTTGGGCTCAGGGCCCGGCCCGCTATCTGCTGGCGAGATGGCGTCAAGGCTGCGGCTCCTGAACCAGGACCCGCTTGTATTTTCTGTGCGGCCTCGTTGATATGCAGAACGGGATCTCACTTTGCTGTTCCCTTTCCTCGACTCCTCCTCCCTGACTTTTCTAATCTTGGCATGAAATGCGTCTTCTCTCGCAAGCCGTTGGGTCTGCTCGGTGCGTCCCGTCCTGTAGATCATACCCAGTTTCCATTCAAAAGCGCCGTCTTCCAACTCAAACATGAACTTGCGCGATCGAAAGGATACTTTGGGCACGTTCTTTGGACCCTCAGGGTGCTTGTCCAGAATGTACTCATTGGTCCCTGTGCTGAAGCGGTGGTGGAGTTGCAAGCATGCCTTGAACACGTTGGTAAAGTTGTCCGTTATGCGATTCACAACGACCTCATGTGGAACGCCAACTCGCACAGCTGAGCTTGACAGATCAAACAGCTCTTCCTCGACAACACCCCCGAGAGGCGTCTTGCGCTTGGACTTGCGCAGGTCGAACCGGACGTCCTTGATGCTGATCATGCGTGCCCAAGCGTTGCGCACGCGTGGAGGCTCGACATACAGTCGAATCATCTTGGCTTGACAATACGGCGCGGACCATCTGTGTCGGCCAACCTCCAAGCCGTATAAACGGAGCAACATTTGAGGATCGTGAGGCATCTCCGCCTTCACCTGAACAAGGGACGTTTTGATGTCGACTGTCACGAGCTCTGGCGTTATGGTCGACAGCCCGTCGTCATCTTCAAACTGTCCAGGGGCTACAGGCGGGGCCAGGCTGTTGGGCTTGACAGTGTCTTGCCGATGCCTTGGCTTCCGGTCGTGGCCCGTCTTCAAGAACGCCTTGCGTACTGTCATCACAGCCACGCCGACCGAGTAGTGCCTGTACAGGGAGTACTGCGCCAAGATACTCTTGATGTGAGACTGGATATGAAACATGGGTCCGTGAGGGTCGCTGGACGCAGAGAAGGTAAGGTCTAGACGAGGAATGTTGAGGAAAGGCTCTACCTCAAGCCGCTCAACACTCTCTACAATCTGTGCTTCAATGCCGCGTGAATGCAAGACGAGACGTCTACCATCGCCGTAGTGTTGTGGCTTCCTCCTAGGATGTGGCGAACCAGGGCCGGCGGTCAAGTCCGAGTCAGACTGCGTCAATGACCGGCTATGCGTTCTAGTGCGTGGCATGCGTCTTCGCAGGCCTTCGACTTTATGTTCTCTGTATTCGGCCGAGAGCTGATCAAGGTGCAGGCTCACCCCGCGAGTGTCTTCCGAAATGTCCAAGTCGATGCCAGCCACTTCAAGGCTGACATCTGTTGCCCCGATATGACAACTCGTGAGCCAGCGAGGCATGGTCCGCAGGAAGTTCTTGCCTCTTGATGTTCCCGGAATTGTGCGTTTCTCAGGCTCAACGTCAAGACGAAGTTCCTTTACAATCTGACGGAGACCATCCGTAATTTCCGGTCGCACCATGGAAATGCAGAATGTCTTGATGTTGCCCGACGCCTCGACGGACATGTCAGGGTTTGCTGTGAGATTGACCTTCATGTCGAAAGAATCAGTGGTGATGAGGTTGAATCTTTCCCGCTCGTTTGTCTGATAGTAGAGATGATGTGTTTGGAGTCGCAAAGCACCGGTCAGCGCATAGTGAGAGTCTTCCGTGAGAGAATGCGATGATTCCATGTCTAGCGAGATGGAAGAAATGGAGGAGATTATAAGGTCAAAATCATCCGCGTTGTCCGTCTTCAGCAATGGCCGTAGCTTGATACGCATGACGGGCTCATGAAGTGACACCTTGATGATGGCTTTCGGCAGTAGTCGAGGGATAAGAGCACGATGCTGCTGCTTCTGAGCGTTTCGCGCCTTGGGTTTCCGCTGCATCAAAGCAAGCAGAATCGGGAGGTGACGAGGGTCGAGGTCGATGGACGGCGAAGTGATGACGGAATTTTCAAATAGCATGTTGGCATTCTTCTCCTCATTCGTGTCTTCGTGTACGAGCTCGACTGTCTTGGACGGCAGTGTCGTGCGTACGGTTGTAGTGGCCATGGGCACGTAGAGAAGGCGCTCCGGCTTGCCTTGACCATTGTCCAAGCCCACAGATATTGACAGAGCGGCCACCAATGCTTCGTGGGCAATATCTTTGGAAGGGAAGTACATGCGATGTGCCGGCGAACTGGGGTCCAGTCGCTGGAGATCGATTCCAATCTCCTTCATCGCAGCGTTGAGTTGCAGAGTCGAGCCTGGCTTGGGCTGTATTTCGTCCACGTTTTTAGAAATACTGAGAAAGCTGGCAGCGAACTGGACCTCTTTGATACCTCGAAGTATCGAGCTCAGAAAGTCCTTTGAGTCTGATACTGTTTGCATGAGGTCTTCGCTTTGTTGATCAGATTCGTTTTTGTTTTGGGGAACCTCGCCGACGAACGTATCGACCGGCTGATTAGGGCCTCCCGTGGCATCTTGACGACACGTCTTGTAGTGCCGCGTGCAAATGTGCAGATCGTCATATGGTATGTGAACGCGTCCGAGCTTGAGCGCCAGGGTCGCATCGCGAAGTCCCTCCATAGATTCATAAAGGTGGCCATGAATGTTGAGCAGTGCATGGTCCAGTACCTCAAGCGACTCTTTGCCTCGCGCCGTGAACAGGACACTGCGCACGGAAAGAATCCACTCCGCTTGACGATCGTGCTTCTTGGCTGTGGACCTTTGGAAGAGGAAGCGCGCCCTGTCGACCATCTTACGCCTAGTATCTACGGCCACGGTGATGCTGCCAACTTGCAGGTGGCCGACATCGACCACGTTGATCGTGGAGTTGGTAGCCACAACATCTACCATCCGCAGCCAGTTCATCTTTCGATGTATCCTCTTGATGCGGTCTTTGATCTTCGTGAGCTTTTTCCATGTCTCGCTGCGAGACCCGTACTCCGCTGGTCGAGATCGGGTTTTGCGCATGGGGATCGTCCCGTTACCATCCTTGTTGTCCTTGGACGATGCATTCCTGCCTTGAGTGCGACCATCATTGTGCTTATGCGAGCCTTGAAGTGCCCTGATGTCGACCGTCACTACGAGCTCGTTCAGTACCAGGCTCAGCCACGTCGGCTGCGCAAACGTTGGGCGATGGATCGAAAAGCCCAGCCCCCTAATCTCGATGCGACATCCATCTCGAGGTGTATAAGCGAGCCGTCGTAGCGAGAGGTAACCGATGCGCTGTATGGATATGCCGGTCACGATTCGCAGGAGGGCGAAAAAGACAAAGGAGGCGAGGTAGAGCAGGACGAAGATCCCAAAGGCGAATGTCGGGTTAAGTAGAGCCATTATGACGAGGCTTGGATAAGCCAGAGCCAGCTGAGCTGGAGTAGTGTCAGTCAGCGCATGGAATGGCGACCAAAGCGCGCAACGTACATGTCGGATAGAAGGGGGCTTTGCATTGTTCCAGATTGAAACTTGGTCGAACGATCAAATGCGCCTCATGGTGCGGGTCGAGGGCAGCTTCTCGGACACGTTCTGGCTGATGCAAGCTTGGTTTCCCCCCCTCAGCTCTCTCCGAGTATGTCCCAGCGCAACCCTAGTATTGATAACGTCCGCGCTCGCTTGATTCTTTGTCGGGCTCTGACGCGCTCGGCTACAGATGCTGGTAAAATGTTGCTCGAATCGGGGGCTCGAAGGTGTAGTCGGCGCAGTCACAGCAGTTGCGTGCTGATGCGTGTTGGTAGGGGTGGATGAGGGACACGGCCGCGTGACGTCAAACAAAGATTCGTCAATGTGCGCACCGCAACAGGGCACCACGCGCGCGCGAGCAGGATTTTCCGATGGACTTTGGTCGCGATGTTGTCGCCGGATGTCACGCACGGGTTGCGATTCTAGACTTTAGGCAAGCTTAATATTAGCACAGTACTAATTAGCAGCACGGCTAAGACGATCGCAATCGAAGCCACCCACCCTGACGGAGCTTTGGTGGGTGTACATACGTCCCGTGCCGAGGGGATATGTACCCTAGACTAGCTCCGTACTGGTTAGGCTCATGCAATGATCAATGATGTGCTGCACAGGGCATTCATGAGACCTTGGTCTGCAATTAGTATTGATATTTGATATATTTCATGTCTGTACATAGTATACAAACCCATGGGCGCGTTTCGCCCTTGGACGTGGCCTGCACGACTGTATGTACCCTCCCTCGATTTGTCTTGGATCCCTTCATTTCAATGTCGTATTGTATCAGTCCTTGTCAGTGACTATTGGCTTCTGCGGGCTGCCTTTACGAAGCGCTGTCTTTCAAGACTTTGCAGCACTCTGTGTGCGTCTCCGTTCGGGAGGTGTCGTAGTTCGAGTTTGGCGGCGAGGTAGCCCTGATCGAATCGCTGGGTATGGTCGTCGAGGTGCGCGTTGCACGACGAGGCTTCACAATGAGCGCGGCTCTTCTTGGACCTCGCTCGAATCATTTGGGCCTCTCTGCCGGCGTGTGTTCGAAAGCCGCCTGCTCTTGGAGTTTCTCTATCCGCTCGTCGATCAGCGCGATGTCGGCATCAACCCGCAAGAGCTTCTCGCTCATCATATTGGAGTATTCCTTGTCCGTCATTTTCTTCAGTGGGCTGAAGCGCGAGTTCATCCAGCTCCTGTCTTCGTCCAAGGGCCTTTCGGGTAATTGTCTATACCAGTCGATCGCAAACTGGCCTCCCACGGCTGTCACTGCGCAAAGTGTGAAAGAAGAAACAATGTTGCTTCTCATGTATGCTGTGACAAGGTTAGACTGGTCCGTCTTTTTTCACAGTGGAGAATCCAGCTCACGTCCAAACCCTAGGATCATCACAGCACTCGCCGGTACGCTGGCCAAACCGCTAGCTTGGAGTTTCTGCCTATTCGTTGGGTCTTCAGGTGCCCCCATCGCACGCAAAGTCATTTGGCGGGAGACTGGCTTCTTGTCAATGACGTTTCAGGAATCTCTGTACAGGTTTCTTACACCAAAAAGTGCTTCCAAGTATGCCCCATTGAATGCCCGTGGCCATGCCACTCAGCACGGGATTTCTCCCGGTAAATGTAGCCGCCCCTGAGCCTAAAAACGCGCCAGCTGCGCCTTCACCAGCACCAGATTAGACCGAAGCAAACTCCATCGCAGAGACAGAACGTACCACAATAGGCGCCGAGTACAAGGGGTGGAACGACAACTTCTTTGAAAGAAGGAGGCACAAGGCCTCGCGCTGGCGCATCTTTTGAGAAAGGCATCACAGGCAGCAGTGGGAAGTATGAAGCTCAGTAAGCGACTCAGTTCTACCAAGTCCAAGCCTTCAATTCACGTCGAGATGTAAGTGGGTCCGCGAAGTCAATGGAGCCAATGGCCACGGCTCATTGTCGGCCCAAGATCGTCTCTCACCCGGAAGGCGCGCAGGGAAACGGGACTCGCCGCTAGTCCAAAGAGAGGCAAGCGCCTCCACACGCGCGGGCTGATGTGTGAAAATTCCATGAGGCAACTTGAACCCTCACAGGAACGACCTTTTTCCTTGACCTTGTCCTCTCGCCGAGCCATATATCTCTCGACGGCCCTCTCCAATCACTCGACCCCGCAACCGCAAAGTAGCATCTTGGGACCCTGCATTGTCTCGACAAACTTTTCTACACCCAAAAGGACCCCCCCAGAGACCAGGTGTACGCATCACCAAGTCTGTCGGCCGGTTCACTCTGCTCTCGTTGGCCCGCCCCGCATCCCACGAGCGAGCGCCCGCCTCCGGTGCCCATCCAACCATCCGCACCGATTGACTTGACCGAAACGACCGACCACTCCACGTCGGCCACTACGCTCTTGCGCCCGAGGACGACAAGCAGACAAGGCTCTCGCCTCTATCCGCTTCGTCTACGCGCATCGGTCAGTGCATCGTTGCGCGTGCCGCTCCAACCGCAAACATGGCGCCCAAGAAGTCACAGAAGATGTCGATTGGGGATTTTTTGAATGACGATGGTCTTGGTGGTGGCTCCTGGGCTGATGAGGTCGAGGAGACCTACGTGGTTGGCACCCAGCCCCTCCCCTCTGGCGACCGCTCCCGTCCCATGGGCGGCTCCAGCAGCTGGGCTGATCGAGGTAAGATCCCAAGTGATATATGTGTCCACCATTCGTATCTTAACCCGCCGCAGGCTACTCTACCCGCGAGCAGCCCACCCCTCAGGTGCTCCCCGACAGGCCCCCTTACACAGCTCATTTGGGCAACCTCTCGTACGACGCCACCCAAGAATCGGTCAACGAGTTTTTCCAGGACTGCGATGTCGCCAACGTCCGAATCATCGAGGATCGTGAGCTCCAGCGGCCCAAAGGTTTCGGATACGTTGAGTTCAACAACGTGGAGGGTCTGAAGAAGGCTTTGACCTTGGACGGCGAGAGCTTCCAGGGCCGTATGATCAAGATCAAGATTGCCGATCCTCGTACGTAGCCACTACATGGTACAACATGACGCCACAGCTAACAGTGAACAGCCCGAGGCGGCGATAGCGGTCGCGGTGACTTCATCCGTGACATGGGCGACTGGACCCGCAAGGGACCTCTTGAGCCCCCTGCCTCTGCGCGCGGTGGATCTGGACCCCGTGGAGCCTCTGAATTTGGCGAGCGCCGTGCCCCCCGCGATCCGGCCGTCGATGCCAGGCCTCCCCGCGATCTGAACTGGGGTGAGCGTCGTGGACCTCTGGCTCCTTTGTCGCCCGAGGAGGGTGGCCAGGACGCCCGCAGCTCCCGCCAACGTCCTGCACCCGAAGGTATGGGAGAGCGGAGCGAGTCATACCGCGGTGGCGAGCGCCGTCAGTCTCCAGCTACCTGGGGTGAGGGCCGTGCCGACGGGTCACGCCCGGCACGTCGCGACTTCACCGAGCGACCAGAGCGCCCTGCCGCTCCCGAGCGCGCCCCAACGGCCGCCGAGAAGGACAACGCCTGGCGCGACCGCATGCGTCCTGAGCAAGCGCAGAGCCCCCCAGCCGGCAGTGCCCCTGGCTCGCCTGCCCCTGCCAACGCCACGCCTGCTGCTCCTGTCGGCCGCCCCCGCTTGAACCTCGCCAAGCGCACCGTACCTGAGGCTGCCGACGCCGCCTCCCCATCTACTACTTCAGACACAAAGGCCAACCCCTTTGGTGGCGCCCGTCCCATCGACACCGCTACGCGCGAGAAGGAGATTGAAGAGAAGCGCGTCCAGGCTCTGCAAGAAAAGCAAGAGGCCGAGGAGAAGGCCAAGGAGGAGCGCCGTGCTGCCAAAGAGGCTGCCGAGAAGGAGGCAGAGGCCGAGGCCGCCACCAAGTCCGAGGAGGCTGCTGCTGCTGCTGCCCCCGCTGCCCCCGTTGTCCCCGCTGCCGAGAAGGCAGAGGGTGAAGATGCTTCGACGAAGCAAGAGAACGGCGAGCAGCGGTTGCCTGTTCGCAACCGGGAGCCTCGCGAACCCAGGGACCCTGCCTCGCAGCCAAGGGGCGGCAAGGCCTTTGAGAACAACAGCTGGCGCTCGTCTGGCGAGCGGGGCGGGCGTGGAGGTCCCCGTGGTGGCGGTCGCGGAGGTGCCCCGCGCGGTGGTCGCAATGATCGTGGCCCTCGGTCCAACGGCTCCAACAACCAGTCGTCCGTACCACCCACGCCGACCGAATCCGAGGCGCCTGCACAGGAAGACGATGGCTGGACGACCGTCGCCACAGGCAAGAAGGGACGACAGGGCAGGCCTTAGGATGGCCCAGCTGACTTGCGCCAACTTCCGCATCACGTTCGGGTTCACGACTAGAGAGGAGCCAGGGCCGGTTCGCGGGGCGGTGGCGGCGATTCACGCGGAAGGAGAAGGAGGGAGGATCGGACTTGGGATTGATACCCTTTTGAGGAGTGCGGAACCAAAAAAGTTTTCGAATTCTCGATGCAAGAAAAAAGAGCATAAGACGAAGGGAGGGAACAACAAAACTGGTCAACTCCGTGGCCATTTCTAGACTGATAGAACCAATGGTTGTGTGGGTGGCGAAGGAGGCGAGAACGGAAGGAAGAAAGCGACAGAGAGACAAGAGAGACCTCGAGGTTTCTTACACGAGGGACATGAGACTATGCCCGGGGCGTGTCAGGATGGCATGCATGATGTGGAAAGACGAAGGGCTGCGACATGACCCGGCACGTTATGATGAACCCATGTAATGAACCACCCCCCCTTTATTTTCCTTCTTTTGGTCCGTATGAAGGAAGGATGCTTCGCGATTGTTCATGTGAGGAGCAGTCTTGCTATAGACGACGGAGCATGTCAGATAATCGTACTACTGATCACATTTACGTACATGGCTTTTCCTTGGGTCTTGTTAGTTCGTGATAGTATGAACGTCGCAATACGTATAAACAAACGCTGCCGATGAATGCTATAATCTCTTGGCGCCCATCTCCTCCATTGCGTACTCGTCACAGTCCAGATCGCCCGGTCTACCGCCAATCCGCCTGGTCAACCAGACACCAACGCCCGTGACACCCGCACCGATGAGAAACCAGCCCTCGAACCACCCGTCCGCAAAGGCAGGACTCATCAAGGGGGCCCCGCGCACCAGCGCGCCGCTGACCGTGTCGCGGACCTCGCCTGGTAGATGGCTCCGGAGCAGGAGCAGGGACGATATCACATACGTGGCCGCGACTTGACTGGCGCCCAGCGCGAGGGAAGACTGCATGTGCCGATGCAGCACCTTGGGCGTCCACCGGGAAAAGAGATGCAGCGTCTGCACCACGGCGTTTGCGCTCAAGACGAGCATCACGCCCGACAGGGCGAAGCTGATGGTCCGCGCCCACGCGAGCTGGTCCATCTTGGGGTCCCAGTGCCGTGCCAAAAGACCGAGAAACCTGTTGATGGGGTCGCTGCTTGAAAAGCTAGTCGCCGAGGGCGACGACATTCTCCTCAGCGTCGTCACGGTCGTAGCCAGGAGGCGGTAGACACAGTAGCAGCTGAAGACGTACGACGGCACGAGGAGCAACCGGCCCATGGGCGTCGACGCGCGGGCCGCCACGTCCCTCTGCCCCTTGAGGATGGCGAGGTTACTCGCCAGGTTGGCCTCCATGGTCTCGAGGCCGGCAATTTCCATGCGTAGGGTCCTCATCTCCGCCTCCTCCCCCGAGACGCCACGTATCGAGCCCATCATCTTGCCCATGAGGCCACTCTTGGGCCCTTGACTCGGCTCCGACGTCCTACGCTCCAGCATCTGCAGGCGGTGCCGCTTCGTGAGCAGCATCTCGCTCGCGGCGTCGAGACCAGCTTGCTTCCTTGTCACGTCCGCCTCGGTCACAGGCCGCCTCCTCCGCTGTGAGGCATCGCCAAAAGTGTACCACGGCGAACTGACCGAAGCGAAGCCCGCCAGCAGCGCCATGAGACAGATGCCGACCACACCCACCCGCTCCAGACATCCGCGAGTGACCATCTCGACCAACCCATCATCAGCTGTATTTCCCGTCCGCGCGGCCCCCGTGGTCGGCACAGCACCACCGACCGACCAGAAGACAAAAATCCAAGCTTTGAACAGCGCGGACTGAATAGCCCACGCGGTCTTTGCCGATTTCCTCTTTGCGTTGCGCTGAAAATTCCACCCCGCCGCCGCGACCAAGTTTTTGCACTCCAGCCAAGGGAGGACCCCAGCCATCATGAGCAGCAGCCCCCTCACCGTCCAGCGCAGCGCCCACTCCCGCGCAAAACCATCGCCCCAGCGCAGAATCTCCCCCAGAATCTCCGCACCCAGCGTGGCCGCCAAACTGACCGTTGCGCCAAACACAGCGCGCGTCAACCGCTTGTCTAGACTCTTCTCGCCATGCTCAGCGTGGGCGGCCTTAAGGGCCTCGGGCGCATGCCTGGGTAAGACGTGGCCCTCTCCGTCTCGCGACTCGCCGTTTTGTGGTTTCGATAGGCGGGGAAGGATATGTCTCGTGGCAGTAATGTACGTGGTCGCCAAGATGATGGCGAACGGTAGGAGCGAGAAGATGGCGTAAGGTGTCAGGAGCGAGGGTGGAGTGGGCGCACAAGCATCCTCGCTGTCGCTACACCCGGAGAAGGGCCACATTGGCGTCGCGGCCTGTTCGGACGGTGGTTTAGGCTCGTTTGATGTGCGGCGGTCGATGCAATCAAGATCTTGGCGTTGTCTCTGCGTGGAAGCACTAGAGCTAGAGCTAGAGCTGATGTTGGATGGGCAGCAAGGCGCGTGCTCGATTCGAATGAAATCATTGGGCGAATGTGGGAAAGACCAGCGTGGTTAACGGGTGTTCATGAGCAACGCGAGGATCAAGCTTCGTCCACGACGGAGTATGGCCTGCAGGTTGGACGTGGACGTCATCAGGGACAAAAAACATCGAAATCTGACACAGTCCGCGACAAGCACCGCCGGAAAGGGTGATGCGTTCAAAATGTGGGGCGTGGCCTGGCCTCGCCTCGCCCATCCTAGTCTAGTAATATTAGGGAGGTATTGTCAAACATACCACATCCGTTATTGAGCATACCCGCTGAGGCGTACAGGCTCTCCTTACCACGTAGCTGAAATTAGCTACGTTCGTATGCCGCGACTACTCATATCATCTTTAATATTTAAGACGCTACGATATAGTACAAGTGAACGAAAAAGGCTCTGGCCGAATAAGGCTGTAGCCGAACAATACTCTGACCGAATAATGTTCTAATACCCGTAGGTTAGCGATGGCCTTAAACTTTTGCCGCTATCAGCCGTCAATTAAGGCGAAGTCACGAGGCAGTGGATATACGGCACCACAGGGGCTGCTGCTAGTGCTACGGAGTACTGCTCACGCCGCACTTGGCGCCATTGGGTATGCTCAATAATAGATGTGGTATGCTTGATAATATCTCCCTAATAATATTCGGAGAATTCTTAGCAGACAAAAGCTAAGTTAAGTAAGAAAAACGCGCTGGTCATTCATTCGCTACTCTATCGCTGCTGTCAAAGATATACATGTCGAAAAGCCCCCACAGCTCAGGACTGCCGGCTCGGGACTCTGCGAAGCTCTGGCATCCCATCCTCATCCGTCTGAGACTACTCTGGATCTGGGGACGCGTCAGATTCGTCCGTCGGGGCCTCTTCCCCCTCTCCCGATATTTCTTGACTCAGAGTCAGCACCGCATCCAAGCTCAGAGGCTCGCCGCGGTTCCGTGGGTCCGGTTGTTGGTCCAACAACCGGACCATGCGTGGTATGGCTGGCGGCGCGATACATCGGACCCTCACTGGCTCCTTGTTCGGTTGCTCGCTCTTTGGAGGCAAATCTTGATACTTTGGCAGCTTATCCCCATTCTGAGGTTCGCGCATCTTTTGCTTGCCCTTCCTATCGGGGACAGGGCCCACCGCAGCGTTGTTCGAATCGGAGTCTGCTGAATCGGCTCTCCTCGTCATCCAGTTACTGTGACCCTCCCCGTTGTCCGAGTTCTCCTCAGGGACGGTTGGCAGTCTAGGCGCCCCTCGATGTTGCCTTTTCGCTTCAGCACTCGCCACGATGGTCAGGCTCGGCTGCTCCAATGGGGTCAGTGTCGCGTGCAGCATCTGACGGCAATGAATACAGGGTGCCCGCCACTCCGTTTCGCCGGACTGACATGTGTGCCACGCAGGATGGGAGCTCCAAGGTAAGCCCCATGCAATTTCGGTATCGCAAGTTGGACAGCGATCAAACCAGTGGAAGAACCCGTCGTAGAACAATCTTGACTCGTTGCTGTTTCGTAGAATGTAATCCGCCGTGCTGAGCTCAGGGTAGTTATTCGACTGTTTTGGTCGAAGGTCGTTGTTGGGGAAACGGACTTCATTGGTATCAAACGTCTGCCCATACACTACGTCCACTCTGGTTGCACGATAGGTACTCCGTTGGGGAGGTGACGGCAACTGCTCTACATCAACCTCTGCATTATTCCAAAACGGCACATGCTGCTCGCCCGCCGAGGTGGTCGTCACTTGCTGTTCTGCGGGTAGATTTGCGGGTCGATCTGCGAGCTTTATCGGTTGCGGTTCATCCCTAACATCCGGTCTTGGTGATGCTTGGCCACGTCGACCTCGGATGAATCTCCACATCTGGGTGGGCTTCTTCCGGATCTCTGGGCCGAAGACTTGTCCAAAGGAGCAGCACATTAGCCGGAAGGGACCACAGCAAGTTTGACAGGTTGTGTCAGTCTCTATGGAAGGAACAGCAGCATCGTCCGCGAAATCGGCCTTGCCTGCGGCGCCATCATCCGGGTCGTTTGGTGCGTCAGCAATCTGGGCATCCTGTGACGAGGGATTGGCCACAGCGGTCTGGGTCTCTTGCCCCGACGGCGGTCTGGAATTTTCCTCATTGGGATGATCCTCCTGGGAGGGATCGGCTCCTGGACGAGATGCCGGAGGATCGCTGACAGTGTTTGAGGATGGAGTCGGCGATGTTGGGGGCAGACCAGTGCCCTGACCTTTCGGAGAAGATGTGCAAGACTCGCCAGCAAGGCTTGGGAGGGCCTGTTGCCACTCGCTCAGACTCGACACGAATGCGCTTGTGTCAGTCCAAGCCCCCGTTATTGAATGGGACTCAATATGAAAACTGAATGGTTGCTTCTCGAACGTGACAGTGGTCGAACACAGCTTCTAAGATGCGTTCTTGCTGTCGCCTTCGTCATCCGAATCGGAATCAGAACCCAACTTGTGGTCTCGCAACGCCATGGCTTCGCCGACTTCCATCTTATGCAGCTCCCTCTTCTTTGCTTGATCCAAGGCCTGGTCGCCCGTCATGACTTCAAACTCGCCCTCGGCGTCGTCATCCTCCGAGTCACTACTTTCGCTGCCAGCACTGAGAGGCCCTGTGGAAACACTGGCCTCTGTCTGTGGCACTTCCGCCATGACCTGGAGCGTCGGAGCAGTAGGCGAAGGCGTGATTCGATTGTAGGTTGTAGATGCCAATGGTCTGATAGTAGGATCGAATGATGCGGGTAAGCCCAGGACTTTGGCGACTTGATGCGCTTCTTCGTCTGGCGAGATCTTGACCTCGAGGTCATACTGGCGACTTGCTTCACTGTCAGCCTCATGCTTGCCGTCGGTAGCCGACAGCATCCCCGCGTACGTCTGACGCGAGGCATCTGCAGCTCGTTTCTCCTTCTTCTTGATGCGTTTCTCCGTCGGGCGAACGACCACAACAGGTACTGGGGAGTATTGTAGACAGTACTTGGAGAAAGAATTGCGCGTGTTGACAAGCCCTTGCAGACCGCCAAGGGATCGGCCTCTGGTCCCGACCACAAGCATGGCAGGTTCGTGCATGTGGATAAGCTTCTGGAATGTGCCGTGCAACTTGCCCACGGCATACTCCAGAATGAAACTCAGGGCCTTGCCCGCGGTATTCTTGGCTCGGATGCTGTCCATGATTGACCTGGCCTCTTCTTGGTAGCTCTTATCTTGCGTTCGAATATCCTTCTCCATGACGCGCACACAGACAACTTCATCGCCGTCGTCCACAAGTTCGTCGAGCAGCCACTGGAGCGCATAGTCCGAATATGCATGCTCATCGACGCCCACCATGAACGTGCGCGACCTGCGCCCAGCGCGGTAGCCCTTGTGCCTGTCGTTGAGCGTCAGGCTCGGAGTATTGTTCTTGGTAGCTTCGCCGAGGGGAATGTTATCGAATGCGACTCGGTTCTGGAACCTGTTGCCGGGGGGGTTAGTTAACGCGACCATGCTGGGAGTATACGAAAGTGTAGAAGCAAGGCAATGAAGTATGTCCTGCGCAAAAAAATATTCGCAGATGCAGGCGCAGAATAGTGAAGGAAGAGGGAGGCCGTCGTGGCTGAGGCAGTCTGGGCCTGGTCTCGTGTCGTCGGTCCATCTGAATCCGGCCATAACTAATTTGGCGGGGTAAACCCGGGCGAGTGCCAGTGATGTCGGCTGCGGGGCCTTGTGATGTACGTATCGTAGCCTGCTTCTTTCTGCAAACAGTCGAACGAACAAGATTTGCTAGGCAACTCTGAACCCTTTGTCTTATGACCAGGTTCAATCGTTCGCAAGCAAGAGCATAGTCTTCCGTAGTCGCAAAGATCAGAAACTGGGGAGAGCCCACATGGCATGGAACGAGACTCGCCCTTGACATGCGATGCGACACTTTTGCAAGGCGGTGCATACTTGAGAAAAGGCATATCTCAGCCTGTGGCTCTCACTTGATAGCGCACATTGAGCCCGGTCGTGGTTCGTTGTGTTCGTTGTGTGGACGTCGTGGGCCTCGAGCTATACCAACGCCTCAGATCGCACACTCACGCGTCTGAGACATCACAGACACCTGGGAGGGGCAATGGACTTGACTGTTGTTACGTACCTTTCTGGTTTGGGCGAAGCATTGCGGAGACGACCTCTGTTCATGCGCTTCTCGCAGCCTTGCGGTAGATTCGGGTTTCTAGGGAGCTGAATAGTGACAGAAGACACAGACGAGTGCCTACTGAGGCCGGTGACCTTCTGTCCACCTTGGCTCTCCTGCGACATCGATGGGGCGGGCGTGGTATCAGACAAGGTGGATGTGTAGGAAGACTTGAACTCTGACGAATCGACGCTGTCGTCGGCCCTATGGCTTGCCGTTGAGCCGCCGGTCTCTTTCCGGAAATAGTCTCCGCTCGCGTTGACTGGGACGGCAGTCTTGGGGCTAATGTCGTGCCCGGGGCTCGTGGTGGGAGCTGAAGCTGCCATTTGGCAGGTTGAAAGTTGTGTCTTTTGGAAGGAAATCAATACGTTGCGTACTCGCGCGCACCTTGAAAGCTAAAGATGGGAGACGGTCTTGAGTTGAGTCTAGGGATTGTTCTGGAGTATGTGGGTTGTGATAGATGTTGTTGATCAATTGTCAGTTCAGCGGTGTTTGTAGGCACCGTGAAGAGATCGACTGAAGGCCAGCGGCAAGAGTGCTTGCCTGCCTTTTGTCAGAAAACAAACTTTTGGAATGCGTGGTCGAAAGCAGGTGAAAGTCCAACAGACAGCTACGAGCTTATCGCAACTGATAAGAGTCCTGGCTGGGATGGGATGGCGCAGCTGTACCTGTAGGTAAGTTGTCGATTGAGGGCAACCGTGAAGCAAGTGCCAGTGAGATAATTAGCCAGCAGCGTATGGCGTGGACCACGAGGCCGATAGTGCGAGGCGATTCGCTGTAAATTGGTCGTGGATGAACGAACAATGACTTCTGGACATCCGAAACTCGCGGTCTGTGTCACTGAATTGCTCGCACCGTCACACTTTATATGATATGTCACACCGATGACTCTGAGATGCCTAGCTCCAAAGTTTCTACCGTGGCCGGAAGGACGCGTAATTGTAGCCGCACCAGGTCGAGACCGTCGCCGGGATGTCGCGCCGTTGCTTGAGCTTCGTGAGCGCAAAAGAGGGGAAGGAAAGGAAGAAATGATGGAGCAAAGGGAACTCGATGGATGCTCAAGACTAGCACGGGGATCTTCCGCAAAGCCAAGCCTCTAACCAGACCCTTGACGCCATATCTTGCAGTCAGCGACTCAGCGGCTAATGCCCTCAGCCGATCCTAAGCAGCTGCGCTTGCTTGGCTGCCTCTTTCTTCAAGATCTGATCATCATGTTTCTAAAGTGTCACATGCCACACATGTCGCACAACGCCAAGCCATTAATGGCTGGCCATCAGCTAATTAGTAGTGGTTACTGCAGCTCTCCGCTGGTGGGCTTGTTACTACTCCTCGGATCGGTGCGGCAGATGTGGGCCCACAAGAGGGCGGAGTGCTTTAACCCTTCTTAAGCTTGATTTTTGAGTCTCCACGATGCCATGACATTGACACGTGAGATGCTGGCATGCTGCCGCTGTCGGTCCCTGTCGATTATAGGGCACGGCGTTTGGTTCTTCTGCCGACAGCCTGATAGAAATTCACAGTCAAAGAACTTGCTGCAGCCACCCCATTCCCTCCTGTTCATCAGACTATTGTAAAGAGAACAACCCTCTCGCTGCTGGTATGTACACATGCAGGGCTTATCGGCGAATTTCGGGTGCGAGTATCACCAGTGTCATGCATGTCTCATCTGCGCTATGTGGTATTCTGATAACTTCTATTAACTTGGTATCAGAGGTGCCCAATGACCAAAAGCTCTGCTACGTCGTGATTCGCGAATCATCCAACGACAAGATAAGGTCCTTGAGTCGAGCTAGAGGCCAAGCCATATACCATTTTCTATAATTGGAAGGCAAGAAAAATTGTTCTGGGATTTTTGTCATCTTGGTACCGCCGGAACAAGTACGTGGAGGAGTCCAAGACTCCAGAGCTACTCGCGCTACGAGCATGCTTGGCCTCCCCGGTACTGCAACAGCACTCTGACCATAGGTAAATGTTCATCGCGTCAATTGCATTGCATGCAGTTACACAAGCAATAAGGATTGGACCATGCGGTGATCAATTCTTCATTATCCATGCTACGAACATCAAATGGATGGGTCCCCTCCCCCCATTCTTTTCGTTCTCCATCGTTCAAAAGGGCCCAACGCCGTGACGCCAATGTCAATGCTGCCTACCAGTGGGCTTGCATACCGTTCCGAGCTTCTACCGCTCGAACAATGAAAACCTATCCGTCTATGTTCGCCGTCGCCCAGTGCTCGCTCTTACATACATACAATTTAGTTGTAGGTGCGCGAGAGGTTGCGCAGGTACCAGTCGACCAGCTTGCGTCCGACCTTGGCCTCGGAGATGTGGATGAGGTCCTGCGAATGTTAGTCAATATCCGAGTAGGGGGGAGGTGACACAAAGAAAACTCACATTCTGGAGAGCATAGTCGAGGTCGCTGACGTTGACAAGCTCGCCGTCAAGCAAGCTGTTGTCGTTCCACCTCAGCTGCTTGGTGCGCTGCTTGGTCACCAGCAGCCACGAACGCAGGTCATCGGGCGTCACCTCGAGAAAACCGGCCAGCTTGTTGAGGTCCATGGTGGTGTACAGCCTGAGGTACGACTTGATGGTGGGACTCCACATGTTGGTCTTGACCTCGTCCATGAAGACGGCAAGGTGGTGCTCGACGGGGTCCACGTTGGATTCGGGGTTGTCAAAGTCGGGGGGCACGGGCGAGATGAACTTGGGGCAGGCGGTGCGGAAGAGCTCCTCGAAAATGGGGAGCGACTCGGGCCCACCGCGCTGCAGCTTAAGCAGCTGGTCGCCGTACTTTTCGCGCAGAGCGCTGTGGATGGTGTCGTCGAGACGGGTGGGGTTGAAGGCGACGCAGATGGCGATGAGGGCGTACATCTGCTCGTTCTTCTTGGTGATCGAGTCGAATTGCGCGTTCTTCTGGAAGTTCTTGGTGCGCGACACGTAAATGAGGATGTGGCTGAACATGCGGATGGCGTCGGCGTAGCGGTGCATCATCATGTAGGAGAAGCCGACGTAGTAGTACGTGGTGAAGTGAGCGGCCATGACGCGCGCAAACATGGCCTTCTTGTTGAGCTCAATGTCGTCCAGCGTCTTGACAGCGAGGCTGAAGTCACCGAGCAGGGTGTGCACACGCAGCAGCCCAATGATGGAGAAGTATCCCAGCATGCGGTACAGGTTTTTGGAGCCATACTCGCCCGCCACCGCCATGGGGTCTTCGTTGCGCTTCATTGCGGCGAGCTGCTCGGTGATCTGCGAGCGCTGAATGAGCGAGTAGAGCACGTTCAGCACACTGTAGCAGCCCCACGTGTTGGGGTTCTCGCGCAGAATCTGGATCTCCTCCTCATTGTTGGCCTGTCGTGCGATGCGTGACCGGTAGGAGCAGAACGAATTGAACTGGTAGATAAACTCGTCAATCACATCCCAAGCCCAGTAGTACTAGAATCGTTAGTCTCCCGTTGCTCCCCCTCTCTGGACAATTGGCAGGCGGAAACGAACCGATGGGGGCTCGAGGTCGACGGGACCCTCGGAGTTGAGGATAAAGTGGAACAAGCTGCAGTAAGCATCGTAGCTCTGGAACTTGACCTCAAGAGGTGCCGAGTAATCGAGGGGCTGCGCAGCCTGCACGAGGCGCGCCTGGATATCGTCGGCCTGGTTGATAGAGTTGGTCTGGCTGAGCTCGTCGCCGTCCTCGTACTGAACGTGTTCCTTGTACTCCGCCACGAGAGCCTCCTCCTCAACATCGCTATCGTCGCCCATGGCGCGTGCCGGAGCTACACCATTCTGATAGGTCGCCATTGTCGGTGTCGTGTCCGGTCGCTCGATCGTCCTTCTCGTCGTCGCAGGCGAGGAGGTAGTGATCGAATTGTGGATTGAGGGGCACCGAAATTTTGCCTGGGCGGGGATGTCTGGCTTCGTCTGCTAATTTTCGTGAGCCGTTAGCTGGTTCCGTTAGGGCTTGCACATGGCGGGGTGAGCAAGTGTGGCGCACACGCGTTAGATGCATATGTAATGTGGCTGTGGGTGACGGTAATGGTGGTGTAGCCATAGTGAGTCACGAGAAGCGACAGGCATCATTTTTTCTGCACGTTGCGTGGCGCTGCCTTGATGGATTGCAACATGAAAGAGCTTGGAACCCGCGCAGATAATTTCAATTGAAGTCGAACTCGTTTCCTCTGTTCTGAGGCTATTACAAACCTTTGGAGCGTGTTCGTTCATCTTATCTCGTCGCCCAAAACTTCGTCATAGAGGGGCATTGGAGGGGCATTTATCGCAGAGCTTTGTCACTTAGGACAACATCCATCAAAATGCCCGTCGTTACGCCTGAAAAGTTGGCGAGCTTGCAAAAGCAGTCGCAGGATGTTAGAAATGTGAGTCTTGAACCTGAAATGAGCGTTGACCAAACTGACTTTGCAGATCTGTATCCTCGCACACGTTGACCATGGCAAAACTTCACTCACAGACGCTCTGTTGGCGACCAACGGGATTATCTCGCCGAAATTGGCGGGGAAGATTCGATATCTAGACTCAAGACCCGATGAGCAGACTCGTGGCATCACGATGGAGTCGTCGGCCATTTCGCTGTACTTCTCCATGCTCAGGCGATCAGCCCCCGAAGCATCCCCTGAGCAAAAGGAGTACCTCATCAACCTGATCGATTCGCCGGGCCATATCGACTTCAGCAGCGAAGTTTCAACTGCGTCAAGACTATGTGATGGCGCGGTGGTGCTGGTGGATGCTGTGGAAGGAGTGTGCAGCCAAACTGTCACTGTTCTCCGTCAAACATGGACAGAGAAACTGAAGCCGTTGCTGGTCATCAATAAAATGGACCGTCTTATCACGGAGCTCAAAATGACGCCCGGGGAGGCGTACATTCACCTCAGCAAACTGCTGGAACAGGTCAACGCAGTTTTGGGAAGCTTCTTTCAGGGTGAGCGTATGGAGGAAGACCTCAATTGGAGGTCGAGAATGGAGGCACGCATCAACGCCGCAGCGGCGGCGAAGGAGTCTGCAATCGCGGACCAGCTGGGCGACACCGGAGATATTGAGTGGGAAGAGCGCGATGATGAAGAGCTCTACTTTGCGCCAGAGCGGAACAACGTTATTTTCAGCAGCGCCGTCGACGGTTGGGCCTTTACGGTTCGGCAATTTGCCAGTCTATACGAGAAGAAGCTGGGTATCAAGCGCGGTGTCATGGAAAAGGTGCTTTGGGGCAACTTCTACCTCGATCCAAAAACGAAGAAGGTCCTGGGACCCAAGCACCTGAAAGGTCGCAACCTCAAACCCATGTTCGTTCAGCTGGTTCTAGAAACGATCTGGACGGCATACCAAGCAACATGTGGAGGAGACAACGGGAAAGGAGATTCAGAGTTGTTAGAAAAGGTCACAAAATCGCTGAATATCTCGATACCACCGCATATTATCAAGGCGCGCGATCCGCGGTTACTCATGACCACGGTATTCTCAAACTGGCTCCCTCTGTCGACAGCACTGTTGGTCTCCGTCGTTGAGAGCCTGCCGTCACCACCTAAAGCGCAAGCCGAAAGATTCCCAGAGTTGTTGGCGGATATTCCCGGCTCTGACGCGATCGATGCACAGATCAAGCATGCCATGGTGAGTTTCAAGACCGAACAGGACGCTCCTGTGGTTGCATACGTGAGCAAAATGGTGTCAGTACCGGAGAGCGAATTACCAAAGAACAAGAGACGACCGGGACAGATGACTGGCGAGGAAGCGAGAGACCTGGCAAGGAGGAAGCGAGCTGAGGCTGCCCGGGCGCAAGGAGAGAATGGAGACACAAGCGTGTCTGATCTCACAGAAGCGCTTGACAACGTCAACATTGACAATATTGTCCCCGAGCTGGAGGAGCAGAAACGAGATCCCGAGCATTTGATTGGATTTGCTAGAATTTATTCGGGCACCTTGTCAGTGGGTGACACACTGTACGTGGTACCGCCAAAGTGGTCACCAGCAAATCCGGATGCTGAGCCGCGGCCTCAGAAGGTCACTGTTACGGACCTGTATATGCTCATGGGGCGGAATCTTGAGGCACTCCAATCTGTTCCCGCAGGTGTTGTGTTCGGCATCGGTGGTCTTGAAGGCAAGATTCTCAAATCGGGCACACTCTGCAGCAAACTTGAGGGCGCCGTCAACCTGGCGGGTGTGAGTATGGCAGGGCAGCCGATTGTGCGCGTAGCCCTAGAGCCAGTCAATCCGCTAGATCTCGACAACATGATCGACGGACTCAAGCTTCTTGTGCAGAGCGACCCCTGCGCGGAGTACGAGCAGTTGAGCAGTGGAGAACACGTGCTGTTGACCGCTGGCGAGCTGCACCTTGAGCGATGCATCACAGATCTTCAGGAGAGGTTTGCACACTGCGAGATCCAGCGAGGCGCACCCATCATCCCTTATCGCGAGACAATTGTCCGCGCTGATGAGATGCGACCGGCGGCCAACAAGGAGCTGGGTCGAGGTGGTGTCATTGGAATCACAAGCTCAAAGCAAATCACAATCTCGATGCGAGTGAGGCCTTTGCCCGCCGGGGCCACGGAATTTCTGCTCAAGCACGGAGAAACTGTGAAGAGCCTGTACACAGATCATGATGCGGATGATGAGAGCAATGAGGGAGAGGAGGAAAAGATTGTGGCGGACACAGACGTGGCGACCGGCAGTGCCCTGTCTATGGAAGACTTCAAGAAGAAGTTGAAGGGGCTTCTGGAAGAGGGTAAGGGGCGTGAGGTATGGAAAGGTCAGACGGAACAGATCTCTGCCTTTGGACCACGGAGGACAGGCCCCAACCTACTCATCGACTCGACCAAGGATGGCCTGTTGACCAAGGCATTTTCGGATACGGAAACAAGAGCTGCGGCACCAGAAGCCGGCGAGGCGCTGAAGGCAGGCCACTTCTGTGACAAGATCAACTACGCTTTCCAACTCGCCATGGCACAGGGCCCTCTCTGTCACGAGCCTGTCCAAGGCGTCGCCGTCTTCATCGACGATGTTTCTCTGGCTCTGAACGAGGACTACTCGTCTGCCCGCGACAAAGTCGGGCGTCTCACTGGTGAGATCATCAAGACATTCCAAGCATCGCTCCGATCTGCCTTCCTCGATTGGTCTCCACGGCTGATGCTGGCCATGTACTCAGTCGAGATCCAGGCTTCCACTGAGGTGCTGGGACGCGTCTATGATGTACTCACCAGACGTCGGGGTCGTGTCGTAGCCGAGACCATGAAGGAGGGCACGCCATTCTTCACCATTCAAGCCCTGTTGCCTGTCGCTGAAAGTTTTGGTTTCGCGGACGAGATGCGGAAGCGGACCAGTGGCGCAGCGCAGCCCCAGCTCATCTTTGCTGGATTCGAGATCTTGGACGAGGATCCCTTCTGGGTGCCGTTCACTGAGGACGATTTGGAGGATCTTGGCGAGTTCGCGGACAAGGAGAACGTGGCCAAGCGATACATGGACAGCGTGCGGAGGAAGAAGGGTCTGCTGGTCGAGGGCAGGAATGTGGCCACCAATGCTGAAAAGCAGCAGAACATGAAACGATAGGCATTACATATAATCCGTTGCCATATTGCTGCAGCAATGCGAATAACTGCACCAGCAAATCGTTTTGTCAGAACTTACATGTAACTTGGGAGGCGCAGCCGGAATGCCTTGAACCAGCCGATTAGGACTACCCTAGAGTAATCCAGAGACGTGCTAAGTCGAGCACGATAATGACTCAGCATGTTGCGCCACCAAAGACAACGTCACACGTGACAATCCCTACGACTTCATTAACTCCAGTCACCTTCAATTGCGCACCGCCTTGAATCTGTCGCGTGCCTCTCACGCCTGATGAAATGTCGGCTGTCGAACCTGCGTCGGCCGCATCCAAGCCCACAATCCATAACCGCTCCAGCGCGCATCCAACGGCACTCGTAAACGATCCTGGTCGTACGAGGCAGTAGCCGTCATCGACATGTTGCAGAAGCATGGTCAAAGATCGATATTGAGAACAAAGATCGGGTTGTATAATCCAAGATGATTTATTCCGCGGCCCAAAGCCTCCGGCTATGGCAGGGGTATACCGGGGATCTGCCTGGTCTAGGAAGAATTGCATCTGCCCCCGTGAGGTCTATTCGTCAACTATGACATCTTACACTCTCGGTCAGAACAGGCATCAGAGCTGGTCACCCCACCACATCACAATGACCCGATATCCAAACGGCCACTTCGGAGAACCTGACAATAGGTCCAAGGTCCTAGTTCCCGTTGTGACAAAAGCAAGTGCCGGCTCTGGCAGTGGGGACTTTCAGATCGAACCAAGTGGGCATTCGTCTAGGGCCAATGCCTATGGCGTCCGCAAGACGACAGATCGGAATGGTGACGGCGAAGCTTTCTGTCGAAGTTCGGCAGCACTGAACGGCATGGCTGAGTCCTGGAGATGTTGGCCGCGCAATGTGTGCGTGGAGACTGGCACACATTCGAGGTAGCGGGCAATACGGATACGCCACTCTGCTGGCTCATGACCAGGTGGTGACGAACAAATCAGTCAACCCATGGGGCAGTGTGGTATCGATCCTAGCAGCGCTCGCCCTCTTATAAGAACCACGAGCTCACTAGCCTCTGGCCTTACTGCTCTCGTCTTACACTTCAGTCATATCATATTTGCAGCGCTCAGGATGTTGTCACAAGCCACCTTTCTGGCCCTGGTAGGCCACTCTCTCGCTGTGCCCTTCGTCTCCAGGCCGACGACAACCTTTGTTGCCCCTGCTACAGCAACCGCGCCGATTGTCTCTGTCGAAAACGTAACTTCACACGGGCCCTTCAGTGGCACACCAACAACGACAGGCGCACTATCTACTAATGCGCTGGCACCATCCATTGCACCTTTGGGTCCCGCACCCAATGCTCTCGATTACTCGGCGGACGGGCAACTCCACGCCCCTTTCCCAGCGCCGTACACACCAGCCGGTGGACGCGGCACGAACGGCACTGAGCCTGTCTACAAGCCGATGAGTGACTTTGACTACCAGTCCCTTGCTCTCGCCCTCTATCAGGAGTACATCGAGCTTGATCTTTTCCACTGGGGGTTAGCGACGTTTTCCGAGCAGGAGTTTAACAACAATGGTCTTACGGCTGAGGACCGCTACCTCTTGCAGTTCATGGCTGAGCAGGAGGTCGGCCATGCCACTGCTTTGACCAACATGCTTGGTGCCCAGGCCCCCGTCCAGTGCACCTACAACTACCCTGTCAGCAATTTACGCGAATATATTGACTTCAGCCAGAAGCTCACACGATGGGGTGAGTCTGGTGTGTACGGCTTCCTGAACCACCTAGACTCGGGCGCCGCTGGCCAGATTCTGTTGCAGAGCATCACTACCGAGGCGCGCCAGCAGATGATCTTCCGCCAGTTTGAAGGCCTCTTCCCCATGCCCGAGTGGTTTGAAATTGGTATCCCTCAGTCATGGGCCTGGACGTTGCTTGCGCCTTACATCTCATCGTGTCCCGCCAACCAGACTCGCCTTGTGTGGCAGAACTTCCCGTCCCTGGATATCTTGAACCAGCCGAACCCGGCCCGCATCAACGGCTCCGCCGTCTTCAACGAGACCACTGGGGGCTATGCCAACACCCTGAGCACAAGTGCTATCCAGAACGGCGAGTCGTGTCTCAATGCTACCGAACCTGGACTGGGTTGCAACCCATCTATCACCCAGAACCGAACCAACCCACTGAGCTATCCTGGACGTAAGGTCTTTCTGCAATGGGACGAGCCTGGTAAACCGATCGGACCCAACAATAGCTATGTCACAAACACCACCGCCGGCACCCCCAAGTTTGCCCTGTGGGTGAACCAGCTCAACGCAACCTACACGCCACTTTCCGACGTTGCGAACAACACTGCATACACCTTCCAGCCTAACACCTCAGTGTTTGACAGTGGGCCCATGATCAACGGAACTGTTTTCCTGGCTTTGACAGATCTCGACCTGTACGTCACGCCGTACAACTTGAGCATCGTCAATCCCCACGTCAATGCTTTGGCTATCTACCAGGCTGGTTAAAAGTTGCTGTTCTTGCGTGTTTTTAAAGAGATGGCGCACGGAGCTGGGTCAAAATTGGCGAGATGAGGAGTCCAGGTAATGAGCCAGTTGAGAAGGAGTCAATTTACGATGTTTAATGAGCATTCAATTCCACCAGATATTGGTGTGCTGTAGTTCAGCAGCCGTTCAATCGCGAAACAGCGGCCTTGTCCGTAATTCTGGCGAGCATTGATTTGCCCCTGATAAGGCAGGGGGTTGTGATTGATCCACCAGGTGGTTGAGTGACGATTTGTAATATTGCTGGCATACACCCAAGAATTGGGGACATGTGGAACCCTTGTGCTCTGCCACTGTATCCCATGAGCACAGGCTGACCGACTCTCGCACTTCTCGTATATTCAGTCGACCAGGATGTACGCGATTACTACGATCCTTAGTGGGGTGATAACGTCACTCATCCGAAGGAACATAAATAGCAGACAGGGTTTACTTGATGGAAGCATCTACAGTCTGCACCGTACAGCCAGTGGTTTATTGAAAATGCGATCTGCAACTCTACTGTGGTTTCTTGGTACCGCTCTGACGGTGCCTTCAAAGGCATGTGGCTTCTGCAAAGCCTATCCTGGGACAGAGGCCTGGCCCGCGAGGAAGGAATGGACGGTCTTGAACGACACAATATCGGGTCGTCTCATTCAGCCCGTGTTGCCTGGAGGCGTTTGTCATGAGAGCCAACCTAATTTCGACGAAGCAGAATGTCGCACCCGACAAAGCGAGTGGTCATCCTACGAGAGGCACAGCACGGACCCGGTGTCAGTGATGTACGACAACGCTGCCAACTGGACGTGTCTGCCAGATCCCACAAAGCCTTGCACAGACTGGGGTTATCCGGCCTATGTCATCAACGCAACGATGACAGAACATGTCAAGGCCGGTGTGGACTTTGGTGGGACCGTTTCCGAACCTAGAGACGTGAGCTGACCCTGAAAAGCGCGTGACAACAATATCCGTCTGGTGGTCAAGGCGAGCGGCCACGACTTTCTCGGCCGATCAGTTGCTCCCGGCTCACTCTCCATATGGATGCACCATTATGACAACGTCGAGTTCCACGCTGGCAGCTTCCAACTTGACGGGATGGAATCTTTGTTCAAGGGAGATTCCGTCTCTTGCGGTGGCGGCACCAGCATGTATAGCCTCTATAAGGAGACCGATAAGCACAAAACGACTGTGGTCGGGGGCGGTGCCAAAAGTGTAAGCGTCGGAGGCTATATCTTAGGTGGGGGCCACGGCATGCTCTCTCCCGACTATGGCCTGGCTGCCGATAACGTCATTGAGATGGAGGTCGTGACGCCCCTTGGGGATGTCCTCATTGCCAACAAGGGATCGAACAATGACCTGTACTGGGCGCTTCTGGGCGTAAGTGAACGTGGTAGCATGGCGGAACAGGCTGACCACTGTAGGGCGGCGGTTCGACCTTTGGCGTCGTGACTCGCTTCACGATCAAGGCTCATCCTACTCCTCAGCTGCAGTTCGTCACGTTCATTGCAGCTACCAGCCCGAGCAACCCCATGGCTGCCGACATTGTTACTTTCCTCGCAAGTCAGTTTCCTGGTCTCAACGATGCTGGCCTGCGCGGCTATGGCTTCCTGACCATGTCCGGTTTTGACATGGGCGTCGAAGGCGTCCCCAAAGAGTGGTCAGGCATTGCAGGCGCCTTCACGGTGGTCGATCGGTCGGCACAATACACCGAGAGTCTACTTACGAAGCTGAACAACACGCTCCTGGAAAGTTCCAACGGCACAGGTTCCGTGACTGTTCTGCCCATTCAAACGTATGATACCTTTATGGAGTACTTTGACGAGAGGTTCGATGCAGGCAACTGCGGCGTCACAACACTTTTGAAATCTCGCCTTCTAGATCGGAGGGCCTTGACCCACGATCTAGATGCGCTCAGGGCAGCGCTGATAGCAGCGACAAACGTCGCTGGTATGATCCATTTCTATCCTCTCGCCGGCAAGGCCGTCCACGAGGCTGCCAATGGTGGTCGTGACAACTCTGTCAACCCTGGGTGGCGCAGTGCCTACGTTCACGCATGTAAGTGCAGATGTACCCCGCCCCTCGATGAATTTGTGTTAAACCTTGCAGTGATCTCCACCAGTTTTCAGCCTTTCAACAGGACTGCCGAGAAGGATACCCAGGCTCTCCTGGAAGAGGCTTGGGAGCCCATGGTGCAGCTGACGCCTGGTATGGGATCGTATATCAACGAGGCCGCATATTTTGAGGACAATCCCGCCGAAACATTTTGGGGCGACAATTATGAACGTCTACTTCAGATCAAGCGCAAGGTTGACCCGATGGACGTCATGTGGTGCCCGTTTTGCGTTGGGCACGAGCACTGGGAGCAGCGGGGGGATGGGCAGCTTTGCAGAATCGCGGGCTCGAGCGGGTCGCTATTTCCTGGAGAAATGAGCTTTGATTTTATTACATAGCGCTCGGCGAGGTGGTGCTTGGAGGCGTATGTTGTCTGTCGAACAGTTACGGGTGGGTGGTGGAAATGTGGCACCTCACCATGCGTAGTGACCCTACCAGGTAGATGCAGTGAACCCCACAGTGACGCGGCGGCAGTGTATCTGCTGACATAAGCATTAGAAACTAGTCTAGCAAATTTATGGAATAGCGGGTCCAGTCTGTGCACGTTCCCGAAGCGCAGGATCGAAGGGTCCTGATCTCAGGGCTCAGGCTAGACCGTCTGACTCCTCTGAATCGCCTCACTCTTGTCTCTCCTTTGGACAACCCACCCGCCACGTTCTTTGTGATCCAGACGCCACACTCATTTCGCGACACGTGTGCATGACTGACCGAATTCTTAATCCAGCATCTTTCTTCGTTCTCGATTAGGTCAGGCCACGCACATCCCATCCAGGGTCCAATCTACAGCGCGTTCCGCACGCGATCAAGCTTTGGACTATCCCGACCCCTCCACGAGCCTCGAGCACCCCACTACCCAAGGCATAATCCCAAATCCCTGAACATGCCACTCTTCGGCAAGAGCAACAAGTTCAAGGCGAATCCTCCCAAGATACGAGTTGAGAAAGTCACTGTCAGCCGTTCCGCTTCGAAGCCCCCGGCTACCAGTGCTGTCAAGTCTGCGGTCCCCTCTTCCAACCGATCTCTCGGGTCCAACTCGGCCCGCGCATCACCCAAGCCAGCTTCGCTGCGACAAGAAAGCCATTCTCCTTACCCTTCTAGCTCCGATGAGCGCAAGCGCAAGCGTGCAGTGAAAACGCCGTCAGCGCGCGCAAGCCCCGCCGTAGTGGAACGCCCGGCCTTCGACAAGGACAGCGACGCTGAAGAGGACGATGGGTGGCTCACGCTAGAGACCAGGAAACGACAAAGAAAGGCGCGAGAGGAGGACTCGAGTCGTCAGTTAAAGAATGAGCGGTCGTTTGAGGATGGCTACGGCAAGCTTGAGTACATCCATGCCGTGGATGTTGCCTCACTCGAGTGCAAGTGCGTACCGGTCATGGGCGCTACAGAGGATGATGTCGCAATAGAACTGCAATATCCATGTTTGGGCCCACGCGAGAAGTGAGTATGTCAAGCTCCTTTGGTTGCGACAGAACTAACGAGCACAGGTTTCAACTGGTCTGGGCCAAAGACAAGATTGACGCGGTAGAGGCGAGCACGCGTATTGTGCAGCTGATAGCTGAGAACTACCTGAACGAAGCCGAAGCCGAGCCCTTTACGAACCAATCGGCCGGCCTCATACGGCGACTCGAGAAAGCCTCCAACCGCAATGTGCAAGACCTCAATGGCTTCAAGGCTGCGCTGGAAGAGTACAATCGAACTTTGCTAGATCTCGTAGAAGACGGCATTATCGCCAAAAACCTCGAGAACAGACACGAACTGCCTCGTCACCTCGTTGCTTTCATCCTCGACCAGATATACGACCGGACTGTGGCCCCCAGCGTCGAGCTGTTGTCAAAGTACGAGAACGGTACCGACTATGTCTATGGCGAGCTTCTGCACCCCTTCATTTCCAAGATCTTGGTCGACGACCTCAAGATGACGTCCAAGCAAGTCATGGTCGATTTAGGCTCGGGTGTTGGCAACGTGGTCCTGCAGGCCGCTTTGGAGATTGGATGCGAGAGCTTCGGGTGTGAAATGATGGAGAATGCCTGCAATATGGCCGAAGCGCAGCAGAAGGAGTTTGAGGCGCGCTGCGTGCTCTGGGGGATCCAGCCTGGCGCTGTGCGTCTCGAGCGAGGTGATTTCCGCAAGAACGCTGTCATCACCGATGCCCTGAAACGCGCCGACGTGGTGCTCGTCAACAACAAGGCGTTCACATCTCAACTCAACGATGACCTGGTCCGCATGTTCCTCGATCTGAAGTCAAGCTGCAAGATCGTATCGCTCAAGTCGTTCGTCGCAGACTCGAGCTACAACATCAACGACGTGGGCAGTACCATCCTCGACGCGGAAGAGAAGACGTATCCGGAAGGGTACGTCAGCTGGACGAATGCTGGTGGATCATACTACATTTCAACACGGAAATAGACTGTGCAAATAGGGATTAGCGAGTGAGTTGTCGGTATCGGGTAGGGATTTAGCGTACAGGATACCACATGAATTTGTTACATGGCCGTGGCTCATCGTGAAGTGCCCTCGTTAGCGAGGTTCATGGCGTCGGCTTCCTGGCCCATCCTCTTCATCCACCTGTCGATGAGCTCTTTGTTTTCCTGTTTGACTCTGGCCACTTCCTTGTCGGCCATGGCGAGCTGGAGGTTCAAAGCGACGATTTCGTCCTGGAAGCCCTCGTGATGTTGCCGTTTGGCATTAGCCTCATGCTGGAGATCGTTCAGGCGCGTGCGAAGCGAGTTTCTCTCATACTCTAGTTTCTTCAAAGCTGTTGCATCGGTCTTAGTCTTGATGCGCAGTTTCCCGAGTTCTTCCTCTGCCGTTCGCAAGCGGGCATCGCTCACGCCCTTGGCGCGCAACGCCTCTGCAAGTTCATATCGAACCTGCGCCGTCTCGGTATCATCTGGCGCTGGCGCCTTGCCCTTGGTCGCCTTTTTGCTGGGGATTTGCGATTCTAGGTCTACTTTCACGGCTTCCAACGCAGAGATGCGATCCGCCATCTGGGAGCCTGCCAAAGGGTCAGTCAGTTGTGCTGGACTTGGTGGGGCCGTTTGGAGGCGAGACAAGCTTGAACCAGCTCCATGTTGACCGGAGTCTTTAGCTCGACATCCTTGATGGAAGTGAGGTACTCGTCCCTCCAACTAGGCATTTTGAAGTGAAGGAGTAGGGCGGCATAGAAGCGATCGAGAGTGGAAGTGTATCAACGCTCTTGAGGAAGCCAGCCAGATGAGAGAGGGGACAAATAACACGCACATTCTGGAGGGGCAGTCACCAAGAAACGTGGGTGCCGCTAGGCTTGCTGGCGTGTCATCATCAGTGGGCACACAGGCCTAAACCTAGCCTCCAATTATCCGCGCCAGAAGCAAGGGACGCCCCAAACTCTCCGTATCAACTATCCAGTCGACACTTGGCTTCCCGATTTACCATCCCGCCATCCATTCTCTAAGTCTGTCATCGATTCCTTGTGCGTGACTCCTGCTCCGTCCATCATACTCAAGCTTGCCTTAGATGCGACAGTACAAACCAGCAGATGTTTGCTTACCCACACAAACGACTCTCATCTTCAGGGTATACTTAGAATGAGGCTTGTGGTGCACGGTTGGCAGCCATATGTGGGTATGAGGTAGGTGTACGGGCGGCGGGCCTGCCGAGGAGTGAGGCACGTCTGCGCTAACCATGTTGCCTGGCAGATGGCCCAGACCGATGGGCATGAGCGATTGTGCCACAGTACTGCGTACAGCTTTCGGCGTCGTACAACCTTGTGGATGTTACATGCCAGATCGTGACCTGTCTTCACGGTGACAGCGACACGTGCAAGCTCAGGGCCGTCTGCGATCCGTACGAGGGCGTCCTGCAGACTCGCAAACATGTTCAATCGTGTATCTCTCGCTACCTTGGCCTTCGGCCGGGCCTGGCTGTCTATGGCCTAAGAGAATTGCTCGCAAGAACCTCCCTTTATATGAGGATAACTGTCTTATTATTGTGAAGTCCGCAATTATTTAACGTCGCGGGGATCGCCTCATTATAAACCTGCGGAAAGCTAGGTTTTAGTCTTCACAAATATAGAGCACGAGGGCAACTTATCCCCGAGCCGGCGTACGCGTAGGTGAGACAGTGTAATCAGTTTTGTAATACCCCATGGTTCTAAGACTTGCATTGGTTATTCATTAATAATACTGGGGGTCAAACATTAAAGGCCCTTCCTTTGCCACACTAAACCACGGTATCAAGGTGCAGGTGAAGGTCCACAGTCCATACATGTACCAGGAATATAACAAGACATCCTGGTCGGGGCGCCCATTCAGCGGAGGGCGATGCTCAAATCTCTCATACCACTTGTGTCAGCAGCGTCCCTGAATTCTTCTCGCAGAGTCTGGTACGGCGTGACCCATGTAGCGTCAAACGAAGGATCATCGTCGCCCGAGGTCACAATACCGATAAGACGTCCTTCCAGCGATACGACTCCAGCTCCCGAGTCACTATGATTGGAAAACCGGTAAGGCGCTAAGCTTCCTTCGCGCCAGCCATAGACAATTAGATACCAGGTCTCAAGGCAGCCTGCTTTCTTTTCGACGCAAGCGTAGCGATTGCACACGCCGAACGTCAGACCTGTCCTCGGGCCATACTTACAGACGATAGTGCCTGTAACATCGTGTTCGACCTTCTTCTCAGCAGACGTTTCTTGCCGGAGCTCATCTAGAGATGCGGTCCCTCGAATTTGATGCATTGGCAATCCCTCGTCGCCTCTAACGTTGGGAAATTCGAGGCCTAGTGATGTAGCTGCGGTGACGATGGAACTGGGGACCCAGTCGTCAGGTACGTAAAAACGATTTCGGGGATTCCGTGACGGAAACATGCTCATGTCAAGGCTGATGAGAGCCCAGTCTGCCTTGGTGAGTCTTAGCGCTGGTGGCTCAGGTGCTGCACGGCGCGCGAGAGGCGGGCTCAAGATAACTTTTCCAAAGGTCAAATCTTGGTACTTCAGAATCTTGAGGACAGAATCGCTGCGTGACCTTGCTGCTGCAATCTCCCTGTCGATAAGGTCGAGCTCGATCGAAGCCTGGGTCATTTGCTTCTGCTCGCGGTACACCTGGAGCCGGGTTACGCTTCGCATAGCAGAAGATCGATGCCTTTTGTAGCGGAAAATGTCGCGTCCGGCACAGGCTTCCTCCTCGATCGCTAAGAGAGGCAATTGTTTAATAGGAATAGGATGAGTGCGAGACATTTTGGGCGTATACATCCTCGAGTCCTCGCCGTCGAACACGACGTGTCGACACGTAATTGCAGCGATCGTCTTAACGCGTCTACCATCTGCATCGAGGTATTCCATGTCCACGTACGGGCCCTTGCAGCCATATCCGGTACCTCCCACTGGGGTCAAACTTGTTCCAAGGTACTCGGAAGCAGCCACCATGTAGTGTGGGTTGTATTCGGTGTCGTTCAGCAATTGGCTTGCCTTGGCAACACTCTGCTTCTGAACTTGGACGGGTAGTTGCTGTACCTTTTGCATCATGTCCCTGTCGGCAGCTTGTGGCCCACGCTGCATATGACCTATTGCTCCCAATGTGGACATCATCTCGACTTCCACATCGTAGATCTCGTAGTGCCAGAGAACCTTCAGGCATGCATCCACTGCTCTCTGAGCACGAGACCAGTCAGGTGCGTCCGAAGCGGTGACCAAAATACACAGCGTAAGTCTCGACACATGGCTAGGCCCGACAACTGTCGTCACGAACATCCGGCAGTCCTCGATCATGTTCTTATTGAGCCTCTGGATGAGATCGGCAACGAGGGCAGAGTTTGGTTTGAAGTGCTGGTCCAGTTGGGGATGAGGTGTTGGGCTTTTAAAATGCTTTGAGAGGAGGCCGCGGCTTCGGTATAGTTGGATAGGTTCCCGGGAGGATCGCGCGATAAGCTTGGCCGAATCACCCAGTCCACGGTAATATAGCTCAGCCTCATCTTCCGTAGGACGTGATGGACAGGGCAAAGGGTCGTTGATTGTGGTGTCGATAGATTTGTAGCGGCAATGGCCTGCCGCAATTGTCGCTAATTTGGATTGGGTCTCCATGCCTGTGTTTGCCCAATAGTAAGATGATCTGGTGAATGAATCGTGACGGGGGCTCTGCGCCTTGGGGGCTTCCAGGGGTGTTTTTTATAGAGGATCGAAAGGCTAAAATCTGTGCGTCTTTTGAGTTCAAGCCCAAGGTACCTTGTTACCCAGAAAAAACCAGAGACTAGGAGCGAGCAAGTTTCGTCATCGAGGATTGATCAATCCATTGTGCAAAGCTTTAATATCGGTGAAGCTGGAGGAATTGCCGCTCTCTCTGTAGCAACACTGTCAGTAAGAGCGTTGCTTCTTGGGTCAAAGAGGAAGGACACATCGTAAACGAGATGTGCTGTCTAGATTGCGAAAGAAGGACGCTCCAAAGTGGCAGGACTCCAAAGGTGAATACAAGGCAGGGAAGGTGTGCAACCTCAAGGAAGGACCAGGCCTGCAAAGCCCACGGAAGCAAGAGAGCTCGCGACTCTAACAAAACTAGTGCCATTGCGAGAAAAACAATGCAATGAAATTCGGGCGTTCTTGGTAGTCCTTTATGCCACAGAAATATATAGCAGCTGGAACTTCCTTTGTGGCGGACATTTTGCTGCGATGGTACAAGCTTTTTGTCGTTAGAAGGTTTAGAGACATGATGGACCAGTAGCTCGACAACAAAATGATTAGACTTACGAATTGGTATACGTAAGGTTGGGAGTGGTGCCCTAAAACCCTCACCCCGGAGGTACAACATCAACCACAGCTGGTTGACTGGCGATAGTTACGCTGGCTGCGTAAGCATGCCCAGACACAATAATGGGAATTGCACGACTCCAAATGTCGAGGGCTCGGCGAGGTCTCAACCCGCAGGGATTTCCAAGCCTGTCTAGGTAGTTTAACGCCGACACCCACGACGGATATTGATAGAGGACTTTGTCGAGGAGCCTGATGACTGTGTGATTCATGGCTCTCAAAGTGAAAACACGAAGTCATTTGACAAAGACTCGACGGCGACCAGACCACGGCGTTGGATAACGATGCCATTCAAAGGTCAGCGGTAGCCATAAGTCTTAAGTGGTAACAATCACTGATCCTTATTGCCACTGTCAAATCAGCCTAGGGCGTGTTCTTACGTGATGCGGCGATCGGAGAAATGCAGCGGGAGTTGTTGCAATGGAAAGTATGCAGATACGTTCAAGAAGTGCATGAAAGTGATCGGTGAAGCTCTTGGAGCAGACGGGCGACGATGAAGAAAACATGCTGTTGTATCCTAGGCAAGTTGACAACAACAACATTCTGTTGGGTTGGCACCCTTGATCGCCTGGTCAACAACGCGCCTGGTTCAACCGAGGATCTTCCATCGACGTCACCGCGTCGCCAGGCACCTGCGCTTCAACGAGATCACGCGCCTCCAATTCATCCACTGCTGCGATTACTTCAACAATATCAAGCGTGACTGCCATCGCCATGCGATAGCGCGTCGACATGGATACCCTCCACCCACGCGCTGAGTGGGAGAGTGTCGGCGATAAGTGGTTCCGCAAGACGCAGCTCTACACCGAGGTGTTCGACCAAGATCTTGACCTTGACAATTACGTCGTGACCGGCGCTCCATACGCAGGTGCACTGGCATTATGGCGAGACGACACAAAGCTGCAGGAGTATCGACCCGGTCAGTCGTCGAAACCTTCGATAGACGTCTACACCCTTGCTGGCAAGAAGCTGCGCAGCATTCCTTGGGACAAAGGGACCATCAAGAGTCTCGGATGGTCCGAGGATGAGACCCTCTTGGTCGTGACATCTGATGGAAACGTGAGGTGCTACGACCTGCAAGGCGACTTTAGTCACTTCTCGCTTGGCCATGGCGCCGATAACTTTGGGGTGGAATCATGCCGGTTCTACGACAACGGCATGGTTGCTTTGTTGGGAAACAATGCTCTCATCTCAGTGTCTTCGTACTCAGAACCACGTCCAAAGCAATTGGCGCGGTCTCCAGAGGGGCAAATCCATGCCTGGGGCATCATCTCGCCAGATCATACACTCTCTCGGTCCGTCGAGGTTCTTCTCAGCATCAACTCGACCGTCTATGTTGTCGACGCGACAGAGTGTGAGGATCGGTTCCTAGATATCGGACCCTTTAGCCACATCAGTGTTTCGCCGGACGGTCAGTTTGTCAATCTCTATGGCAGAAACGGCACAGCACACATCATTTCCAGTGACTTCAGAGAACGGATATTCGAGCACAACTCAGATTCCAACACGCCACCCAAGTACGTGGAGTGGTGCGGCAGCGATGCGCTCATTGCGTGGGAGGACGAGGTGCACATCATTGGCCCCGGCGAGGAATCCTCCACATACATCTACGACAGCACACGTGTACATGTAATCTCGGAATGCGACGGAGCCAGGCTCATCACGAACGACTTCTGCGAGTTCCTCGAGAGAGTACCGCTGGAGACGATACAGGTACTGGGACACGCCTCCGAATCATCGCCTGCATCAATTCTACTCGATGCGGTGGGCCAACTGGAGCTTGAGTCGCCCAAGGCGGACGATTACATCCAGCTCATCCGACCCAATCTCACGGGAGCCGTGGACACATGCGTCAATGCGGCTGGCCGCGAGTTCGAGACGTACTGGCAGAAGCAACTACTCAAGGCGGCTTCATTTGGCAAATCGGTGCTCGATATCTACAACAGCGATGATTTCGTGGACATGTGCGAAACGCTGAGGGTTCTCAACGCTGCCCGATACTATGAGCTTGGGATACCCCTGTCGTTTGAGCAGTACCAGCGTCTTACTCCCGAGAAGCTCATCCGACGCCTACTGAGCCGACATGAGTACCTGCTAGCTCTCAAAATTGCCGGGTACCTCAAGCTGCCAACAGATCGCATCTACGTGCATTGGGCCTCGACCAAGGTACGCGTAGGGTCAGAAGACGACGACACAATTTGCCGCTTAGTGGTCGATCGACTATCAGGCAAGCCTGGGGTATCTTTCGAGGAGATTGCACGTGCAGCCTACCACGAAGGACGCCATCGCCTTGCGACCGAGCTTCTGAACCATGAGTCGCGTGGAGGCCGCCAGGTGCCTCTGTTGCTAGACATGGAAGAGGACGAGCTGGCGCTGGACAAGGCCGTCGAAAGCGGCGATACCGACCTCATCCTTTCGGTGCTGCTGCAGCTCAAGAAGAAACTGCCCCTTGCCAGCTTCTTCCGCACAATCAACTCACGGCCGTCAGCGACCGCGTTGGTCGAGGCGTCTGCTATCAGAGAAGGCGACAACACGCTCCTGAAGGACTTGTACTACCAGGATGACCGCCGCGTCGATGGCGCCAATGTGTTCCTCAGAGAATCTCTACAACAGCCAGATGCTAGGACCGCTGTTGACAAGATGGCGCTTGCTGCCAAGCTCCTTTCGGACTCTCGCGAGACGTCCTTTGAAGTGCACGCCCTCAAAGAAGCGACGACGCTTCTTCGCATGCAGGACTCGCTCGATCGCGACTTGTCGGACACCTTTACTGGTCTGAGCGTGAACGAAACCATGTTCAAGCTCATGCGCCTCGGGTACAATGGGCGGGCAAAGAAGATTCAGAGCGAGTTCAAAGTACCGGAGAAGGTGGCGTGGTGGATTCGACTGCGTGCACTCGTCGCCAAGCGAGACTGGAACGAGATTGAGGATATCTCTAAGTCGCGAAACAGCCCTATTGGCTGGCAAGTGAGTATTTTCCCAGCCGTTCAGCCTGCGATGCGTACTGACAGCGACAGCCCTTTTACAACCTCACATTGCAGGCCGGCAACCCTCGTCTGGCTGCGGTCTTTGTCCCCAAATGTACCGGGCTTGAGCCTGGGGAGGCTATTGAAATGTACGAGAAGTGCGGTATGCGCATCAAGGCTGCCGAAGAGGCAGTGAAGCAGAAGAACGCGGAGGCATGGGAGAGGCTCCTCGATGCCGCCGGCAAAGGCTCGCAGGAGGGGCGTGAGATTGAGCGGCTGGGGCATGCGGCATTCAAGAAGAACTGAGCCAGTTTCATGAAACGACATTAGTACTATGTGATCCCTCTCGGGTCGTCGTACTCAAAACATGGGATTTGGGATGGGACGATCGAGTGACTAGTTATGGCACCAGGTCCGGACCCCGGACCCCGGATCTAGATCCGCCACACAAGAACTAACTACAGAGGCGCGCTTCGCCTTTTTCACATCACGGCAGTTTCTGCCTTTCTTGGCAAGAATGGTGTGCGTTTCGCTTTGATCGGAATGTAAATTGATCGAGATCCCTCTCACGTTGGGACAAGTCGTTCGAAACATTTTCGCTTCGTCATTCGACGTTTCTCTGCCTACCCTGCACGCATCAAAGACTTTGGCTGCGCGTCAGGCATGTTATTTGACAGTTCGAAACAATTCTAATAGCATTCATAGTTCGCGCTATGTTTCACGAATTTAGTTTATGGACCTAGTCTTTGCCCGAGTTTCCGTACCAACCGTGCGGTCATCAAGTCAAGAGGCCTCGACCAGGCGGGACATTGCAGCGAATATTATGGTTTAGTCATGCACGAGCAATCAGCTAATGCCACGCTCCCATGAACAGATTCTCCTTATGTGGGGTAGGGTCCAGTGAGTTCTTAGTGAGTCGACCTGAGGCTGCCTATGATGAGACATTTGCCAATGTGTCAGGTTGTACAACGTCTAGCAATGATCGCAGCCATGTTTTTCCATAGTGGAGGAAGCTGAAGGCTAGCGCATTTAGGCCACGCTGGCGACAGATCCATCATAGTAGTTATGATAGTCTCAAGAGCTGTAGAAACCACCTAGCGAGCGAATCTGTCTGATGCTTCGCACAAGAGTATTGTCGTACGCAAGAACATGTTGGCACAGCAGCGAGGCCGAACAAAGGCAACACCGTGCGGGTGTCAGTCCAGGATCCGTGACCGTCTTCCGGAGACAGAGGAACACCTCGACTGTCACAGGAAACGTGACATCATCAATCTGAATCCTGGCGAACGATCGTGTCTGATATATTAGCTGCGTGTGCTCAACCTGACACTGCCGCAAACGGCGGCAACGTGACTGGAATGTGTAATGGCCCTTGGGTACGGCCATGTGTCTCGCTCTCGCCGCGAGCGCACAGAATTCGTCACGGCTGGAATGCCCACGAGGTAAATGCCGCTCGCGTGGGATTGCGCTGTCCGTTGTTTCTGAAAAGGTAACGGTAGGATGTGGGAGTGACCGGGACGTGCTGCCTTTTGGGGAAGAAGGTGTGTGATGGATGTGGGGGGAGTTCGAGTTCAGTTGTTGATTGTGCTTGGCTGCAAGAAAGCTGGCTCCTATACCGCAATCAGTGTGCAGGATGCCAGACTGCATGGCCGTCGAGAATGACGCAGAAAAGCTTTATCACCATCAGCCAGCTTGCAGCGTCGATCAAGGCGCAGTCGACTGTCAGGATAGGGCTTGTTTGTCGCGCCCTGTGCGGAGTGATTCCTGAGGATAGTCACAATGTTTCTACCCCAGACCATGGTTTTCTTCGTCAGCGGGCGTGTTCTCAGCTAGCTTGAAAATGCAGCAGAGACAATGCCGTCCCCAGCTGGGCTGAGCTGGCACGTGGAAGCTCTTCAACATCGTCACCGCCTGGCTAAGAGACGAGGAGGAAGGAAAACGGAAGTGTCTCGCGAGACAGTGCCCCCTCAGTCTCAGCTCGCAGCCGGATTGTTTGCGCTCTTACACATTCCGATGTGCTCTCAGTCCACGCCTGCAACTATTCTCCGTTGCAACAGTCAACCCAGCCTCTGAAGCCTGGCCGACTGGAGCTGGGTGGGCTTGGGTCACTTCTGTAGCAAGTACTCCGTGGGACGTTGTAGCTGATCGTGTCACGCGTTACTCCAGAGTCCAGACGACTCAAGACCAGGGCATGTGTACCGTGACGCCACCAAAGTGGAAATGACTGGAGCCGCCAAGCCCATCCGGGCTAGTCAGCGCAAGGAGGGTCCAGCTCAGGGCCCAGGCGTGGCCGGGCGCGACCCGAACAGCGCTGCAGCGACTGGAATGGACGCCACTTAGGGGCGCCTCTAGGGGGTCCAGGATCCGGAAGCGCCGCTCGACGAGTCAACAGTGTGATTTTGCACAATCTTGGATTCTTGGCTGTCCCAGCCGAGCAGTCGTCCAGGTCCAAGGACAAGGTTGAAGAAAAAGGGCGGCACGCCCTCTCGAACTGAGTGCCTGGAAATTGGTCTGTTCCTATCGTCCGGTATTGCCAATTTGACCGAAGCAATCCCTGTCTGCTAGCAGCACGTTCGTCTATCCCGTTGTCGTCGCCGCCTTCCTCTTCCTCCCTCTTCAACACCTGTGCTCGACTGGACCTTGCTCTTCATTCACAAAGGCGACCAAAGCAAGATCACGCCACTCATCTCAGGTACGGGTACAATAAGGCACAGAGATTGTCCCACCCGGCATTTGCCCTTCATTTGAAACGGCAGCGCTTGCCGATCGTGTCGAAGTCCATCAGCACTCCGGCTTGCTATCTTATCCTATCCCCACAACTACTATGCTGTTCACACACTCCGCCAGCTTCACGCAGCCCGCGCATCAATCTACCGCGTTGCACTCGACAATTTCGAATTCTTCGTCCCATCACAGCAACTTCACCAGCGGTAGCCCTCCCGGCGGGTCGTCGTCCTCACCCACCGAGTCAAGCTCCCGTCGCCGATTGCGAAGGCTAAGTCAGCTGCGCTACAACCCCAGTCACCTGCTCTCTCGCGACAGCAGCAGCCACAACAGTCACGAGCACCAGTACCAGCAACAACAGGGAAGCGCATTACCACGATCATCGCAGCAAGGCGTTTCGACAACCAGCAGGAACAGTAACCGTTTGACTCTGGTCAACGGAACGCAGCCCCAGACCACATCCAATACGGTCTCGTCGCGGGCGCAGCCCACGGAAACCAACACCGCTGGTGCTCCCGCCACCTCCACCAACAGCGCGATATCGACCACACCCTCGGATAACTCTGCCTCGGTCACCACTCGCACAGTCGACCAGGACATCCCGCGTGTTCCATCTCTACCGCAGTCTTCAAGCGAGAACAGCTTCGTCGATTCGGCAGCATCTCATCAATCAGGCTCTGCACCAGCGCCTCCGCCACCCCAGACGAGTGATCCGCCACTGAACTCGCAGCCAACAATGCCGCGACCCAGAGCCTCGACGACGGGTGAAATGGCAGGCGGCGTTGCTCCGGCGAGCACAGCCGTGAATGCAGTCGAGTTGCTGCCTTCCATCCGACTATCTTCCTATCTCGACCCTCGCTCGCCGCGCCCGTCCCTGTCTTTTTCACCCGTGACCCGAACGCTGCCCACCGGGACAGAAATCATTCGAGTCGGTCGTTATTCGGAGCGCGAAAATCGCGACATGGGCAATGTGCACAACACGCAGCCTTCAGGAGCACCAGTCGGCTTCAAAAGCAAAGTTGTAAGCCGCCGGCATTGCGAGTTTTGGTACGAGGATGGCAAATGGTTCATCAAGGATGTCAAGAGCTCATCAGGTACATTTCTGAACCACATCCGCCTCAGCCCTCCAAGCCAGGAGAGCAAGGCGTTCCCCATCAACGATGGCGATCTTGTGCAACTAGGTATCGACTTCAAAGGGGGCGAAGAGCCCATTTTCCGATGTGTCAAAGTACGCATTGAGCTGAACCGTGGGTGGCAAAACAAACTCAACACCTTCAATATGGCTGCACACAAGAGGTTACGAACCATGGGCAAGGACGCAGAGACGGCCAGCGTCGGTGGCTCTTCCCACGACTGCTCCATCTGCCTCAACATGATTGCTGTAAGTCCTTTCAGGGCGGCACGTGCCTGACTGTTAGCTAATCCTCATCGTAGCCTTGCCAGTCGTTATTTGTGGCACCTTGCTCGCACACATGGCACTTTAAGTGCGTACGCTCGCTCTTGACAGGGCCGCACTATCCGCTATTTGTGTGCCCTAATTGCCGCGCGGGAGCCGATCTTGAAGCCGACGTAGAGGACGCTGCGGAAGACTGGGAGCAGCTTCAGCATGAGGACGCGCAAGACGAAACCGACGCTCCTCCCACTAGCCACGCAACCAGGGCGACACCTCCAACCACACCGCCACCACAGAACGATAGTGACCCTATGGACGAGACGATGGCGCCGCAGCGAGAAAGCCAAAGCCCCGAGCAGCAACAGGGCAATCTTCCACATGCTATTTCGGATCCCTTGCCCATCAGCAACAGTTCGGCGAGGCAACACGCTACGCCGTCGCCACCTGGCAACGGCAATGCTGAAGGCCCAATTACGCCGAGGAACGAGGTCGGGCCTTGGGTCTTTGATGGGGGTGCTGGACGCGCTCGGCAAGAGACAGAAGACTCGGAACTTGCGAATAGTATGACTGCAAATCTGACCTTGGATGGCACATTACAGGTAGCAATGGCTCCAAGGTAGCAAGAGAGGGGGGTGTATCGCGCGAAAGTACATGCGAATGGCGGTACGTGTCTCGACCTGCATTTAGCATCACATTGGGGCAGGGAGTTGGGAGTCATATTGGGCTGTCTGGGCCACTCATTTCTTTTGGCGTATTGTTTGGGCACGGCCTCGCTGTTCAGGCGACTCAGAGAGAATTATGCATATACTACGTAGAGATACCATGAAATGTTTTTAATCGTCTTGATATCTCGAGAAATGTGGCCTCAAAAGTCTGTCTTTGCCTGTCAGGCCTTGCTCGGGTGGTCGGTCGCGGAGGGCGACCATCCGAGCTATCGCCGAGGGAGACGAAACAGATGTCCTCCTATCCGACCTACCCTAAACCTAGGACTGACGCAGGGTCGCAAAATCTCCATTGCGTGCGTGCTTGACAGGTTCAACCCCAAACTACAACATCCCAACCACATCACAGCACAATGCTACGACAAACAGGCGCACGCCTTGCGCCTCTGGGCCGAGCTACTCGTTCAAAATTACCATCATGCACTGTCGGCCGTGCGACCAAGCGAGGCCTATCGACACAGATCGACGCCATCCCCAAGGAGCCAACTGACCTTGACAACATCACCACTCTACCAAACGGTCTACGTGTCGCATCCGAGGCTCTCCCTGGTTCTTTCTCGGGTGTAGGTGTCTACGTTGACGCTGGCTCTCGTTTCGAAAATGAGTCCCTTCGGGGCGTCTCGCACATTATGGATCGTCTAGCGTTCAAATCGACGAGCCAGCGATCAGCAGACGAGATGCTCGAGACGGTCGAGCAACTAGGCGGCAGCATCCAGTGTGCCAGCTCCCGGGAGAGCATGATGTACCAAGCCGCGACGTTTAACCAAGCCGTGCCCGAAACCACGAAACTCCTCGCCGAAACGATTCGCGATCCCCAGATCACAGAAGACGAGGTCGATGCCCAGCTCGAGACGGCGCGATATGAGATCGCCGAGATCTGGAGCAAGCCAGAGCTGATCCTCCCTGAGCTTGTGCACACGGCGGCCTTCAAGGACAACACCCTGGGTAGTCCGCTGCTCTGCCCGGAGGAGAGGCTGGCAAGCATCAATCGCGACACGGTGATGATGTACCGGGACCTGTTCTACAGGCCGGAACGCATGGTGCTAGCGTTTGCGGGTATCGAGCACGGCCAGGCCGTCAAGTTGGCCGAGGAGCACTTTGGTGATATGAAGAGCCTCCAGGAGATCACATCGACAGGGTCAGAAACAAGCGGGTCAGATTCTGAGTCGAGCTCCTCTCCGTCATCATCGCCGATACTGTCCAAGATTCCCTTCTTCAGCAAGGGATCGTCGAATAATAGCGGCGCCTCGACCGTGCAGCTCACACCGCCCTCGCAAGAGCAGATCACGAAGCCATCGCACTACACAGGTGGCTTCCTGTCGCTCCCGCCGCAACCGCCGTCGCTGAACCAGCAGATCTTCACGCACATCCACCTCGCCTTTGAAGGACTGCCCGTCGGTTCGCCGGACGTCTACGCCCTGGCTACGCTGCAGACTCTCCTCGGTGGTGGCGGATCGTTCTCCGCCGGTGGACCTGGCAAGGGCATGTATTCGCGTCTCTACACCAACGTCCTGAACCAGCATGGGTTCGTCGAGAGCTGCGTCGCGTTCAGCCACACGTACACGGATAGTGGCCTTTTTGGCATCTCGGCTAGCTGCATGCCCGGTCACACCAGCGCCATGCTGGATATCATCTGCCAGCAGCTCAACGCGCTCACTCTCGAGTCCGGACACGCCAGGCTGCAGGAGAACGAGGTCGAGAGGGCCAAGAACCAGTTGAGGAGCAGTTTGCTCATGAACCTCGAGTCGCGCATGGTGGAGCTCGAGGATCTGGGTAGGAGCGTGCAGGTGCACGGACGCAAGGTTCCTGTGCGGGAGATGTGTCACGCCATCGAGAGCCTCACCGTCAAGGATCTGAGGAGGGTCGCAAAGGAAGTCGTCTGCGGCCTGGTCCAGAATCCCGGTCAGGGCAGTGGTGCGCCGACGGTGGTACTCCAGGAGGCGCAGGCGTACGGACTGACGAGCCATACCATGAGCTGGGATAAGATTCAGGATCGGATTGACAAGTGGAAGTTGGGGCGGAGGTAACAATCAGACTGCTAGAAGAGCCATGCATGGGTCATGACACTGTACTATAAGCCGTGGTGTATTATAGAAACATAGAAGCATCGTAATCGTGTACATCATCCAAGATACCGTGTCCTTTCGACACAAGTCTTTAGCGTGCGTGGGCAGAGATACGGTATCTTCATAAGGGGCGTCTCTGTCTAAAGCTTACTCCTGACCGCCTCTAGTCTGTACTTGACGTCCTTGAGTGCCTTGTTTGTTGGTTTCCAATCGTCAAACTGGCGCAGCAGTTCCTTGGTCTCGTCGCTTAGCTCGGTTTTGACAAAGTCTTCCTCGAGGAGGCCGCGCATGATCCAGGGCAGAATGTACGGGTTGGTTGTCTGAGCATTGGCGCCGACGATGACGCCCTTGTTTCTGTGGTGAATGTGGCAGGGATGTTGCTGATTCTGGGGAATGGAGGTCGTCTCGAGAGCGTGGGAGATGGCGAGGTCATACACTTGGTCATCGTAGTAGAGCCGGGAGTGGCCTTCGCCTGAGTAGAGAGAGCCCGCGAGGGGTGCGGATAGCTCACGGATGAGGCCGTGATCGGAGATACCGAGATTGCGAAGTTTGAGAGCAAAGCCAACCAAATGAGCTATAAAATCGGGGGCGTGAATGCGACCGTCGATGAACACGGCTCGATAGATATACGGGTGGTTCGCCGGCGAGTATATAGCAGACTCCATGGGCACCAACTGATCGTCGATGCTGCCGACAAAGGTGACGCGCGCCCCGTAGTCCACCACCCTCTTCAAACAAGACTCGAAGCGGAGGGAGTTGACGCTGTCTGGGTCACCAAACTCCCACAGCTCAGCGGCTGAGCCCATGAAAATGCCTGATTTGTAGTCAGGAAAGGGACCCAGACCAACGCCGGCCATTGCGCAGACGCCAATCTTGGCAGTTGTGAGGATGCCCAGATCAATGAGTTTCTCCAGCAGCATGATGCTCACTGGGACTCCTTGTGAGTGACAGGAGAAGAGTACAAGATCCGCATGGCGGATATGGTCCACCCAATTCAACATCAGTTTCCAAAGGTTGTCCACCCGGTCGTTGACCTTGCCCTCCCCTTCCAAGGCGACTTTCTCAATCTCACACTCTGGCAGGCCATGCCTCCCCGTCCAGCGCCTGATGGCCTCAGCGCCTAGCGTCGCGAAGCGTATTGAAGTGCCAGTAGGTTGACCGATCATGGGTCGTAAGTATGTGGCTGGAAACAAGCCATGGACACCTATCGAAATCGCTTTGCGAACCGTGGGAATCTCCTTTGATCGATACACATGGTTCGAAGGAGGCTGCTGCGACCGGAGCAGAAGCTGGGCAATCTGTTTGATGATGGAAGGATCCTGCTTCATCTGGTATGTGCCGGAGAATGATGGCAGTAGAAGATTTGACTGCGTTTTCGCCAACGATTCAGACTCGCTCATGGACTTGCTCGAGGAGTCAACCTTTGCCGCGGTAGGATTCTGAGCTTCACGAGGCGTCGAGACCCCCGAGGGGGTAGGCGACTGAGCATCAACGTCCATAGACGGAGGACGCACCCGCTTGTTGCTCCTCTTCCACGCCAGCATGCCCCCTGACTCCTTAGCCTTAGTCGCCTTGGCTGATGTTACATCCCCCTCAGCCATTGGCGTTGGGTGCGCCTCGGAACTCTCGCCAATGACAGCGATTTCACCCTGCTCATTTGGATGCGCCTGCTTCTTGGATGGGGGCGATTGTTTTGACCAGAATGCCCATGCTGACCCTGACTGAGGCCCCGACTGCGGTTTGGCTTCCGGCGGTGCATCGTCCATGGTGACTTCATCAGGCTGGTTCGATTGTTCACCGTCTGTTGGTCTTCCTGGATCACTTGCACTGTCCTTGGTATCCTTCATGGACTCGGCTGCGCTGCGGGAAGGCACAGAAGAAGGCCAAAAACCAAACCAACTGGGTGCCTGCGAGGCGCTTTGCGATGCATGCGTAGGGCCGTCTTCTTCTGCAGCTTGTGCGGGCGGCGTGCTAGGTCGAGGCGGTTGATCGTCTTTTGATTGCTCTTCCACCCTGGTTGGCAGGATTCCGGCCGCAGGAGGCACTGGAGGCAATGGTGCAGCCTGTGTATCTAGGAAAGGTGTTTGTGACAACCACCCGAACCATCCTGAGGGCGTATTCGAGGCTTGGTCCGTGGCCTTGGGCTGTTGCTCGTGCTGTTTTTGCGCCTGTTCTGGTCCACTATCGGCAGCATCGGCTTTATCATCGCGAGCGCCTTCAGCTGTTCTAATATTTGAACTTGCATGTGCACCATTCTCTTGCGCTGAGACGTCTTTCTTCGCGCCATTCTCCGGTACCTCTGTTAATCCGCTAGGTGCCGCAACGCTACGTACGCTCGCGCGGCCACTGTCGGTCTTCCTGTCGTATTTGCTCAGGTCGTCGCTCTTGATAGGCTTGATTCCTCCTCCGAGGATGTTTTCTTTCGCTACCGACGTCGACGCTGTCGCTTTGGGTGCTCGTGGCCAAGATCCGTACCAACTCTGCGACTTGCGGACCTTGAGCTTGTCAGCAGCGCCACAGTTCTTTGTATACTAGCTTTCATACCTGTTTAGGTAGCCCCTGTGAGCTTTCGTTGCTTTCATCGGCATTTTGCGAACTTGTAGGCAGCTCCTGCTGGCGATCGGTGCTGGTTGGGTCTGAAGCTGCAGCTGGCAACGGCGACGGCAATGAAGCCTTGCTCGGATCGTCTTTACTGTCTGCGGCTGCCGGATTCGGTCTCGGTCGCTTGCGAGGAACCATTTTCATGGATTGCCGTGTGTGGTGAAGAAGTCCATGGATGTAGTCGACCTAGTCGTCGTGACCGATGGACTGACCTGGCTTGCACGTGCAAATGACGATGCCATGATAACTACTCAAGGTACGAACTTACCCGGAACCCAACCCAACCGAGGAAAGTGACGGCACCGATTCCGCAGTGGGTGCTGGCAGTGAGTGAAGCAGGCGGGTGACTAAGCAGTTGCCCCCCACCTAAATGTCCACCAGCAGGTACTCGGCCGTTATCGTTATCGCTCGCCGCGTCGAAAAAAAATTCAGGGCCATCAATTGCGCCAGTCGGCCCGCGTAACAGTTATACATCCTCAACGCCTTGCACGCAATGAGCGCCCTCAAACGAAAGGACGCCCCCGGCGGCGACCGGCCGGCGAAAACGGCGAAGAAGACAAAGGATGCGCCCACGAAGGATGCGAAACCAAAGGGAGACCGTCCCGCCAAATCGGCCGTCTCTGTCCTCAAAGACGAGGAGCCAATGTTTCCTCGTGGTGGCGGCAGCGTCCTGACGCCTCTGGAGCAGAAGCAGATCCATATGGAGGCTAAAGCGGATGCTATGCGGGAAGACGAATTCACCACCACCAAGAAAGGCACCAAGGCCAAGAAGCAGATCAAGGCCAAAGTAAGCAAAGGAAAGGGCGACAAGAAGGGTGCGCAGGATGAGGAAGATTCCGTCAAGGTCGAGAGTTTGAGTTTCAAAAAGTTGGTCAAGGGGTCGCTGGTGCTAGGACAAATTTCCCGAATCAATGCCCTCGATCTCGAAGTCACCTTGCCCAACAACCTGATCGGTCATGTCTCGATCGTCGCCATCTCCGAACAGTTGACCCAGAAGCTGGAACATGTCGCCAACGAAGACAAGCAAGACGATGATGAAGAAGAGGAGAACGACAGCGATGTGGATCTCCAGTCAATATTCACAGTCGGCCAGTACCTACGTGTCTACGTCGTCTCAACAATGGACGACTCCGCTGGCGGCAAAGGAAGACGCAAGATCGAGCTGTCTCTCAGGCCAACCGAGGCAAACACAGGCATGGGTTCGGACGAACTAGTAAACAACGTTTCGGTCATGGCATCTGTCATAAGCGTGGAAGATCACGGCTGTGTCATGGATCTGGGCATCTCGAAGACCAGGGCTTTCCTGCCAAAGAAGGAAATCCCGTCCGCCATCAGCGAAGAGAGACTTCAGCCCGGCGCTGTCTTTCTCTGTTCAGTGAACAGCAAGGGCGGCAAGATCGTCCAGCTTTCGCTTCTCGAGAAGCGCCTGAACAACCCCAAGGCCTACCCCGAGGACGCCACGACAATCAACGCTTTCTTGCCCGGTACAACTGCGGACGTCCTTGTGACAAACACGGATAGGCGCGGTCTTGCGGGTAAAGTCATGGGGTCTTTGGACGTCACCGCCGATGTGATTCACTCTGGCGTCGGTCCCGAGGGTACTGATCTGGACAGCACGTACAAGATTGGCTCCAAGGTCAAGGCTCGTGTCATCTGCACATTCCCTTCTGCTAAGGAGCCCAAGCTGGGTATTTCTCTGCTGCCACACATTACGTCCATGGGCAGGAAGCTCCCAACCAAGAGCACAAAGTTGCCGACTGAGGTACTGCCCATCTCTTCGTTGATCGAGAAGTGCACCGTCCGCCACGTCGAAGGCGAAATCGGTCTCTTTGTCGATGTGGGTGTGCCTGGATTCAGTGGTTTCGTGCACATTTCCCGCGTCAAGGATGGCAAGGTTGACGCACTGTACGAGACCAGCGGTGCTTTCAAGACTGGCTCAGAGCACAAGGGTCGCGTGGTTGGCTACAATCAGGTGGACGGCATCTTCCTCGTCTCCTTCCAGAAGAGCGTGCTAGAACAGCCATTTATCCGCATGGACGATGTGCCCATTGGTGCCGTGGTCACCTGCGAGGTCGAGAAGCTTGTGATCAACGAGGAGGGTGTCAGCGGTTTGATCCTCAAGCTTGCTGAGGGTATCACTGGCCTAGTACCCGAGCGCCATTTGTCGGATGTCCGTCTGCAGCACCCCGAGAAGAAGTTCCGAGAGGGCATGAAGGTGAAGGCCCGTGTTCTGTCGACGAACCCTTCAAGGAAGCGGATGCGCCTGACGATGAAGAAGACGCTTGTCAACTCGGACGCTCCCGTCGTCAAGGATTACACTGAGATCAGCGTGGGAATGCAGGCCCCCGGCACGATCGTCAAGTTGCAGAACAACGGTGCTTTCATCCAGTTCTACGGTAGCATCAGGGGTTATCTGCCCGTGTCTGAGATGAGCGAGGCGTACATCCGTGATCCTCATGAGCACTTTCGCGTTGGCCAGGTCGTGTCCGTTCACGTCCTTGATGTCGATCCCGAGGCCAAGCGCCTCGTGGTATCTTGCAAGGACCCTGCTGCGTTCGGCCTGGATAAGCAGGAAGCTCTGAAGAAGCTCAAGGTTGGACACTTTGTGAATGCCAAGGTCACGCAAAAGTCGGAAGACCAGCTTTACCTGGAGCTCGCTGACAGCGGCCTCAAGGCTGTTCTGCCGGTTGGCCATCTGTTGGACAAGTCCCTGAGCAAGTGCGAGTTTAAGCTTAAGCGCATCAACGTGGGACAGGCCATGTCGGAGTTGCTTGTCATTGACATGGACGAGAAGCGACGGGCTATCGTCTTGTCCCAGAAGCCTAGCCTCGTGGAGGCTGCCAAGCAGGGCAAGTTGCTCACCAGCTTCGACGAGGTGCAAGAGGGCGCTGTTGTGCCCGGTTATGTGAGGCACATCACTCTAACCGCAGTGTTCGTTCAGTTTGGTGGCATGCTCCACGCCCTGCTGCCCAAGTCACGATTACCAGCGGAGACTCATGCGCTCGCCGACTTTGGCATGCACAAACATCAATCCCTCGAAGTGAAGGTCGTCTCTACCATCCCAGACATGCAGCGCATCCTAGTGGCTCCAGCCGACGCGAGCATTGAGACCCCTGAGCGCAAGGGTAAGGAGAAGGTCGCGCCCCAAGACAATTTGTCCGAAGGAAGCATCATCAGGGTCAAGGTCAGGTCCATCAAGGAGACGCAGATGAACGTTTTTGTTGTGGACAGTACCGTCCAGGGACGTATCGACGTGTCCCAATGCTTTGATACCTGGGAGGAGATCGACAATCCGAAGGAACCCTTGGCCAAGTTTCACAGAGGCCAGACCCTCAAGGCGAAGGTCATTGGCGTTCACGACGCCAAGGACCACCGTTTCCTACCCTTCTCGCATCGCTCGGCGCATTCCGTTCTTGAGTTGACAGTCAAGGGCAGCCACCTCGCTGAGGCGGGACCTGTTGAGCCTCTGGCACTGGGACAACTCAAGCTTGGCGACCAGCAGATTGCATTCGTAAACAACGTCACCGCGCAATACCTTTGGGTCAACATCTCACCCAACGTACGTGGCCGCATTGCAATCATGGAGGCCTCGGACGACGTCTCGCAGCTTGACAATTTGTCTGCCAACTTCCCCATCGGTTCAGCCCTGAAAGCCAAGGTCACCGCTGTCGATGCCAGCAACAACCGATTGGACCTTTCTGCGCGCTCAAGCACTACTGCGCCCGCGGTCACCTGGTCCACGCTCAAGAAGAACATGGTTGTAGCTGGTCGTATCACCAAAGTCAACGACCGCCAGATCCTTGTAAAGTTGAGCGACGAAGTCTCTGGGCCTGTGCATCTGCCTGATATGAAGGATGATTTCAAGGATGTCAACACTACGCAGTACAACAAGAACGACATTGTGCGCGTGTCTGTTGTTGAGGTCGATACGAGCAACAAGCGCCTTCGGCTCTCGGTGCGCCCTTCACGCATCATGAGCTCAACGCTGCCGGTCGTCGACAAAGAGATTACCGACTTCTCACAAATCACTCCTGGCGATGTCATCCGTGGTTTCGTCAAGAATGTCGCCGACAAGGGTGTCTTTGTGCTCCTGGGTGGTCAGGTCACTGGCTTTGTCAAGATTTCCAACCTATCCGACCGATTCCTCAAGAATTGGAAGGACGAGTTCCAGATCGACCAGCTCGTCAAGACGCGCGTCCTTTCTGTTGACCCGGTCACAAAGCAGCTCGAGCTGACTCTGAAGACCTCAGTCGTTGACCAGGAGAACTATGTGGCTCCCAAAACACTCAACGACTTCAAGAAGGGACAGGTTGTGACAGGCAAGGTCCGCAAGGTGGAAGACTTTGGTGCCTTTATCGGCATCGACAACTCGGCCAATGTCAGTGGGTTGTGCCACAGAAGCCAGATGGCCGACAAGCCGGTGGACGACGCTACCAAGTTGTACAAGGAGGGCGATGTCGTCAAGGCGTTGATCCTGGACATCGATCTCAAGAAGAGGAGGATTAATTTTGGGCTGAAGCCCTCCTTGTTTGACGAAGATGACACAGACATGGACGAGGGTGCCGCGCTGGACGACGAAGATGAAGATGATGAGGACGAGGACGAGGTCGATGACGATGACGAGCACGACAGTGACGTCGAGATGGATGACGGCGGTGCCATGCTGAAGATTGTCGCAGCCGGAGAGACAGACTCCGAGGACGAGGGAGACGAGGATGAAGACGAGGATGAAGACGACGAGGCAGAGTCCGATGATGACGAGGTTCGAGCTGGCGGTCTTGGTGCCGGCAAGAAATCTGCGTGGGCAGCTGATGCCTTTGCAGAGTCCGGCTCCGAGGACGAGGGCGAGAGCCAACCTACCGAGGTCAAGCCCAAGAAGCGCAAGGGTACCGAGATTGAGGTGGATCGCACAGCTGACCTTGACACCAACGGTCCGCAGACCGCCTTTGATCATGAGCGCCTGTGTCTGATTGAGCCCAACTCGTCCGAGCGATGGATCCAGTACATGGCCTTCCAGATGCAAGTGAGCGAGCTGTCGAAGGCGCGAGAGGTGGCCGAGAAGGCCATCCGGACCATTGACATGACCGAGGAGACTGAGAAGCTCGCCGTCTGGGGCGCCTATCTCAACCTCGAGATCATGTACGGCAGCAAGGAGACAGTCGAGGATGTCTTCAAGAGGGCCTGTCAGGTCAACGACGAGCAGGAGGTCTATGAGCGACTGGCTAGCATGTACATCCAGTCGGACAGGCTCAAGGTAAGCACCACTCTCCCATGCATAGAAGACATTGCTAACCATGACAGGACGCCGATGCCCTCTTTGAAGCCATGGTCAAGAAGTTCGGCGCCAAATCACCAAACGTGTGGTACAACTACGCTCACTTCCTGCACGTTACTCGCGCCGACCCAGCCCGTGCGCGTGCTCTCCTTCCCCGTGCCATGCAACAATTGCCCAAGTTGCACCACCAGAACATCATCAGCCGCCTGGCTGCGCTTGAGTTCCGGTCGCCCAATGGCAACCCTGAGCAAGGACGCACCATGTTTGAGGGTCTGCTAGCTGCTTACCCCAAGAAGGGTGATCTGTGGAGTCAACTGCTTGACCTTGAGGGTGATGATGAGACGGCTGTGCGAGATGTCTTTGAAAGGAGGACCAGGGTCAAGGGCTTGAAGCCCAAGCAGGCCGAGAGCTGGTTCCGGCGATGGGCTGCCTGGGAAGAGAAGAGGGACCCCAAGGGCAAAGACAAGATCATGGTCAAGGCGAATGCGTGGGTCGCGGCGCACAAGGCCAAGAGGGCTGCGGCCGAGGCTGCCGCTGCCGAGGAGGACGAGGAGATGGAAGGATAATTGTTACGAATACTACTTGCATAGATTACGGCGTTCAAAAACAAAAGAATACCAAGCTGTTCTTAGTCATTTCCATTTCTTTCCGTAACCTGCTTGACCTAAACGCCATGAAGTAAAGTAACGTAGCCCCCGCACGAACATATGTTCTGTTTTTCTTTGTCTCTATTCCTCCACGTCCATCTCATCCACGCCAGCCTCCATATCCTCCACATCATCATCAATCCGCACCTTGAGTCTCTTTTGCTCACCGCCGAATGCCCTGCTGACGGCCTTCTTGCCATCGCGCAGTCTTGCCTCCTCAAGCTCGAGATCCTCCTCATCGGCACCCATCTCCACCATCCTCTTCTTCTCACTGCCGCGCAGTCTCGGCAGCAGGTGCTCATTCTCCGCGACCAGTCTCCGTGCGCGGGCGAGCTCACGAGCCTTGTTGCCCTTCATGCGGTTCTTGTAGAAGACGCGCTCGCGACGGGCGCGGATCTCGGACACGCGCTCCATGGCCTTGAGCGTCTTCTGGACCAGATCACGGTCGTAGCGGATGGGGATGTTGCGGCGAGCGCCAAAAGCGAGGGTCGAGTCGACGGTGAGTTCCTTGCCGGCCGCCTTGCGGAAGGCCTTTGTCCATTTTAGTTTGCGGGGGTTGCGCTTGAGCTTGAAGTTGGCGTGGCATTTGCTGCGGCAGAAGCGAAAGGAGCGGCCATCGTTGCGGTTAAAGGTGATGCCCTTGGAGGGGTAGGACGGGCGCCCGCAGAAGAAACAGGGGTCGACACTGTGATCAAGTTAGTTCCTCGTCTCACTTTCAGAGTCTCAGTGGTGTTAGAGGAGACCTACCGCATGTTGGCGACGAGACCTGGACTTGAAGCAAGAATACGATGTTGGTGATGGTGGTTTGGCGGTCGTAGTACTTTGGGAAACTTTTTTGCCGTGGTGGGTCTGGGGCCGGCTTATCGCCCTCTATCGGCTTATCATGTGCGATAAGGAATTCAGTTCTATGAAATAGTCATGGGCCCCTTATCGTCACATACGACACGCTTCAATGGTTTCAGTTCTCGCTCGTTGCGCGTGTTCGCCGGTTCACTACTTCATCAATCTGATAAAGGATGAGTGTCTCCAGGCCCCAGCAGCATTGGGACTGCCGTGTGGTGGTGTCCCCTGCGCGCTGATACGTAATCGATAAGGCAGCCAACATGACTGCTTTCGGCCCAAGGCGCACTCAAACCAACACGAGCCCAATGTTAGCGATGTGGACGAGCACTTATTGCAATTCTGCAGATGGGCACGTGCTATCCCCGTACAATACGAGACGTTCACTCCCGCCCAGGTGATTTGCCGTTTGGACCGTCGGGGTATGATGTGGTTCTAGATCAACCATGTCTAGTCTGCCCGCAGTGCGACGCAGCCGTAATAAGACCACGACCTACCCAGCCCACATCACGCCGCTCCTTATTCTACCTGTGCACCTCGCTCATTCCAATTACTACTCGGACCCTGGACTCAGTGTCCATTTGCCGGCGAGAACGGTAAAGACGTCTTGAGTCCTCTAGAGCACGTCATTGCGCGGTGTCTCGATTGGGCAGAGATTCTCGTGTTAGAATTTACACGCAATTCGGCTGATCGGCAACACGTTTGAAGTAGGGCCCTGGAACGATCGGGCTGTCGCCCTTTCTTGTCCTCTGGGTGTTCCTCCTCCCCGCAACTTCAAGAAAGAATCGAGTAAGCGAGAGGTCCAACATGGGCTGTCGAGTATGCCGGGCGCGCAAGGTGAGCACGTGAAAGAGGTCAGGACAGCAAATAAGAAATAAGGCTGAGAAGGAATCAGGTGAAATGTGACGGGCGACCCAACGTCTGTCGCAACTGCGAGCGTCTTCAGCTAGACTGTGTAGACGACAACTTGGGGCTCGCCTCGCCAACTGCAGGACGAAGAGCAAGCGTGACATCTTCAGCGGCATCCTCACTTCGGAAAACGCGGACATACAGGAGTTGTACGAGCTGCCGCTTGTCCAAGACAAAATGCAACGGGGATAGACCATGCTGTGCAAGGTGTAGCGCCAAGGGCATTGATTGTGTGTACGACGGGGGCAGTACACCTCGCTGGACGAAGAACTTCAGTCCCGCATCACAAGGGGTCAAGACCGAAGAGAATGCCGAAGTAATGAGTGAAAGACTTGAGGCGCCAAACGCACCACTTCCAGTTGAGCCAAGCGACACTCTGCAGTGGCTACTATCTCGTGAGATACCACCTCCACGACAAGCCAGGAGGCTTGTGGAGCATTACTTTGCCAACATCCATCCCATACGGTGCTTCGCCTTCGTGCATAAACCTAGCTTCATGCGGCAGTTGGACAATGGTATCGATTCGGATGATGACTCGGCCTTGTTGCACATGATATGTGCTCACGGCGCCAAGTAAGTGCCAACGATCCATCGATGCATATAGCTGACCGAGGAAGATTCCACGCATTGAGCCTAGGACAATTCGAGCAACTGCCAGGTGATGGCTTTGTCAGAGCCGCAGGTAATCAGTGGGCTGACAAGGCAGAGTCCATGTTGATGAGCAATTATGGCAAGATCTCCATACACCGACTCATGGTATGTCATTTCTGTCACTGGGCTTCCGTTGACTAAAGCGCCTTGCAGGCTACCGTATTGTCATGCGACTTTCGCTACCGGCAAGGGGAGCACTCGCAGGCATCCATGCTTAGTGCTTGGGCTATACGTGCAGCGCAGTCTCTGCAGCTCCATCGCGAAACATCAGCTGACATTCTGTGCATTGATACGTCAAGTCCCTCTGTTGTTGCTCGCGAATCGCGACGCCGCCTGATGTGGGCCTGCTATCTCTTAGACGCCTGGAACACGGATCCTCTCGTCACGATGAAAGAGTCAGAAATCAAAATCCAACTGCCCTGCAATGAAAGAAACTTTGGTCTTCGTATAGCAAGTGTTACGGAGACTCTGGGGGTTGGACACGTCCTGCAATGTCTCAGTCCCGCCATGGTTCCTAGGAAACCTGCGGATAACATGGGCATCATGGCCTACTACATACGCATCGTCACGCTCTGGAAACGCGCCAGCACCTATGCCTCCAAGCCCGATACCGGTCCCGCGCCGTGGATGCCCAGCAGCGAGTTTGCCGCTTTGGACGCGCACATGTCGCGATGGAGGCGAGAGCTGCCCGAATTTGTGGAATACTCCCCGGACACCATCTACGCAAGGCTGGACTCGAACCAACTGGGTGCGCTGATGCTGATCCACTGCACCTATCATCACGCTTATCTAGAGCTGTACAAGGTCGCCTTGCCTGAGCTGTACAGCCTGCCAAACTCACCCAGTTTCCCGCCAGAGCAGAGTGAGGCCCGGCAAGCATTGCAGGCCGAAGGCTACTTTCATGCGCGACAGATTTCACGTCTACTTGTTGAGGCAGCGGAGCACGGTCCAAGGCTTCTCAGCGACGCCGCGCTGCCATGGTTCGCCCTCGAGAGCAGCCGGGTGATGTTGTACTATGTTGCGCGGATCTTGCCGGTTGGCAGGGCCGATGTCAGCGAGAGGGTCAAGGAGGCCGTCGAATCAACCGAAGCCAACGTGGAATTGCTTAAGATGATGGGGGCGCTATTTCCTGTATCGACTTTATATGCCAGCACAGTGAGCAGGTGGCTGTCTAAGATGCGCCAAGGCGTCCGAGATCTATCACCACGCACGGCGGAAGAACATGTTGGCTTACCAGATACCGAGATGTAAGCGCTCTGTGACTACTCGCCCCAAATTGGATGCTGACATAGCCAGTTCCTCTTTTACCACACCTCAGAAAGCGCTGTCAGGGTTTACCCTACCGCCCGTTACCTTCCACTATGATCACGCCAATGGCCCCCAGATGTGTTCGTCGATTCACCCCATGTCGACTACGACGACTGCTATACCAAGCAATGCTACCAGCAGTCCGCCACATTGGGATACTGCGCAGCATCTTGTGGATTTGAGCAGAGGCCACACGCCGCCCAAGGGTTGTGGCCTGTGCGAGAGCTTGGATCTGGACGATTTGCGGAACTTTTCGAGGGAGGATATGCTAGTGTTGCGTTACGGCAGTGTTGCGAGCAATGAGTTAGAAAGCGATGTATGAGATGGTATCTGAACTTTTCAATGTGAATCGGCGATCTCTAGCTCTTAAGCTTCCAAAATAGTCTGCCCGTCTGTTTTCCTGAAATAGTTGATAGAAGTCTCGCAACTTTGCGCATTCGAGCCTAGCTACCCTGCAGCTTTGTCTACTTACACCATCACAATGATCCGACCTAATATCTATCACAATTAGAACGTCAATGATGTCTGCGTGGTATTCACTACCTGCAGCGAAAGTGTCTGTGATGTATGACTATACGCCAAATAGCACCACACTTTGCCCGTGGTGGCTCCGAGTTGTAGTTAGCTGATTCAAACAGAACTGCATCTCGATCACAGAAGCTGCGCTTTTATCAAAACCAGTCAAATTTACTTTGTATCTCCGAAATGCATTAGACAAAACTGTTCGAAGGGTCATCCTTGTTAAAATTGACACAATGCCAGATCGGATATTTCTCCAGAAAACAACAGAAAAAAGCGATGAGCGCATGGGCATGCTTGTCTTGCTGCTGAAACGCTGGTCTGCATGGTTACCATGCCAACTGAATCAACCTCCAGGTTGAGAAAAAACACCATCCACCCGCACACCCACTTGTTGAGTTTATACTCCGGCGCGCCATCATACAAGTGGATCACGCATCCTCCCGCTTCGTGCAACCATCCGTCAACATCATCGTCAACAAAGCCTTCACTGGCGGTGTTCCCGGCTACCATATTCGAGCCACTCTGTCGAAAACCTCATTCTCGAGTACCATTAGCATGCCCTGCCACCATCGCGCCCTGCATTGCCAGACCCCGACCCGCAGCGTGCACGACGAGTAAACACACAGTGTGCTCTTGCACAGACCGAGACATCGCGCCCCGCGACACGCGACATTCCAGAAGCGCACACCTCCCATCTCACTGGGAGAACGCACCACGCACGCATCGTCACCAGCTTCATCGCGCGCGCCACCATGGACACGAGCTACCTGGCGCAGCAGGTTAACTCGAGCGTAGCCCAGCTGCATGGCCTATTCGACGAGATTGGCGTGCCCAGCCACGAGCGCGAAGCACGCGAAGCCGAGGTACGCTGGCCGGTGTTGTTTATTGCGCTCTTCCGTGCTGCTGCAGATAAAGGTACTGACCGCTCCAGCTTTTCGAATCGCTCTCAGAGGCCCTAGAAGGCCAAGTCCGCCATGTCAATGCCGAGAAGAAGGAGATGGTCGAAGAAGCCAAGAAGATCATCATAGCCATCCATCAGATGGAGACATCGCTCGACGACTCGAAACGAAGTCGCGACGATGACAGCATGCAAATCACCTATCCTCTCAACCGGTGCCTAGCGCACCTCAAGGAGAAGCACCAGCAGATCCAGCGCCTACACAGAGAGCGCTTCGAGCAGGTCAAGAGTGAGTTGACTCGGCCGTCGTACGCAATTTGCCCGCGCTAACGAGACAGAACTTGTCGAGGCTCTCGAGTCCTACTCGTCGCACTTGGAACCTACCTTTGTCCAGATCGCTCTCCCACCCACCAGTCCCAATGCCTCGATTCCGCCGACGTTTGATCTCTCGCCTAGCTATGTAGACCGCCTTGATGTCGAGTTCACCCGCGTCTACGAAGAATACACACAGCGGATCGCCACTGTACAGAGTCTAGCCAACAGTATCATTTCACTCTGGGCAGAGCTTGGCATCCCTCAGGCTCAGCAGGACGGTGCCATAGTAAAGTACTACCGCGAATCGCCAGAGCAGCTCGGTCTGCACGAGGAGGATCTCGCTCGACTCCTCGCTAAGCGCGACAAGTTGTCGGAAGAGAAGAAGAACCGCGAGAAGAAGCTGCAGAGTCTCAAGGCCGCCGTGGAGACCCTCTGGATCAAGCTCGACGTCGACGCTGGCGAGACCAAGGCTTTCCTCAACGCGAACCGCGGCTGCGGCGTTCGACAGATCAATGAATTCGAGGATGAGCTCGTCAGGCTCAATGAGCTCAAGCGACAAAACCTGCACCTGTTCGTGGAGGATTCTCGGGTCAAGCTTCAGGAACTCTGGGACTCGCTGTATTTTTCCGAGGACGAGATGCTCGAGTTCACACCTGCCTTTTCAGACGTCTACAGCGATGCCCTGCTCGAGGCTCACGAGAGGGAGATTGCGCGGCTGGAGGCGCTCAAGGAGCAGCGCGCACCCACTCTGTCGCTGATTGACCGCCACAAGTCTCTCATCAAAGAGCGCGACGACCTTGCCACATCGAGCCAGGATGCCTCGCGGCTCATGGCACGAGGACAGAAGGGCGAAAAACGTGACCCTGGCAAACTTCTTCGCGAGGAGAAGATGCGCAAGCGCATTGCCAAGGAATTGCCCAAGATCACGGCTGAATTGCGTAAGATTCTCGAGAAATGGGAGGACGAGTACGACCGACCGTTCTTGGTCTTTGGAGAGCGCTACCTGGATGAGATTGAGGCGGGCGAGGCGAAGAGGACCGCCGCACCTGGACCTCGCTCCAAGACACCTGCCGGGCCACCGGCGTCCGCAGTCAAAGCGGCGCCCAAATCTGTGCAAAGCTGCACCGTCACGAGACAGATCCCGCCGAGGTCGATGACTAAGACACCCACCTCCACATACAGAAAGACGCCCGCGAAGCCTGCGGCGGCACAGCCCAGCGGCAAGGCCAGCCCTAGCAGGATTCCTGCCCGCGCGCCGCTATCGAATCTCAAGCACGGCAACAACTCGCCCGAGAGGGCACGTCCAGAGTCAAGGAGTGATCTGCATAGGAACGGGGCACCCATGAGGGCACCGCCACCAAAGATGCGCGACCTGCGCTCTGTGCCCGAGCTGGAGACGCCCAGGAATCCGTACAAGGGTGCCGGCATCGCGGGAAGCATTGTGCGCCACACAGAGCCGGAGGATGTCTACGACGACAGACCCAAGGTCTTGCGTGGGTTGTCCGGCACCAGTTCACATTCGAATGGGTCGTCATCTTATCACAACCAGCCCTCGTACTACGAGGACTCCTACGACTCGAGATACAACGACCCCTATGCCACCGTCCGCGCACCTGCCTCGCGGGCACCAGCCATTTACAGCACCTCGTCGGGGTCGTCGAGGCAAATATCTCAGTCATCCACGCAGATTTCTGGCTCAGAAAACTGGGAGACCTTTGACGACAACTCGGAACCCGAACCCGACGCCTCGGACGCATACTACGCCAAGCTGCGGGCGGCGCGGAACAAGCGCCTGCACGAGGGTGCCCACGAAGCGTTCCGCCCGGATAGCAGCCAGGGCAGCAAACGCATGCGAGGGCCGACGACAGTGAGTGCTGTGATGGTGGACGCCGACGGAAACAGAATCGTCTCGGGGAGCGAGTGGACGGACGAGGATGCGTACTAATTGTTGACGATGACGATGACGATGATGAGCTATGCTATGCTGGTCATGCTTGTGTTTGGCGTTTTTGTTTCAGCGAGAAGGCGTAAGAGCATGGCGTTGGGGTTTTTGCGGCGGCGGCGCAATCTTGTTGTCCATTTGACCTACCCAGGGCATATGAGAGGAGAGGAGAGGAGACGATGGAAACATCCAGGTCCAATGTCAATTTGCACACGTGCGTTTGGTCAATATTAAAGTACGCAATGACTCTTGTGATGATCATGTCAGGCGTGCAGACTGGACTTGGAGCTCTTGAACCCCTAGAACGTCCCCAAGGACAGCCGCGCCTTAGGCCCTTCTAGCGCCGCGTCGCTGCCACGCGAACCCCTGACAGCAGCGTGAATTAGCGGAGGGTGGCTGGTGCCTAGCGGCCCTAGCCCGTCGAACGCACATTGCCCGGCCAATTGAGTTGATGCCTCAGCTTCCACTTCGGGGTCGCCTGAGATTGGATCCGCATGACGAAACGCAGATGACAGCTGCCCTCGACTTTCATCCATCCCACCCATCTGACCATCCTTTCACTGCGTCCGGCCTTCTCGCGTCAATTCACCGTTGCTTGTCTGCCTGTTCTGGCGTCGTCCCTCGCTTCATTCCATCGTTGTCATTTTGCCGCGAGCGTTTGCTTTACCTGTCTAGCGTCGTATACGAACGAACGAAGTAGCCCTCGAGATGTGACGACGGAGCGACGAGCCCTCGGATCCCTACGACGACAACCATGACCACAAATCAGCTTCATGGCCTGCCTGCATCCTCCTCAGCATCCTCGGCAGCCCTGCGAGGGGCGAGCCTCGCATTCCAGAACGGCAACAAGTCTCGTGGCCTGGCAGCACCGTCAACGGACTCCCACGACCGCGCGTTGGCCGCTGCGACAATAAGCGCCCAGACAACCGGAGGCAGTACAAATGGACTCCCCGACATTGACCAACAGCAAGCGCGCACCATTATCAATTCCAGGCTGCAGCAACAAACTCAATATCTATCACCCAAGAATGGAGGCAAAGACGCGAGCTTCATTGCCGCCACACTGGCGGCGAGTAGGAGCGCCAGCCCGAGTCCCAGAGTCAGGAGGTCGCCGAGCGTGAATACGATTAGGTCACATACGGGGTCGCCGTCGCATCTCGGATCGCCTACTGCCGCTGAGCATGTCGATGCTGCGAGCATTCCGCCCACCGGGAACTTGATCCGGATGTTTGAGGGTGGCAGTCCTAGGAGAAGAAGGCATGGAGGCAGCGTCGATGAGGGAATCATTGCGCGCAGGAGGTCGACGCCTTCGCCGAAACGCGTCCAAAGATTGCCGAGAGATCCGTCTCAGGAGAGTCTAGGGGAAGAGGAGGAGGAGGGCGATCATAAGCATGAGAAAACCCCCGACATACCGCCCCAGCAGTCGACCCGGCCAAAGACACCACACCCAAAGCCGGTCATCATGCAACAGAAACCGACCCCCGAGAGGATCGCGACCAGCAAGAAACAAGACAAACTATCGCCGGCATCGCGGGCCCATACTCCAACCCCAACCGAAAGTCAACCACGGTCAACAAAACATCACACCGCGAGGGATGAGGTCGAGAAGCCGAGACCAAACACAAAGCCAGTGGACGCGCAGAAAAGGCCGAGCAACCCTCCAAAACCGGTAGCCGCAGACCCAAAGCCTCCCCGCTCAGCGGCTGCGAAACCGCCCCCTGAATCCACATCGTACAACATGGCGGAGCTTCGGTCACCGGTACTCGGGCAATCGACGCCTGAGATTCAGTCACCAGCCCCTAGAAGACTGAACAAACTGCCATTGCCACCACCACCACCACCCACACCCCCTCAGCATTCAAGGACTATCAGCCGGCCTTCACCGCAGCTGCTATCTCCAGGCGACCCCGAGAAACGCGATTCGCCTCGGGCCAAAAAGTCACAACCGCAGCCACCGACACCCCCCAAACCGCGAGAAAGCACCAGGGTCGTCAAAAGGGCTGGTTCGCTGAAGAACGGGCTGGGCCGTATACAAACAAGCGAGTTGGACTTGGCGAGGACATCTGAGACTGACTCACCCCAAGACGTCTTTGTCTCGGCTCCGACCTCCCCCACGTATAGCTCTCCACCACCGCAACGTATGCCGCAGCGGTTGCCGTCGCCCACGGAAAGGGATGTTGGCCGCAACACCCCGTCACCCACTCGATGGTCGCAGCGACCGTCCCAGCAACCGTCGAGGAACAACCTCGACTTTGACTCACTTACGAGCGCCATCATGGCTGGCTCCTTGGCATCGTCACGCCTCACACCGTCCAACACGGGCTCGACGATGCCGCCGATACTGCCGCAGCGCACACGTTCACCTCGCCTGCGTACGACGATGCGCAACGCGGCTGCGCAGAGCTCCGATAGCGAGGATGACCGGCACAAGAAGAGTCGTCGGCCCAAGCTGCGGAGCGGGAAACACGCCCATCACGAGGGTGCGCGGAAGAAGTGGCGCGACCAGATCCGCCCACGGGAGCGCAAAAGATACGAAGCGGTATGGGCGTCCAACAGGGGGTATCACCTGCCCACCACATCCTCCGGCGCCAGTAGCATTCGTTCCGGCACTACCAGAGACGGAACAGCAGCAGCAGCCGAATCGCCAGTGGACTACGCCGAGTACATCGCCAACGTCGTGGTCAGGGACATTTGGCGGCGCTCGAGGCTGCCGGAGGATGAGCTGGTGGAGGTGTGGGAGCTCGTGGACAGGAAGAAGCGCGGCATGCTGGACCGGTCCGAGTTTGTGGTGGGCATGTGGCTCATTGACCAGCGGCTCCGGGGCCGCAAGATCCCGCAGAAGGTGTCGGACAGCGTCTGGGCGAGCGCGCATGGCATGCTGCGGGTGAAGACACCCAAGAGGCATTGACTGGGAGGGGTTTTTTGCATGTATCTAGATAGCGCATCCCCTTGCACGTTGCATAGCGTTGCTGTTTGTCTTGCGGGGCGAGTTTGCAATTGTACATACACACTGCCAGCCACGCATCTACCGAAAGGGGTTGATTTTGAAAAAAATATTGTTCTACTATTGCTATCACTCACGCCTTCCTGTCCTCCTTGATGAGATCGGCCGCCTTTTCCGCCACGGCGTACACCGTCGTCTGGATGTTGCCCACCGGTTCAATGGGGAAGATGCTGGCGTCGACGACGCGCAGGCCCCTCGTGCCGTAGACGCGCAGCCTCGCGTCGACGACGCCGCCGTGCTCCTTGGGCTTCATGGCGCAGCTGCAGGCCGGGTGAAAGTCGCCGAGCTGCGTCTGGCGGATGATCTCGAGGCAGTTCTCCATGGTGTCGCCCTTGACGTCCGGGAAGCGTCGACCGCCGGGCTTGATCATCTCCCTGAAGGGGGACGTCTCCACCAGGGTCTCGACAAACTGGATGTGCCGGCTGACGACCTCAATGTCGAGGGCGTTGGAGGAGAAGTTGGGATCCCACGCGGGCTTCTGGCCGGCGTCGGGGCTGGTGATGTGGACGCTGCCCCGGGAGAAGGGGTGGTTGTGCAGCGTCATGATGGTGATGCTGTTCTCGGGGCGGGTGGGCATGAGGTACGACGCCATGCTGGCCGGCTCGGCGAGGGTGGTGTCGACCTGGTTGGGGAAGAGTATATACTCGACAATCGGCTCGTTGGTGTCCTCGTACAGCGCGCGGATGGCCTGGTCCTGCGCGTCCTGGAGCAGGCCCTCCTTGGACGCAAAGAGCGCCTTCTTCTTGTCGGCGGACATGACGCCGGACGCGTCGGCCAGGGGCACCTGGGCGACGCTGATGTTGCTCTGTCCCATGGGGCCCTCGCGGCTCGTGTTGTACTGGCCGAGGAGCATGTTGAGGACCTCTGGGTCGCGGAGCACGTCGCCGGACACGATGCCGTCGGCGACCTCGAACGACTGGCAGACAATGGGGTGGTCCTGGAGGTTCTCGCCGACGTTGTCGTTCTCGACGAGAACGGGGATGTCGAGCGCCTCGAGGAGTTTCTTCTGGCCGATGCCGGACAGCTCGAGGATCTGAGGGGACTGCAGGGCGCCAGCACAGACAATGACCTCGCCCGAGGCGGAAATGGTCTTCTTGTTGCCCTTCTTGTCCGAGACGAGGACGCCCGAGGCCCTGGGCTCGCTGCCTTGCGCGATGGTGTCAAAGACGACCTTGTGGACGAGCGTCTCGGTGAGAACGGTCAGGTTCTTCCTGCTGCGCACCTCGTCGCCGTAGTACGCCGTGCCGGCAAAGCTCCTGGTCTTGTCCTTGGGGTCGATGCTCGCGGGCTGCTGGTACGCACCGTATGCGGCACCGTCACGCATGTCCCCCGTCATGGCCAGGCCGTGCTTCTCAAAGGCATCCAGCCACGCCTTGTTGTTGGGCCCATAGCCCTCGGAGAAGGACACGTGCAGAGGTCCGTCACCAGTGAGGTTGCCATCGTGCCAGGTCAGGCCCACGGCCTCCTTGGCCTTGGAGGGCGGCGCGTGCACGGTAGCAAACTTGGCGAGATAGGGGGCCAGTCCGTCATAGTCCCAGCCCTCGTTACCGAGCTTGGCCCAGGTGTCGAGCGAGTGCCGCGACGGGTAGACGAGCATCATGAAGTTGAGCGCCGACGACCCGCCGAGCTGCTTGCCGCGAGGCGTGTTGACACGCCTGTTGTGCAGCAGGCGCTGCGGCACCGAGTTGAAGTTCCAGTCGTAGTCCTCCTGGCCATACTGCGCGCCGACGAGACCGGGCGTCAGGACCAGGGGGCTCTTGGTGTGGTCGGCGCCGGCCTCGACGACGAGGACGGAGATGCTGGGATCCTCGGTGAGACGGCTCGCGAGGGTGAGACCGGCGGTGCCGCCGCCCACGAGAATGTAGTCGAACGATTCAGACATGGTGGTGCTGGCGGGATGTGATGGCACTGATGGGGGTCTGGATCCGAGTGTGGGATTGTGCTGGAGGGAAACTGGTGGAGGGTGATACTATCTATAAGCTGCTCGCCAGGACCCCTGAGAACGGACTCGCGGGGTGGACGCACTGGAGGCAATGTTGGTCGGCAGTCCATCTTTCGCACGATAGCGACAGTATCCGTACCTTGGCCACATAGTCGTGTCCAGCACGTTGGCGAGGAGGGGATGGATTCTGTCACTCTGGACCAGCTGCGGACCCCGGCGGCTGCTGCACGCTGTGATTCGTGCTGCACTCGTGCCCCTTGAGCTGGCTACTCCAGCCAGATGCATGTCGCATGTCTGGCATCCGTTTGTGCGGGAGTAGGGAGGGCATTCGTTGCGCTTCGGTGGCTGGGCCACGAAGTACGGACATGTCCAACTGATTCGACACGTACTGGGAAGTCATGCATGTCATTTGACGAACTCCGATCGGAAGAGAACCAAGGGCTTGGATGTGTGCCGGGGAATGTACACGTACGGCACGCATGACATTTGCATGCCATGCTCGTCCTCACGACCATTGGCCGGACAGCCCAAGCACATAACAGGGCACGGTACGGAGCTACGTACTCCTTATTATTAGATAGTATCCGTGCAGTACGCAAAGTCGGCATTAGTAGACATTTCCTGATGGCAACAAGTGCTCCGGCCTCCAAGGGACAAGGGTGTCCTGACAAGCTTGGGACCGCGGCTCCGCGACATGGCAGATGCCAGAGTCCAGAGACGAGTTTCTCTCCCCGTTGCCGCACGCATACATATACATGTTCCTGAGTGACATGCTGAATTGTTGACACGAGTCAAGACTCTACGCAAGTACATTGTAGAGCCGAAGCGAGCAGAGTTCGCATGCTCTCACGAATCGCTCAATGCGCCCACGTCGCTGGCAAGACGGGTTCTCGACTCTCGAGTCTCCCGACTCAGGCCTTTCTACAACAGATGAGCACCTAAATTTTTTTAAATTTTTTTTTGTCCTTCTCTTTTTTTCCTTCTTTCTCCTTTCCCCCCTGTTTCTTTCTTCCCCATCGCGAGCGCGGACCCCGCAGAGGGATTCTGGCTCCATCGTGCTGATACCGGCAAGACAACCCTGTAAAAAGAATTCGGAGCCAAGCTAGCCAGGATCGGGGGCCTGCCAAGTTATGAAGGAGCTCCAGGCGGTCAGGCGTCAGATGTCACCAACAATGACTAGTTTAGTGCCTATTCCTCAACGACTAAGTGGAGATGACTACTATTCGTCACTGGCTGTCGAAATCCTACCGGCGCGGTTCGAGCCGGGGAGGCAGTCCGGGACTTTCTAGACCCACGTCCGCCAATAGTGCCGCCCGCTTGCGAGGCGAACCTCCTTAGTTCAACCTCCTTGCTGACTCGTTTCTTCACACATGTACGGATGCATTTGCATACGGTACGCATACGGAGTACGTGCAGGCAATACGTACTTGGACTGAGGACTGCGTGGGTGTCCGGGTCTCGGGGACTCTCGAAAGAGGGACAGGGGGCCTTGAAGCAAAACAGGGCAAGAAGTTTGCCGTGTAAACATCTGCCGGTTGCAAACTTGCAAATCTCAACAGGTTCCCGATGATGTATCATCAATCGTCCGTTCCCTCGACCGAGCTTTGTCTTCCATTGTTCATATCACTCGTGTCTTTTCCCTCTTGCGCGCACGTCGTGTGTCCATTGTACCGACCTCTCGACACCAACGGCTGCTTTTAGGCAGCGCGCGCAAACACAAGCATGGCTCTCCACGCGGTCGACTTCCCGGTGAAGCCCATTGTCAAGATACACATGATCATCAACTGCGTCCTCGTCGTCATCACCGTCTTCGTCGTGGTCCTGCGCGTCCTCGCCCGCCTCTCGACGTCCGCCCAGCTCGGCTGGGACGACTACCTCATCATCCTGTCCACGCCGCTGGGCCTCGGCATGCTCGCCATCCAGGGCCTCTACCTGCCCATGGGCGTGGGCTATCCACTCGTCGAGACCATGCCCAACCTGAAGGTCATCCTGCAGCTCATGATCTCGTACGCCCTCACGTACACGGTCGCCATCAGCGCCATCAAGATCAGCGTTCTGCTCTTCTACCTGCGGGTCTTTGTCGGCAAGCGCTTCCGCCGCGTCACCTTGGTCGTCATGGGCTTTGTGTGTCTCTACACCGCGGCCAACGTGCTGCTTCTCGCCCTCATGTGTCGTCCCTTTGCGGGGAACTACGACCTGACCATTCCGGCCACCTGCGCCGACCGGCCCAAGGTGTTCATCGCCATTGGCGCCTACAACATCATCTCGGACGTGGTCATCTTGTTGCTCCCCATCCCCATGATCTGGCGTCTCAAGACTGGGCGCGAGGTCAAGGCCGGCCTGACGGCCGTCTTCCTCATTGGTCTCGTGTACGTACTGCTCCTCTTCCTCCTCCTTCTCGCCTGGATAAGTGTTCTCGCGGCTAACAAGACCAAGTGTCTCGGGCGTCGCCGTCGGCCGCATCTTCACACTCACCTCCCTCCAGATAGCAAACATCACCGAGACCATGGTCTGGGTCGACTTCCTCTCCACGACAGAGGTCAACCTTGCCATCCTGTGCGTCTCGCTGCCCATGCTGGGGCCCCTCATCGGACGTCTCCGCAAGCGCCGGGGCGCCTCCAAGCTCAGCGCCACGCCCGACAAGAACTGTGACTTTGCCTCCAGCAAGGTGAGCGACAATAAGATGCGCAGGAAACAAGGAGGCGGGGGCGGCAGTGGCGGGCCCGGGCTGCGTAGGATGGGCGACGACACCATTATGATGGACACCATCTATGATCCCGACGAAAGCCACCATGACGAGGCGAAGGCTGTGGCTGATAGTGGTCGGCATGCAGGTGGCAAACCGGCCGTCTCCAGCGAGGCGGAGAGCTATGATGGCAGCGAGGCCAGTCTGCGGCGTGGGAACAACGGGATGAAGACGAATATCGTGGTGCAGACACAGTAACAATTAGAACGTTGAGCACGCTATGCGACTTCCAACGTGGCAGTATCCAAGCTGCCATGTGCTATGTAGGTGTGCTATGTTCAGTAAGAATACAGTTTCTAGGGGAAAAGACACCAAACGCCATGCTGGGGGGGCCCTGATCTAGGTATGCGCACCACAGCCCCCAAGACAGAGAGTAACCAACCAACACCCCCCTCACGCGCAATACGTATCATACACGCTGCTCTTCGTCCGCGTCGTACAGCGGTTGCATCTCGTGTGGTTTCCCCTTTGCTTTCCAAAGCCCGCCGCGCATCCACGTCGGCACGCGCACACTGCGTGGCAGCCACCAAAAGAAGATCCGACGCAGCTTTGGCTTCACAACCTGCCACGTCTTGCCCGCGACGCGCGCAAGGGTCGATCGCCAGCGACGCGTCGAGTCCCAGGCATAGAGGGCAAGGCAGGTGACGACAAGGGTATAGATCCACCGCATGGCATGGAGAACATTGCCTAGAACGTCGGGGAGTGGCACGTTGCCGAGCTCGCGACTCAGCTTCTGCGAGTGGTAGAGCGTCTCGCCGTCCTTGCTGACGGCCGCGACGCGCAGCCAGGGGGGCATGCTCGCGTCAATGGCAAAGCTGACCTCAAACTTGCCGTCCTTGCGCATCTCCTTGATGTCTGTCCACGGACCGCTATCGGCCGTGCTGTGGTCTGCGCCTTGCAGAACCCACTTGTCCGTCTCCGTGTCGCCGTTCCAGCTCACGTACAAGATACCCTCGGCCGGATTGTAGAGACTGTGCGGTCTCTTGAGCGGTTTCCCGACCCAGTTGCCCTTGGAAGCGCGATAGCTGTTGACGGACCCAATGGGGAACATGAGGGAGGGCCCAAACCGCATGTCGCAGAGGACCTCGCTCGTGTCCGTGTCAAACTCGGTGAAGGAGGGGAAGAAGCCATAATCGACCAGCATGGACTTTCCGCCGTCCCACAGCTGCGCTGAGCCCTGGGAGTCGGCGTACTTGCGATGCGCAGGGTCGAAGACCTCGTGCAGGAACTTGGCGGTGCGCTTCTCCTGATCGAGCTGGATCACAAGACCACGGGAGAAGTCGTACTTGAGTGCAGGGCCGGCGCGCTCGGCCTTTGCATTGTCAAACATGGTGATCACGTCATTGTCGTCGATGCGAATGTGATGCTGGTACGCAAAGTCAATGGCTTTGCCACCCGAGAGGTCCTCAAACTGGTTGGCCTTGCCACCGAGCGTCCAGAGCAGCTGGCCGTCGGGCGACACGCCGTGAATCGAATGTGTGTGGCGACCCGAGACAATGTAGTTTCCGCTCTTATCCTTGTCCATGCTGTTGATGTGGAAGTAGTCGAAGCCCCTCTCAGGGGTCAACCCGTCGTCGCGACCGGCAAAGTAGCGGACCGTGTCCTCCAGAGGCACATTCTCGCTGGCCCGCCACTCAAAGAGTAGCTTGCCTGTCTCAATGTCGATCTCCTGGAACCAGCTGTCCATGATCCAGCCCTCCTGCGGCCCGCCAATGGGGCTGAGGTCCCAGGTGAGGGGCGCGTACGCGGTCAGCAGGACGGTGCCCTCCTCTGTGATGTGGAACTCATGCAGGTCGCTCATCATGCCCTCGCCGACGGGGCGGAACGTCTTGTACACCTGGTAATTCTCGTCCAACATGTAGTGAATGCCGCGCCCCCAGCCCATGCTGATGCCCTCCGTGTCCTTCCAGAAGGTGAGGTACTTTTTGCCCTTGTACTCCTGCACCTGGAGGTCGGCCGCCTGTCCAAAGTCCTCGACACCGGACCAGACGAGATTGCCCTTCCCATCCATGATTCGCGGACCAGCCTGGTCTTTGGGGACGGCGCGTCCCTTGGGCGTGTAGAGGTAGTACCCATTCATGCATCGCTCGTCCCAGCTGAGGAAGTTGACGCGGGGAATGCCGCCTTTGGCGTACGACTTGAAGTTGGTGTAGGGGAACAGGCCGTACCAGCCCCAGTCGTAGAGATGTTGCGACGAGAAGACGTCCGCGTCGGCTGCGGCTGCGGCTGCGACGAGGTCGAGGCTGAGTGCCGCCAGCGCTGTGACGACGGCTGTGAGACGCATGGTTGGGGGTTCCAGAGGGCACTGACGTCGCGTCGCGGTCGCGTGTCGTCGCTCGCTCGACCGTACTCGAATCTTGCGATTCGAGAAGGGTTCTTCGATTCTTAGAACTGGCAGTACGTAGAAATTAGAATAGGAGGCCCTGCAGGCCAAGCGTCGAATGGGGCGAGAACCGGGGACGGCCAGGGAGAAGCACGTGCGTGTGCACAGTGCGCAGTAGAAATGCTCGCTCAGGGACTACTTTCCACAGCAGTGGCTGATGAAGGAGTTGGCCAATGCAAGAGTAAGTGTAGGGGATGAGAATTGATGTTTGATCAGGTTCAGGTATTGGACATGTCTATAACAATGCTGTTGTTTTTGACGTCTGCTCCACGAGAGTTTTGACTTTGAAATACGGAGTACCTGACATGCTCCTGCTTTAGTCCGTACATAGTAAAGACTCCCGACCAGTGCCAATTTCACTGTAATGGACGCGCCTACGGGTACAGTAGCAGCCCAGTAATTAGCCCCAGGCTAGCGACGCCTTGCAGCGTTGTCAGGGGTCCACTCAGCCTAAGCTCCCAAGGGCCTTATCGTTATCGATATAATCGAGCGATAAGACATGTCTCGCAAGTAGCGAAAGAACGAGACCAAGACTTATGAGATGATTATATAGAGCGTCGACCATACTACCAAGTCGAATAAATAATCTTCGTCGACGAAACCGGATGCGACCGGGGCATCGCCATGCTGGATCGTGGATATGCCCCACGCGGCATCACCCTAGTATAGATAACGTTTCCATCGAGGCAAGAGAGTATAGATGCTCCCAGCATACACGATAGACAGAATCATATATTGTGAGGTCTATCATGAAGATACGGATACCCAGCGCTTCGAAAATTCCCTTTTGAGGTTACTTCCGTTCTGTGGCAGGTACCCGGAATCGACTTGTCCGTTTCGTGATGCTTCGTTGAGTGGCGTCCTGCCGGCCTGGACGGCTCCTATATCCAACGGTAATCTCACAATGGCCGTACAGCCGTTGCTGCAAGCGGCGGTAAGAGCCGTCCTTCCCGAGCTGCTTCTCTCGACCACAAAAGACGGACGTTGTGAAGGACTGCGCTGAAAGTGGTTGTTTACCTTGTCCTCCAATCTCTGCAGCGACGTGTGGAACGCAGCCGTGGCCTCGCGGCAATCGCGAGCGGTCTGAAGGGTCTGTGTCTCAACATTGCGATCGGACCAGAAATAGAGCGGAGGCGGCGCCAGCTTGATCCTCTGCAGATGCAGCCTGTATATAGGGATGCGAATAAGAAGATCGTCGTCCTCTGCAGCGCTGGCCTTGGCCTCAAGATCGTGTAGAAGGTTGAATGCCTTGCGCAAGTTTCAGCTCAGCGAAAGAATCACAACTTGCAGAAGCGCCTGCTCGCGATCGCCGAGGGCGTTGGGTGGTGCAGCGCGACTCTCGAGAGCTCGCCTGCTACTCGTCAAGTCGATACGAATGTCTTCAGAAAGAATACAACCGCCAAAGAAAGTAGACAAGTCTTGAAAGTCCATCAGTGGTTACCGGTCACGGGTGGAATTCTGCTCCAACAACGCATATCAGGATGAGAGGTGAGTGTACCCAGATGAGGTCTACACGCTGTTAAGTGATTATTTGGGCCTGTCTTTGCTTTTTCTTTTCATTGCTTGCTGCTCTGAAGTGCTAAGAGATGGCAGTGTGATATGGCTGCATATGGCTGCATATGGCTTACTTCCTAAGTTGCTTTGCTTGTTGCTCTACGGTGCTACGAGATAGCGGTTTGATATGGCTGCGTGTGGCTGTTGCGTAAATTTGCTCTTGTGCACTTCCAAAGTTCTCAAGCTCTCTTCCATTGTTTGCAGGTGGTAGTCATACCATAGCGTAGTTAACAGTTACTAAAAATGTATTGGTGAGTACAGTTCCTAAATTGCACTGCAATGCGAGTCCGTTCATCCAGTCTCCATCTTATGCCGGCGATTGGTGCAACGCACAGGACGCAAGCCTCAGAATAGGACGTGGCTACATTATAAGTAGGAGCCCTTCCAGGCTTGCTCCAGCATCTCTCGTTGTTGAGAGTGTACGGTGGCCTTCTGCGCAAAGCCCAAACTACACTATTCGCAAAATGGCATTCGAGGAAGTCCCGCAATTCTTTTTGTACGGCCATGGTATCCCACCAGCTAATCTTACCCTCGGCACATTAGTCTTTGGCAATTATGCCCAGCCCGAAGGTCGCTCAGCAGTGTTCCAGGGGTGAGAGAGAGGCTAGACAATGCCCACATGGAAGTCGAGGCTAACGGACGAGCTCAAAGGGCCCTCGATTCAATTGTCGTCTCCAGCCAGGAATTTTCTGGCTGCTGGGCCACGAGGTCAAGGTCGAAGTACGGGCTCGGGCTCGATACTCTGCCCGACTTGGCGTCGATTAGTGCACAGTACGCCACCAGTTGCAGCAAGGTGGTCTGTGCAACTCAAGGCCTTAGACGCACACTGAGAGAGTGAGTCGTGCGACTGTTCTTTCCGAGCAGCTTCAAATTAGGCTCTTGTCTAAACCAGCCGCAGTCCCCAGAATTTCCTCAACAACTATGTTCTCCGCTCGCCAAGGACTGGCGCAACGCTCGCTCAGTGGCTTACGGCGACGAAGAGTACCTACTTGTTCCGCAAGGCCATCTTCCAGAAGCTTAGGGTATACTATGTGACGGGTGTTTATGAGCTTGACGGAGCTTATGGCTGGGTTGAGCGTGGTTCGGATGCTACAGCAGCCCTAGGCATTAACGGAGCAGCCATGGGGCTGGCGACAGGCATGCCCTCAGGCTTTGAATTGGGCCCCTTTGAATCGAGCACTCACTTGGCCTTCAAGAGCCAGGTCAAGGGTCGGCAGGTTTGGGCTGCGAGGTTCCAGCAGCTCCGTGTTGACTACGTTCGCCAGAGCAATGAAGATGACCCCTGCATACCTTCCAACATATTCCTGCTGGCTGATGAGACGGTCGGACGCAATGCTGTAATGGGATCAGACTCTCCCGTGGAGGAGAAGCTGGTTGTCGAGGGGGACCGGTCGATTACTGCGAACGCTGCTGATCTTGGCTTGCGAGATAGTGTTGAAGAGCTCACGGATGGGGAGGAAGACGCATATTGGCCTGTGTGGGAGGAGGCGGTTGCTGTGCTAGACGGTGTAGCAGAAGACCGGCTAGAGGCTGAGGAGGATGAACCGTTGCCTGAACCTATCTCTTATTCTCCGTAAAGTATACATATACTATTAGTTGTACTTAGGCCGTTACTTTAAATAACGAATTAAACCCCTATCTCTTATTCTCTCTAAAATATACGTATACTTTATTTAAAACCCTATATAGATTGGTGTGGTCCCAATCCTGGCAGCCAAGTCCTGTGACCCGACAAGCAGTACATCACAGCCAGGCAACGCGGCAATGTCGTGAACATGAAGCTTCAGCGCTGCACCCAACGGCTGACGAGATAGCCGACTTTGGTGATTTGGAAGCGATGAGACCGCAAGCGAAGGAAGAGGTCCCGCCGTCGGACTTGTCCGATGACGGACACGCCGCAGGGCCGGGAAATATGGATAAATTCCGGAGGCGGGCTCGGAGGCGGAGTCGGGTCCGGTGCCGTGACCGAAAAGTCCGTGTGCCACACCGCCCACACCGGTTTTTGGTGAGCAAGTGAAGCTACTGGTTGGAAGTGTAGTACTTGTGTTACGTATGCGAATTCAACAACACATGTTGGCAGTAGGGTCGAAGAGCCAAGAACTAGGCGAGGAACGTGAAGACACTTAAGGTATCGCAAGCTTAATGTCTGAGGCACTTATTCTGCAGTGATCAGCCCCTGACAAAGGGATTTCAACGCGTAAATTGCCAAAAGTCCGAGGTCAAAAACAGAAGGCTCCGCTAAGCGCCCAATAAGGTACCGTCCCAGCCAATAGTCCGAACCCCGAGACGCTTTAAATCACCGCGCGTCCCAATTTCCCGTTCTTCTCTCTCTTCCACCCTCACAAATTGTCCGTTCATCAATCAGCCATGTCTCTGCAGACGCCGCGCTCGCGACCCGATGACTCGGGAATGTCCACGCCGCCTAAGAAACGTCGCAGGCCGGCGCTGGCCTGTCACGAGTGCAGACGACGCAAGATCCGCTGCGACCAGCAGAAGCCGTGCACCAACTGCAAGTCCAAGAGCCTGGACTGCGAATTTCCCGACACGCATGTCCCGGGCTTGGCAGGGCCGTCGCATCATCTCGAGGGATTCGTGGCTTCCAGGACGGCGAGCCCGCCCGTATGGAGCAGTCGTGAGCCTAGCCAGGCCATTAGAGCACGCGAAGTCCCTGAGCACTGTCTTTCAGACTCGCCGGCAGTTGCACGCAGGCCCAACTTGCACCATGTCAGCAGCCATGCGGCACTGTTGAACAGGATCGCAGAGCTGGAAAGGACTGTGACGAGGCTGTCCCAACCAGCGACTAGCCATGCCGGAGGCACCGAGGCAGGCGTTCCGCCCATCATCAATATTGGCCACCAGGGACACCGCTTCGGCGCCCAGAGTAGTTGGATCAACGGCACGAGCTTGGTACGTTACTGACCTGCCCTGCTCACTACCTCTGTTTTGTTCACATGAGCTACGGCCAAAGTATACCAATATCCTGCAACCCATCAGTCAGGCGCAGACGGAGGACGGTCCGTTGGTGCGATTCATGGCAGTCTGTAAAAAGAAAGGCGACCGCATAGAGAAGCACATCTTTCGGCCTTTGTTCTTGAGAGAGGACATGGATCGTGAGGCGCGGGCCGTATACGAAAAGGCCGACATTGATGTCCTTCTGGACGGGTATCTCCAAACCTTTGAAGGCTGCCTCCGGATCTTGGACGTGCCTACCTTTCGTTCCAATTATGAGGAGTACTGGAGGCATACAAACGGACTGTCCGAGGTTTTCGTCCTCCAGCTCCATGTCTGCCTGGCCCTGGGGAGCGTCACTCAACCAGATGCGCTGCAGTGGCGGAACGCAGCCCACCGATGGCTCTCCAGGGCCCAGGCATGGATGTCAAAGTCCAAGACCAGAGGTGAGAAGCATATGTCGATTGAGGAGATCCAACTAGCTTGCCTCGTGCTTCTAGCCGAGTTGAACAGCGCGAGTGCAGACCACATGCACCCCTGCTGGGTCGACACGGGCAACCTGGTACGCAAAGCCATGTGTATGGATCTGCATCGCGATCCAGCGCGCATGAACCACATGACCCAGCGCCGAGCAGAGGTCCGTCGCCGCCTGTGGGCTACCATTCTGGAACTGAATCTGCTGGTATCTCTGCAAGCCGGGAGACCCCCGCTGATAACTGAGGCGGACTACGATTCTCTCCCGCCCTCAAACATATCTGACGATGATCTCACCGATGACGCACCGCCATATGCTGTCTCCTACCTTAACTCAGGGCGATGCACCGACACGGCAGTACAGCTTTCATTCTTCCTGTCGTTCAAGCTGCGGTCGACCATTGTCAGCAAGATCAACAGACTCGGCCCGGCCATGGCCTACGACGAGATGCTCGAGCTCCATGCTGAGCTGAGCGCGGCCCGAACAAAAATACGGGAGGATTTTGAGCTTCCAGTTTGGAAGAATTGGTCAAATGCGCGCCCAGTCACTCGTGCGCAAGGGGTGCTCGCAGAGGTGTTCTTTCATCGGTACTTTTTGGCACTGCATCTGCCCGTTCTGGGGCCCTCCATTCGGGATCCCCGATTTCACTTCTCCAGGCGATTTTGCTTTGCCACCGCCATTGACATGGTCAAGGCTACCCGAATCATGGAATGGTCATCGCCAACAAGGTGCGAGCAGCCAGACCTTGCTAGCCTGTTCACGAATAGCCCGGGACTGTTTCGCCACATCATCATCCAGGCCGCCTTCGCAGTGGCCTTGGAGACTGTCACCCATGCCGAGGAGAGGGCCGACAACGACGACGCGCTGCCCGTCTGCACAGCACCCGAGCTCGACAAATATATGGACAACGTTAGCTCCTGGGCGGCGAGTCGTATTGAAACGGGGCTGATTGATGTCCGAACATCCATATTTCTGGAAGTCTGTTCTCGATATGCGTTTACCGTGAATGACCAGTGGTCAATGGCACCTGGCCAGAGAGCATTGTCAGTCGTGCACTCAGCGGTCTCAGTCGTCGCGTACATTCTCGATATGCTGGAGAGGCTGGAAAGCAAGGTCGGCCTCCCTAGCGAGGACACTCGGGATCCGCTGACCTTGCCCACTTTTTTGCAACCAAGGGACGCGCTGCTGGACTGGCCTGGTGGTTTCCTGGCGCAGGACTTGGACACGCTTGACCTGGCATGGGGTCTCGAGGACAACGTGGACTCGCAGCTGGGAGGTGCGGGCGGCACGAATTATGTATCGATGGCGTCGATGTAGGGCGCGAAGATTGACGGTTTACTGGATACGCACACTGGTTTTTTATTTATTTTTTTTCTTCTCTTTTGTTTTCCCGTTTACACTGCCGCTGCTCGACAGCAAAGTCTGTCTATAGCTGCCTCAAGCAGACCCCATAATCTCCTCAACAAACTTTTCATAGTCAATATCATAAAGCCATCGCAAATCAAAGCCCTCAGCCGCCATCGGACCCCCCAAGGCAGAGGGCAGCCTGCGCTTGTTGATGCTGGCATTGAGCTCGAGCACCCCGTCCACGCGGAGCTGACGCTTGTCCTGCCACCTGCGCAGGACCAACGACGCAACAGCGTCTGGAGATCTCTGCAATCCCGCCATGACACGTGAGAATGTGTATACATCCTCAAACGCCTGATTTACGCCCTGGCCTGCCGTGGGCGGGATTGCGTGCGCCGCGTCGCCAAGGATGACTACCCTTCCCTTGTCGGACAACCACGAGGTGAGCTTTGGGATGAGGTAAAAGGGCCAGAGATTGATCTTGTCCATGTCCAGCTTCGAGACGGCGCGACCCACCAATGGGGGGTAGTCTTCTTGCCCCTTGCGTAGAAAGTCGATGCACCACTGCCTATCATTGAGGACGCGATCCCACCCTGGTCGATCCAGATCTTCTGCGAAGGGGCACTGTTTGCCAATGAACATTTCAGAGCCGTCTTTACGTTGCGGCGCAGCGATAAAAGCGCCATGTTTCCTGTTCATGATGGTGACAGGCAGAGTGTAGTCGGCATCCACTCCGAGCTGGGAGGTCGGTATGGAAGCGGTTACACCAACCATCTTGGTGAAGATCGGTGAAGCGTCTGGATGCATGCATGAGCGCACGCGAGAGTGTATACCGTCAGCACCGACGAGCAAAGAGGCGCTGCTGGACGATCCGTCGTCAAAGGCCCATGTGACGCTGCCCTCGTCTTCGCTCACGACGTGGCTGAATTTCTTGCCGTACTGGGGTGTAATGTCGACTTCTGAAAGCATTGCAAGCAGGACTTTGATGAGCTCGAAGCGGTACACTCGCATCCCTCTGTAGCCAAACTTGTCTTTGCCCCCAAACTCGAACGTGTCGAGAAGTTGGTCATCCTCGGTGCGGAAGTAGAGCTGGTCAAAGTCGTAGCCTAGTGGCTGGAGACGTTCATAGGCGCCCAGCCGTTCGAGGATGCGCAAAGCGTTTGGGGATAGCATGATGGCGCCACCAATGTCGAGTGGCTCAGCTCGGGTTTCGTAGATGACACAGGGGATTTGTTCTTGGTGGAGTGCGAGTGCCAGACAGAGGCCAGAGAGACCCGCACCTATGATGGCGATGGACAGGGGCTGTGTCATTGTGAAGATGGTGTTGAGAAATTAAAGCTTCTCTGCTGTACGTGGGTGTAGTAAGATAAAGGTGCGTTGTACCAAGTGATGTTTGGTGCCAGAAGCAAGCCAAGGACAAGCATGGCTCCTTATAGGTGAACTTTTTCACGTCAGCCTGAATTGTCCGTTCTACCATGTCGTTGTGCGAGGAGGAATTGGAGGGGTTAACACTACGAAGGATCGAATGCTGACGTTGCATCTCGCGGATGCCGACGAACGCACGCACAATTCGGCGGACAATTTGACGGACAATTCGGCCTTTCGGTCCCTGTGTAAGCCACCCCCGTCAGTCGACCGACTGGCAATTCGGCGACGAATGTACTATATAATGGGTAGAACGGTCCATTTCTTTTGATCAAAACCAAAAATCGCCTCAAGCATCCATCACCTTTTTCAAACGTGCTCACCAGTTGCCGCAACGTTATGAAATTCCTCATCATCGGCGGAAGCGGTCGCTCAGGCCGACTGGTGATTGAAGAAGCCCTCTCAAAGGGTATGTTCTTCCGGCCAAAGCAACGGGGCAAAAAAAAAAAAAAAAAGAAGATTAAGCGAGCCGCTAATTTCTTCTCACAGGCCATCAAATCACAGCCCTCGTCCGAAACCCGTCTTCCTTGGAAGAGCGTGAGGGCCTCACGGTTGTCAAGGGGTCACCTCTCAGCGTGGCTGATATCGCCAGAGCCCTTGAGACGAAGACATACCCATTTGACGCCGTCTTTGTCACCCTCAACGCACGCCGAGTCAGCGACAGCCCCTTCGCGGCCGCAGATCCGGTCAATTCGCCGCCGCGCCTTATGGCAGACAGCGTCCGCAACGCCATCAGAGCCATGCGTGGTGCCACGCCACCAGTCCCCAAGATCATTGTCATGTCCGCTGTAGGCACGGGCAACTCGTTCAAGAACCTCAACTTTTTGATGCGCCTCGTCTTCACGCACACCAACATGCGCCTCAGCAGGGAGGACCACGATGCTGTGGACAAGGAACTCCGAGACGCGCCGGGGATCCAGTTTGTGGAGGTCCGGCCCCATATGCTGACGGATGATGAGGCGGCTGATATGAAAGTGTATCCGGACGATGGACGGGGGGCGGGATTCATGCCCAAGGTTTCGCGGGCGAGTGTGGCGAGGTTCATGGTTCAAGCGGCGGAGTCGTCAGAGTACGATGGGAGAGCGCCTGTTGTTTCGAATTAGGGGAGCGAAGAGAGCTACTGTCGCGACAGTCACGGCCGGTTCGCAGGCCTGCAAAGAGATCCTCATCCTGGGGAAACAACAGCAGAACCACCAAAGACACAGGCACGTAAGCATACACTATCAGATTAGACATAGAGTTTGAGTGAATTCGAATATCCTTCGAGAAGAATCCGCAGTTGTCCGCCCTCCTATTACCACAAGAGAGACGTGACACCGGACGCTTCTCCTCCGTACGGTACTTCCATCTCCATAGCATCGTGATGGTACCTGTCCGCTGGGAATCGCCAAATACAGACCTCAGCGGCTGAGGCATCAAAGAAGCAAGCACCTGATAGGGGATGTGATGCTCACTTGAGGCCCCCCAGTTCCAGGCACGCTCGGCTGCTCCCCGCGCCATGCCAGACAGCCGACGACAAGTGCCGAAGCTTACCATCAAGCGAACCCTCATGAACCACGGATTGAACACGAATTGTCTGTCATTGTCCAGGGTGATGAAAACATAATGTAACCGGATCAACAGTCGGCAACCCAATTGACTCTGATGACGTCTCGCGATCATCGCTCTCGGTTGAATTGGGAATCCCTGTCGGCAGCTCACACACGGGGTAGCTTTCCTTTGCTCACGCAGGAGACGCAGCAGCATTGGAAACAATGCCGGCACGGAGACTATTCAACGTCAGCATGCAGCCGTTGCAACTCCCGCGCCTGGGGCACATCGGCCTGCCGATCCTTGTCGCAAAGGGCGAGTAGAGACTGGATGGCATTGGCTCTGCTATAGGCATTGACGTACCCCGCCAGTTTCGACATGTTTGGTTCTGAACATTCTCCTCCGCGCCCAAACAAGGAAAGAAACGTGATGCATTGATGGAAGTGAACAACAGCCTCGTCTTCACTCGGACGTGTCTCGAACATCGCCGCTTTAGCATGACTGGCAACATCATCGGCACTATTCGTGCACATCTTGCCTAATTCTTGACAGGAAGGCGCGGCCGTGTCTGTCCGAGCTGAGAAAAGGCAAGAGCGGCCGGCTGTCGCGCTAACCCGATTAGTGCGAAGCCTCTGGTGTAAGTGACGGGGTTCTCAACTTCTTCTACGCAATAACCTTCTCGTACATGCAGTCTCCACGTCAACCAAAAGCCGAAAGCTTCTTTCCAGTCGGTTCGTACAAGGATCACCCTTGCCCTTCAAGAAGTATAAAGATTCCGTCCAACACCACAGACCGAAACCCCCATCGAGTCTCCCCTCACCACTCACAAATCCGCCCCCTCCAAGCCTACCCTTTCCACACAACATCCATCACCCACCATCATGGTCTTCCTCCCTCGCCTGTCTGCCGCCGTAGCTCTGGGCTGCACCGTCGCGTCGACCGTCGCCCAGTCCGCCGGCTGCGGCCAGCAGCCCACCCTGACCAACGGCGTCCAGACCATCAACGGCCGCGAGTTCATCCTCCAGCTGCCCGACAACTACGACAGCAGCCACCCGTACCACCTCGTCTTTGGCCTGCACTGGCGCGACGGCAGCATGTACAATGTCGCCGACGGCAACGGCGTCGAGCCCTGGTATGGCCTCGCGGCTCGCGCCGCCGGCAGCGCCATCTTCGTCGCCCCCAACGGCTACAACAATGGCTGGGCCAACATCGGCGGCGAGGACGTCCTCTTTATGGACCAGATTATGGAGTACGTCGAGAACGACCTCTGCGTCGACCAGGACTCGCGCTTCGCCACGGGCTTCAGCTGGGGCGGCGGCATGTCCTATGCGCTCGCCTGCTCGCGCGCGGCGCAGTTCAGGGCCGTCTCTGTGATTTCGGGCGGTCTCATCAGCGGCTGCGACGGCGGCAATGACCCCATCGCCTACCTGGGCATCCACGGCATCAGCGACAATGTGCTCAGCATCGATGGCGGCGTCGACCTGGCCAATACGTTTGTGAGCAACAACGGCTGCCAGCAGGCCAATGTTGGCCGTCCCAACCCTGGTTCGGGTAGCAGTGTGCGCACAGACTTCCAGGGATGCTCGCAGCCCGTGTCGTTTATTGCCTTTGACGGTGGTCACGTGGCCGCTCCCCTGGGCGTCGGCAACCCGCTGGCCCCGGATGCGACGTGGGACTTTTTCATGGCGGCGTAGGTGGTGGATCGAACATTGGTAGAATGTGAAGCAAGTTGAGGTGGCGGTGATGGAGCGGTAAATTTTTATCTTTTTCTATCTTTTTTTTTTTTATAATGATAGCCAGTATGTTGGAGAATGAAAACGAGTGTCAGGCCATGTCGGAAAGTCACTGTGGCAGCTCTGGATGGAGTTATTGTCCTGTATAAGGAAAGCCCTGCGAACTACATTTAATGTGAAGGGATGCCATCTTTTTACGAAGAATAATCAGTGCCCAGCAAAGGACTAGAGCGCTCAGAGATTTTGGGTCCGTGAGCAGCAGACATTCTATTCTAGCCAACAAGATCCAGTGATCATGCGCACAAAGTGAAAAGAAGAAGAAAAATCCAGATTCGCCGATATATGAAGATCCAGAGAAACGACACTTGTTGTTGTTCCATTGCCCCCAAGCAGATGTATTATTCACTCACTTCTAAGCATCACACAGAACCTTCACGCGGAACACCAGTTTGTTGCCAGAGAAATTTCTATTCATTCCAAGATATGTAGCGAAGGTAAAGAAGATATTACGAAATGTGCCAAGCCCAGCATGGCCGTCCTCAACTCTCTCACTGAGCAGATCCAGCATAAGTGACTGCATCTCAGTTCAGCAGCAGCCCTCCCTTGTACCAATGACAAGCCACCCCTTAGAGGCACTGGTGGTACCAGTCGTTGACGACCTTGCAGCTGCCGGTAGAGCAGCACGTGGGGCCCGTGTAGCCATTGCCACCGCACTGGAAGTACATCCCCAAGCACTCGACGCCAGGGGCAGGCTGCTCCTCCTCAACGGGCGCGGGGGCGGGCTGCTCAGCAGGCGCATCATCCTGCTCCTCCTCGACAGGGGCGCTACCACTGCTAGTACCGTCCCAGACAGCAGGTCCAGGCATGGGGAAGTCCTTGAAGCCGTTGTAGATGCTAAAGTTGGCATAGTCGTCCGTGTCCTTGTAGCCGCCGGGCAGCTGGAAGGTGGGGCCGGGGGTACCGCTGCCGCCGCCCTCGACGCGGACCTGGAGGCACGAGGTGTAGTGCTCGGGCTGGTTGACGTGGGAGCGGTGGACGCCAATGTGCTCGAAGCGGACAAGGTACTCACCGTCGGGGGTGCCGGCGGGGATGGTGGCGGTGATGGTATCGCGGCCCCAGGTGCACCAGGCGTCGCTGGTGAAGTCGGCCGAAGGGTTGCAGACACCCTCCTCGAAGACCTTGAACCAGTCGCCCGCGCCGTCGTAGGCCTTGACGTCGTCGCCAGGGGCGCGCGACATGTAGACGAAGCCGGGGCCGGGGTGCTCCATCTTGGCGCCAAAGGCCAACTTGGCCGTCACATCGGAGCCAGCGGCGACGGTGAGGACCTCGGTGTTGCCGGCGGTCGAGAAGGCGCCCTGGTTGCAGATAATGTCGTCGCCGTCGGCAAAGGAGCCGTCGCGGATGTCGCCAGCCGGGTTCGAGGAGAACTTGATGGGGTTGTAGGCGGTGGCGCGGGTGGTGCCACGGACGTACTTGCCGGGGGCTTGGGCGGCGCCGTCAATGACATTGGTGTCGAACCAGTAGTGGGCGGAGGCCACCTGGGCCGCAGCAGCGAGAGCGAGGGTTGAGAACTTCATTTTGATATTTTATGGAAGTGTTTTTGAAAAGAGGGACAGAGTGCAGGAATATACAGTTCGACCGGAAGAAAAGAATGGAAGAGGGTGGGAAATTCCGAGCGCAGCTGGAAGTGAAAGTTCTCTGGGTTGAAGAGGAAACAAAGCCACGAGAGGAGGCTTTAGAGGGCACTGTTATATGTGTATCGTCCCGTGGACAGCAAGGTCTCTGTTTCGTTCCATCCAAAGTTCCAAACGGACCGTTTACAGCTCGCAAGCATGGACGTTCGCGCGCACATGAGCAGCAGACCAAGCCAAGCCAACTAAATGGTCCGGGGTGCGTTTTAAAGCCCCTGCTAGGTCCAAAAAAATGACACATAGGCTGTTCATACTCGATCCACGCGGCACGGTAAAACTAACACTCGAATCGAGCTGTCGTCCGGGTAGCAACTCCAGTCTGCGCTCTGCCGTGTCCAAACTCGAGTACTCGAAGCTTCTTCATGACACGGTGAGAACGACCACGAGTTCGTTGCAAGAGTTGCAAGACGTTGGCTCATGCGCCAGAGTATAAGCGTCAAGCTACATGTGGAGAGGACCCGACAAACGGACGTTCCAACTGCCGGCAAGAGGAGACGAGAATTCTCCTAATTACGTATGTAGTTCTCCTGATGCTTGTTCACTCCGTGCGGGCGGATAATAAACAGAATCTACCTGAAAATTAAAGTCGTCCTGGCCCCCTTTTTCTAGGTCCAACACACCAATCGGGTTTTTGAGTGATGATCCCTGTCGCCCTCCCCCTGCTCAGCCTCCTCGTTTCAAGCTTTTAGCCTGAGGAGCTCTGGCGTTTAGTGACTCTAGTCACACATGACAAAACATGGCCAAGAAACACAGCCTATCTTTTTTCGTTCAAGTAGGCTTAGCCATGAGCTTCAAATGTAGGTTTGGTGGGCCCCCCAGCGGACGAAGGCAGAACAGCTTGAGCCTACAATAGGTAGCGAGCCATGGACTACATATGGTTCTTGCTTACCCTGCAGTCCGTCACTACCGTAGATGAATGAGCACGATGATACTCGCAAGATATAGAAGGAGAATTGACAAGAATGAAACAATCTGCTCTCAAGATTTATGGAGTTGTCGTTACATCGATACGGAAGCAGCAAGGCTAAATTCATTGTCACCACTGATCAAAAGACATCGCTGGTACTTTGATCACTGCAAGCAAACTATTCATTGGAGAGGCACGACAACCCCCCTTAACCAAGGTTTTTCATCCCAGAGGCAATCTGTGCGAGTAAACCCAAGCCCCCTGCCGAGAGATTCTCAGCAAGGTTCAGCAGCCGGACCGACCCCAGCCGTGCGACATTCTTTCTCGCCGCCATCTTCTTCCTCCTCATAAACGTCTTTTGGCCCTTTTGCGTCGAGAGCCCGACCAAATCGGCCCGACTGGGAAAGCGACGGGCTTTCCTGAACTCGACCCATTGTAGAGCCTCTGGGTAGGCCCACGCTTGCCAGGCCCTGAGACGCGCGAGACTGTGGTCATGGGCCCCGTTGGGAAGGTAGACGTCGCGCATGGGGAAGCCAGACCATCGGTCACGAACCACCCGATGGCGACGACGCATGCGCAGACCGGAAAATCCTTCCAAGATTACGCTGCCATGGCGCCCATCCGCGCGCTCTGCCATGAAAGGCGGGACGGAAAGCTCCTTGACGGCCAGCAAGGGCCAGTTGGCATAGGAAGTGTGGACCATCTGACAGACCTCGGCACGCGAAGACGTACACTTTGAATTGTCCAATGAATGCTGCCACCCCGTTTCAGACAGATATTTTGCCTCCATACGCTCTGCATTGTGGCTGCTCTTGATCTGGGCGGCAATGCTCTCGTGGGTCAGCAAGCACAGTGTGGTAGCATGCGGCGAGTCTCGGCACGGCTTGAGGATGCTGCTAATGTCGACCATGGTCGACTTTGGCTGCTTGTCCAATAGGCCCTCGCCAATTTCGACGCGGTCCATCTTGTCATCAGGGCCCAGCCCCAGCATGTCCAGGTTGTCGGTGAAGCTGTCCCCCTTTTCTCGCGCAATGACAAAGAACTCGACAGAGCTGATCTGCAAGACTTCTCGGAAACTGACCATTTGTTCCTGTATGTAGGAGAAGAACTGGCTGTACGTGTCACCCTCCGCACGACTTTGACGACTGGGGACAATGTCGTCAAAAGCCCATTCGCACAGCGGTTCTGCCGCGAATCCGCGAACGTCCGCATCGACAAAGAAGATCCTACACGGAATCAGCCTTCCACACACCGCACCGAACTAAAGATCACGCATCCAACATACGGACTGATTTTGGAGACGTCAATCTTCAGATGCCCAAATGGCAGCAGCACGCCCCCAGCGCCATTCTTCCAGCGCGACCAGCCAGTCCTTCTCGCAGGGTACATGCGCTCCCACGTACTGTTTTCGTCCTCGCCGTGCATCAAATAATCCAACGATCGGCGCAATTGGCAATCTCTAGAAGCAGCATCAGGGACGGACCGTCCTTCGGGCAAGCAGCCAACGTGCATCACCAAGTGGCCCAATGCATCCGGCGAGCCCATGAGCGTCAGACCCAGGTCCGGATACACTGCCTTGAGCCGACCGCGCCCCTCCCACCGAGCCAGAGGCACTGATCCGAGCTCTGCGAACACCCGTGCGCGCAGGGTTTTCTCGACATCCTCCCTCACCCAGGTCGAATACGCCAGATGAACAGCCGCCTCTGCGTTGCGAAACATGTCGAGTGTGCTTAGTTGCTTATCTTTTCCAGGCAGCAGGCACATGAGGGCTGCCACGGTGCGCGCAAAATGGACGCTACCATGGCCCTCCGATATGTAGATCTTGCGCTTGGCCTTGCTCGCGAGTGGATACTCGGACAGGCTTCGTATAATGTGTCGCAAGCCGAACCGGCTGGTCGTCAGGATGCGCAGGGTGCCCGCGAAATCGACGCCGTCGTTGGTTTCCACGTTGATAATGTCCGTGGCGGGGACCTTGGACCAGAAGTGGGCGTGCTTCTAGTTGCGCACATTGTCCGACGCGGGCTTGGGTGGTGGTGGCTCCCACTTTCGGCATACGGTCTGGTGCGCTGGCTTGTGGGCTTTCAGGCAGGCATCGCTGCAGTACTGCGTCCGTTTCAGCTAGTCAGAGACTCGGAAGAGAGACAAGCGCGAGGACGGGAAACATCGGGCATACCTCTATCATCATGCAATCGGGACAGCACGTGGTTGGGGACATTTTCTTACAGAGCGCGCAGTGAGGCAGAGCTACGTGGTCAGGGCGGACGGTAGTCTTCGCAGCCTCTTTGTTTTCGTGGTCATTGGATTTGTTGGGTCGAGATAGGCCAGGAGGCGTGTCGGGTCCTCGCTTCGCAACCTCACTGTCGGCCATGGTTTCTATCTTGGTGGATGGATGATGCCTAGATAAAAGCTGATGGGGATGATGAAATGTGCTTGACGGTGGGAGAGGCTGGAATGAGTTTGTTGACTGACGCTCTGCTCCTGCCCTTTCACTCTACGTGAGGAGGGGAAGTGGAACGGGAAGTGGAACTGCCCTAGGGAGGGCAAGTTATGAGCATCCTTCCTTCCCCAATCCCCTCTCAATAGATCCGGAATATTTTGCCTTAAGGTCTGATACTTGCTGAAGACCATATTTTGCGCAAGAGTCGACCCAGTGAAGGTCTTTTTGTTCGCCTGAATTATTCTTCAAACACTATTATACACATCGCCGTTGCTTAAAGGTACTGGTACCTAAGTACTTGCTTACGAATTGGTACCAATCCTTGTGGGCACTTACTGTCTACTCACATACAGTATGGAGAAGGGAGTATAGTTGATAGCTTCCCAGGTACATTTAGCAGACAGGAATTGACTGCCATGGGTCCTAGCCATCGCACACAGGCAGGAATGGCAAATCACTCTGGGAAATGGACTGAAATCAACTGGTAGGCTGATGTCAACAAGTTCACAGTAACACGTCTTCATTCACAAAATACAAGTCTACCAAAAACTCTAGTCCCCCTGGCTGAACTCGGGGTTCACCCACGTCGGCGGCCCAGCCCTCTCCCGCAGGCGCCCCCCAAACCAGTGCACAGCCGCGAGGCAGGGCACGCTGAAGAAGACGGTGATGAGCGCGTGGCCGGCAAAGGTCCACGTGAAGCCGGCGTCCTCGACCCAGGGGACGATGAAGAAGGGGTCGATAAAGGCCGACATGTTGAGCATGACGGCGTAAAAGGTCATGGTCGCCATGCTCTGCAGCGGGTAGGCGTCAAAGACGTACGAGCACACGGCCGCGTTGCCCATCTGGATGCCAGCGCCGACTGTCTCGTTAGCGGATGATTCCTTGTCTAGGGGAGGCGGAAACGTACACAAAGCCAGGGCCACCTGCCCGACCATCCAGTGGTAGCCCTTGTCGACGCTGACGCCCCAGACGATCATGCCGACGGCCGTCAGTACCGCAGCAGGGTACGCGAACCACAGGCGCATCTCGGGTGTCTTGGGGCGGTCGGAGCGCTTGACGAGCTGTATGATGAGCCAATCGCTGAGTCGGCCGGAGCAGAGAACCTCGGAGACAATGGTGCCAACAATGAGGCCAATGTAGAGGAGTCTAGGAAACGTTAGCAGACGCCCGGACTTTGGAGAAAATGGACCTACCCCTGACTCTGGGGCGAGAATGTCGGGTACGCAATGGGAATCAGCGTCACGACGGACAGCACCCACCAGTACCACCCAAAGCAGTAGGCCATGATGGACACGGTGACGACGAGGTACTTGAACGTCTTGACGAACCGGATCAGCGTGTCCCAGGGCTTGGGGTGCTTGACGCCAGGCACGGGCATGACGTTGGCCAGCGCGAGTGACTTGGTGCGCCTGGGTCCGTTGTCGTCGACGGCGGTTTCCATGTTCCGGGGGCTCTTCTCATTGATGGCACCCCTGCTCTCGTACCTGGCCTGCATCAGGCGACGCGGGTACAGCGTCTCGGGAAGAAAGGCCACCTCCAAGACGAGGATGACAACAAAGAGGATGGCACAGAGCCACTGGATCCACTCGTCGCCCACGGTGCTCACGAAGCCGCCGATGAGGGGCCCGACGAGGAGGCCCAAGTCAATGGCAAGCACCCACAGGCCCACCTTTTGGCCACGCTCGTGCTCGAAGAAGATGTCGTCGATGATGGCCAGGCCGACATTGGACGCGGGACTGACGCCAAAGCCCTGGAAGAAGCGAGCGGCCGCGTAGCCGCTGTAGTTGGGGGCGAGCGCGGCGCCGACGGTCGAGGCCAGGGCGATGAGGGTGCCGATGATGAAGATGGGTCGTCGACCGAGAATGTCAGCCGGGGACGCCCAGACGAGGGGACCTAGGGAGAGGCCGAGGGCGGGGATGGCGACGGTCCAGTTGACCTGTGCGAGATCGATGCCGTACTTTTCCTGGAGGATGGGGAACGAGGGCACGGTGGTGGTCGTTATGTAGGTGAACATGAAGTATCTGCCCCTGGATGAGTATTTGGTTACTTGAGAGTGTGTGGAACAACGTACAGCGCCATGATGATGGCGAGGATGACATGCTTCTGCACAAAGGACCAGTTCAGGGGGTCGAGGGCATCCTCCCTGACCGGTTGAGGGAACAGCTTCAGCCCGTTCTTGGTCAGGTAGAGCTCGTCGGTGACTTGGTCTGCCTGGCCATCTTGCGAGGCGAGGTCGACCCGGCCCGTCTGCTTGGGCGCGTCCGATTTCTCAATGGTGTCCATGTTGGAGGCAGCTATTGAGAGTTGAGCGTGCTGTTTCGGGCGTGCTGTCTGTATGAATGCTCATCCTGATGCCTCCAGGAATCTCTCGAGACTATATGTCTTCTCTCTGTCCCTGCGTCTCGCCTGATGACTGATCCGTACACCCGGCTGTGCCCCCTTATCAGTCTGGACACTGGATCTTGATCACATAGGCGTCACAGCGGCGAGCTAGGTGCCCACGCCCGCTATCGGACTAGAGACACGAGGGCCCGATACCCCCCCAAGGCGGCACACATGCCGTAAAGAGAAAGTCTGGCGCTCTATCTGGGGATAATGGCTGTTATCAGCGGATATTCTCTCACTCTCCGTGCCCAGTCTCTTATCTAGTGCGCCCGCAGAGCGTCGCCAATCGCTCGCCGGCGGGCCAATCAGCTTACACGCTTCCTGTGGGGGGTTTGCAGGCCCGCCGAGTCGATATCGCGATAGGGGCTTTGTCATAATAATAGTGTTTATTGACTTTGCGTAGTCTTTTATGTGCAGGACATAGTCTGCAGGTGGGTAGTCTGCCGATGGGAGAATTAGTCTCTGGGCTCTCTGGGCTCTCTGGGCTCTCTGGGTCCTCTGGGGTGGCAAACTGGTCTGATGGTGATGATGGTAACGGCCACAGATGACACTGGTGAAGAGCAGCATCAATATAGTATAAAAAATAAATACAAAACGCTGTGAAGTAGAGAAGGCTTCCATTGTAGAGGGTCGCTTGATTGTATGGAGCTCGACGCCCCTACATGTACCTAAATAGTGTTGTAGCCAACCGGTGGAACCTCCTCGTCCTCCTCGTCCTCCTCCTTCAGCCTCTCCGCCGCCTTGTACACCTGCTTGTCCCAGTTACTCATCCCCACGATGATCCATTCCAGCACGCCCACAATCGACAGAGCCACCAGCTGGCCCATCCACAGCCCAGACAGCCCCCAGCCGTGGAACGCCAGGTAGATCCCCCCCGGCAGGGCACCACCGTAGTAGCTGACGCAGTTGACCAGCGCGCCCACCCACTGGCGTCCCATACCGCGCAACGCACCACCACAGCTCCCATTCAGACCGTCCGCGATCTGGAAGAGGGCCACGTAGGGCATGATCTCGGACACGAGGGCGATAACGTCCTTGTCGTCGTTGAACAAACTGCCAATGTTGTGGCGCGTGGCCATGAGGACGCTCAAGATGATGGTCCCAAAGACGACGGAGAGGATGGCAGCACAATGCGCCGAGCGTCGCGCCGCACGGGCGTCGCCCGCACCCAGGAGATTGCCCAGCCGCGCGGACTCGGCGACGCCCAGGCCAAAGGGGATCGTGTTGATGATCTGATCGGCCGTCATGACGACCGACTGGGCGGCCAGGGGCAGCGTGCCCAGCCGTCCGGCCGCGAGGGCCACAATCTCAAAGGCCCACCACTCGGTGCCGACGTGGATGACGCCCATAAAGGCGAGCTTGGCGAACGGGATCGAGTTCTTGCACGCGCGGCGTAGCTGCAAGCCGCCCCAGCATTCCTTGCCCTCCACAAAGACCGCATAGGCCACCAGGAGCAGAAACGATAGCCAGTACGATAGCCCCGTGGCAATGGGCGCGCCGTACAGGCCAAAGCCCAGCTTGTAGATGAAGAGGTAGTTGAGGGCGCCGTTCAGGGGCGAGGTGATGAGCAGGGCGTAGGTGCCCGGTCGGTAGATGCCCTGTGCCTGCAGGAACTTCTTCATGCACTCGAACCAGACGTAGCCGAGGCCACCGGGCGCCAGCAGCCAGAGGAAGCGCGCGCTGTGGTGGCAGATGGACTCGGGCTGGCCGAGGGCGCGGAAGATGTGCTCAGAGGCGGCCCAGATGACGGCCACGACGGCGTAGAAGCCCGTGAGGACCAGCATGCCTCGCTGGAGCAGGACGCCCAGGTTCTTCTTGTCCTGTGAGCTTGTGAAGCTGCTGGACGCCAGCGTGTCGAGGGCGCTGGTCCCGCCCAGGGCGATCAGCCACGCCGTGGCCATGGCGAACATGTACGAGAAGGCCGCCACGGCCAGGGCTTCCGAGGACAGACGCCCGACGATCAGCACGGAGACGGTCTGCAGGCTGTTCTGGAGCATGTACGCCAGGATGACGGGCACCGAGGCCTTGACGAGGAACCATATCTCGTATAGCCATTTTGTGTACTCGGCTCGACCGGTCGTCTGGCGAGGGGAGAGCTGAGGGATCAGAGGCGTCGACTCGTCGGGGGCACCTGTTGCTTCTGTCATGGTGTCGACTGTGGTGAGGTGAGTTTGGTCGAAAATAGGGCTGCTCCCGTAAAAGGTCTCGAGACTCAGGCAGAACTCCACGAGTCCCGGAGAGGCGTCCGTGGTCACCCCCCTCTTATCATGACCATGGCCAGCTCCTCAAGACACCCATCTTTGGACAACTTGCCGCCGCTGGTACTCTCTGATAGCCCGCCGTCCGCTTATCTGTCGCTCCATGTGTCGACTGCATCACGTCAGGATGCAGGGTCCGCCAAGACTGCATAGACTCTGGGCCGATCCCATCGGAGCGTCTCCACGATGCCCCCATTGTGCCCCCGTATCGCCTGCCACTCTCTCACACTAGCCCGTATCTGGCAAGTTTGGCGCCTCAACTAACTGATAACGACGGCGTCACGGTTCGAGAATTACCTCAGACGTTGTCCGTCAGTGACCGAATAAGGCAACTTTGACGCCTCGGACGTCTATCTCATCGGTTGGGGAAGCATTCGCGGGGAACAAAGTGAGGATGGCAGTCAGGTCTCGCTTATAAAAGATCTCTAGATCCCATCCAGAGTGAATATCCTCAAGTCTCTGACACTCACTCTCCCCCATCCCTATCCCCACCATCACCATGCTCCAGAAGACCATCCTCGGGCTCAGCTGCGCGGCAGCGGCCATTGCCCACGGCAGCCATGACCAGAAGAACCTGGGCCCTCACCAGCAGCTCTGGTACAACAACCTGCCTGGCGACGGCGGCAAGCAGGCCGACTCTGTCTTCTCGGGCATCTCCACCTTTGGCCGCCTCCCCTACCAGCCGTGCCTCGAGATGCCCGAGGTCGACTACGACATTGCCTTTATCGGCGCCCCCTTTGACACGGGCACCTCGTACAGGCCCGGCGCCCGCTTCGGCCCCTCGGGCATCCGCCAGGGCTCGCGCCGCCTCAACCTGTACGGCGGCTACAACGTGCCCCTCGCGACGAACCCCTTCAACAGCTGGGCCAAGGTGCTCGACTGCGGCGACATCCCCGTCACCTCGTACGACAACGCCTTTGCCCTCCAGCAGATCGAGGAGGGCCACTTCAACCTGCTCTCGCGCACGCCCAACACGGACGGCGACAAGCGCGGGCCCGCCATCAAGGGCAAGACGCTGCCCCGTCTCATCACCCTCGGCGGCGACCACACCATCACCCTGCCCCTGCTGCGCTCCATCAACCGCGCCTACGGCCCCGTCACCGTCATCCACTTTGACAGCCACCTCGACACGTGGAAGCCAAAGGTCTTTGGCGGCTCCCCCTCCGAGGCCGCCGCCATCAACCACGGCACCTACTTCTACCACGCCTCCATGGAGGGCCTGCTCAAGAACGACACCAACATCCACGCCGGCATCCGCACGACGCTGAGCGGGCCCAGCGACTACGACAATGACGGCTACTGCGGGTTCGAGATTGTCGAGGCCCGCGAGATTGACACCATTGGCACAGAGGGCATCATCAAGCGCATCCTCAACCGCGTCGGCACCACCAACCCCGTCTACCTCTCCATCGACATTGACACCCTCGACCCGGCCTTTGCCCCGGCCACCGGCACCCCCGAGACCGGCGGCTGGTCCACGCGCGAGCTGCGCACCATTCTCCGCGGTCTCGAGGACCTGAACCTGATTGCCGCTGATATTGTCGAGGTTGCCGTACGTGTCCCCCTGTACCCTCTTGGTGAGTTTGCTAACAGGACAGCCCGCGTACGACACCAACGCCGAGCACACCACCATGGCCGCCGCCGACGTCCTCTACGAGGTCATGAGCATCATGGTCAAGAAGGGCCCGCTGAGCAACATGATTGGCAGCGGCGAGGACGAGCTGTAGGGGCCGACTGTCTAGAAGAGGATGATATTGTACTCTAGCTTTTCTGCGTGGCAAGGGAACAGGAGTTAGCGTGTGGCATTATGTGGAAATGAATGAAGAAATACGTACCAAGCAGCTCGCTCGCGCAGCGGTGCCCGTCCACGTCGTCCATGGCCCGCCGGATGCGCCACATGTCCTCCAGCGCCTTGCGCATGATGCCGACGTGCAGCGAGCCCAGGCAGGCCTCAAACTTGGCAATCTTGTCCAGCACAAACCCCTGCTGTTGGGGCCGGAACGCCTCGCAGCCCATGGTGAACAGGGGCATCGCCATGGCCACCCACGTGTGGCAGGACTGGTCCTGCGTCATCTCGCTGATCATGCCCTCCATCTTCTCTACGGCCTGGCGGATCGGCGGCGAGGACGAGGACAGGGTGTAGAGACGGCGGTACAGGTGGACAAGTGTCGCCTGCTGGAAGATTCTGTGGCAGAGCAGGAATTCATTGGCCTGCTCGGGCGAGAGGGTTGTGCCAATGACGATGCGCGGCGCCGTCTCCTCATCACGGGCGATCATCTGCTCGAGCGTGACGAGGAGGTCGGCAGCTGCCTCTTCATCCTCACCACCACGGGTGGCGATGCGGTCAATGTCTCGTAGCACGTGTAGCAGCTCCTCGCTGTAGCCTAGGAACCCATCGATCCCCGGGCTGTTGCCCACGTCCCCCTCGTCGCCGCCCCCGTCGCGCGCGAGTGGCGGCTGCTCGGCCTCCTCGAGCGCAGGCACGTACGGCAGCGTCTCCAGCGCCAGGTAGAGCTGATACAGGTGCCGCATCGCCGTGACCTCGCTCTGCGCATCGTGGGACTGGAAACGTCTGTAGGTCGCGTTCGTGCTAATGAGCGCCTTGATGCCCTTGAGATGGACGCGCCACGACGTCGTGCCCTGGCGCGAGGCGAAGACGTCGGCCAGGCACCAGATGAGGCACGTCGCCAGCAGCGCGGTGCTGGACTGGCCGCTGCCCAGGGTCGACCGCAGCAGCGAGAGGCCCGAGGACTGCAGGTGATCGAGGATGCGCGTCACGTCGGTGCCGTCAATGGCGCGGACGCCGCGCGACTGGAAGCCGGCGGCGGCCAGCGCCAGGCAGGCGGAGAGCAGGTGAGGCGACTCGAGCGCGACGGGGACCAGGCCCCGTCGCAGGTCCGCGTGGATGGACGGGTGGACGGACAGGGAGGCGAGGATGTCGTCGGTGAAGTAGCTCAGCAGGCGCTGGTAGCGGGACGGGAGCGAGATGCCGTTGGGCAGGCTGCGCGGGAGGACGACGGCGGTGTCTGTGGCTTGGGCTTGCGCTTGCTGGGTCTTGACTTGTTGCTGGTCGTTGCTCTCCTGGTCCTGCTGGGTCTTGACTTGTTGCTGGTCGCTGCTCTCCTGGTCTTGCTGGGTCTTGACTTGTTCCTGGTCGTTGCTTTTCTCCTTCTGGTCAACCGTCAAAGGTTGACGGGGCCCCCTCTGCGCCGCCGGGGTCCTGCTGCTCCTGCTTCGGAGGGGCCCCCAGACGACCTTGAGCGTGTAGTCGCATTGTCGACGGAAGGACGAGCACGGCCCGCAGATGGGCTGCCCCTCGTCGCATTTCCTCCTACGTCGTCGGCACTCCTCACACCCTAGGCGCGATCGTCTCACCGGCATGAATGAGCGTCGGAGGCGCAGACTACACGTAGACGGGGTGCGCCATCAACCGGCGGGTGCGTACAGGTTTGATCTTGGTCTTGGGAGACAATCTTCAATTGCATGGCATGAATAGGATACAATGGTTCTTCTGAGCAGCGTCAAGCCATCCGTCGATGAATCTGGTCGGCGTCTCCTACGGAAATGCCCTGACTCGGTTGGCCAGAGATAAGCAGCCAGGTGTGACACACCGCGCCACACCCACCGAGATGGAGATAAGGGACCGGGGGGGGGCAACTCGTGCCCCAGCACATCTTTTCACGAGTCGATCTCGGAAGTCCTGATCGAAGGCGTACTTCTTCCGCATGAGGGGTAAGCCTGCTAGCGTCCGTTTTCTGACAAGTTTCGAGATGATGCCGCAACGTGGTTGACTGCAGTAACGCGCGGGCGCGTGGATGCGTGGACCGCGATGAGTTTCGACAATTACTAAAATATTGCTCCGCAGAGAGCTGCAGGAACTTGCATCGACAGGTGCTGCATGTGTGGTGGGGATGATGAACTGTCGAGCCTCACACGTACCCAAGGTACACGTACGTATCGACGTCGTCAGTACTGTAGGGTAACTTGTCCTTACCTGGGCGGGGCAAGACGCAAGACGCAAGAGTCAAAAGGCTTCAGGAAACAGAACATGTAGACGCCCCGCCTTCAACATCATGATGTCAATGTCGCATAGAAAAGCTTCCTGATGGTAGATATATCTGATTGTAGGGACATGACGAACTCGCCCCTGCTTTCCAGCCGTGCCTGGAGGCGTGGCGAGCGGAGGACCAAAGCAATGACTCAACGAGCCACTCACAGCGGCCGTCAATGCCCAAAGAGGAAGCATGGCTTTTGGGGCTATGCACACGTAGCCCATGGACGAGCATGATCATTGCCAAGAGCGCACATCCAGTGCAATTGAGTCACGCGTACATGTATATATCCTCAGGTATCGAGCTTGATGTTTGGGTGATGCAGCAAGATAAAAAAGTTGCATCCCCCCCTCGTGATGCTACCACAGGGTCCACAGCTGGACAGTGGACAGTCCGCCCTTGGGCTACTCCTCAAACTCGGCGTAGTACCTCCAGATGCCATTGCCATACTCCTGGCGCCTGTCGCTCTCCATGTACGCCTTGACATTGGGCCTCTGCCCCACCGCCTCGTAGAGCGCAAACACCTTGTCATACTTGCCCGACCTCCTCAGCTCCGCCATGCGCTTCGGAAAGGCAAACGACGTGCCGTGCACGCACTGGAACAGCACCAGGTCGGCGTACGTAAACTGCCCGCACTGCAGCCAGGGCCCTGCCCCGGACGACGACGAGTCGAGCACCCGCTGCGCCCAGCCGAGGAACTTGGGCAGCCGCTCGTCGACAAAGTTGGCCGCCCTCTTCTTCGCCTCGGGCTTCTGCTCCTCGTACGCCAGGCCGACGGCGATCGGGTGGTGCGTGTCGTGCAGCTCGGCGACGAATCCGTCCAGGAGCGTCAGGACGACCTGGTTCAGCTTCCAGGCCGCGTCCTCGTCGTCCTTGGGCAGCAGGCCCAGCCGCGGGGCGAGGTACTGCATGATGTTGGGTGTCTGGCTGACGACCTTGTCGCCGTGCACCAGGGCCGGCGGGGCAAACATGGGAGGGTTCGTCTTCCCCGCGGCGTCGGCGTCGCCTGTCATGTGGCTCATGACCAGCTCGACCGTCTTGTCGGGGGACCGGTCCTGCGCGGTGTCCGTGTAGGCCACCTGGGCCTCCTCAAAGAGCAGGCGGACGAACTCGCCGCGGCCGGGGAGGCCTGGCCAGTAGACGAGCTCATAGGCGGGGCTGTCGCCGGTCTTGCTGCGCTTGCTGTCTGGTTCGGGCGCCATTGTGTGTGTTTGGTGAGAGATGGGTCTGGGTCGGTGTTGCGAGAGTGATGTCACGTCAGAGAGGGGGAGGAGTTTTTATAGGTGCGTGTGGTGTAAGCATGAGGCGGCTGACTGCACCCACAGGAGGCCGAGATGCTTACACATCGGACCACGCACCACGTCTCAAGCATCGACTGTGGAAAGTAGACTATGACCCAGAGTTCCCTGCAGGCCTTGAGCACTGGAGGCATGTTCATGAGGCCACACCAGAGGTCACAATCCGGTCTGCAGCTGATCGATCGGACACTGAGTGCTTCTACAGGGTAGGCTGGTACCGTCGCTGTGGCTGGGCAGTGGCTCGAGCTGTCGTACAGCTTGTGGCTCCATGACAGACATCTTTCAGCTCCGCCGAGCACCGCTGGAACCGAGAAAATATCGGCAAAAGGCCTCGCTTGCCGAATTCCAGCTCAAGAAGTCATTAATAATGTGAAGGATTGTGGGCTCTCACCTTTCCCCCCCAGCTACTGGCCGGAGCTGCCGTCGCAGCCGTCCCTCCCCGCGGGGCCCGTCGCCCGCGCTCGTTCCCTCCTCTCCAACCTCCCAGCTCCATGTCCGAGTCAACGTCAACTCCGGGTTGACGCGCGCAGAATGGACTACGCAAAGAGAGGTCTTCTACCCGAGGCCGCGACCGTCCCGTCGAGGCCTCAACGCCCACGCCACCCCATCCGCCGATCGCGCGTCATTCGGGTCGTCGCCCTTGGCCTGCTCAGCTTCATCCTCCTCGCGCAGTGGCAGCAGCTGTGGCACACGGAGCGCACCGCCCCTCGCCTGTCCGCCCGCCAACTCGAAGCCGACCTCGCGACGTGCAAGAAGCTGCACAGGAAGCCTCAAGACCCCGCCGGTCACGGACGCGAGGCGAATGCCCGCTACGGCGATTGGAAGCCCACCCTGATCCGAAATGCGACCATCTGGACGGGCGAGCCGGTCGAGGGCACGAGCGAGGCCGATGCGCGCGCCGGCAAGGGCTGGGCGTGGAGGCAGGGCGACGTCCTTCTGGAGAGGGGCCTGATCACAAAGGTGGAAGCCAGCATCTCGTCCGACCGCGTGCCAAAGGATGCAATGGTGTACGAGGCTGCTGGGCGGCAGCTGACCACGGGCATCATCGACATGCACAGCCATGCTGGCGTCGATCCTCTCCCGGCGCTCAACGGCTATGCAGACTTTAACGAGGCCTCGGACAACCTGACGCCCTGGGCGCGAGCCATGGACGGCTTCTTCCCGCTTGATCCGCAGATCGAGGTCATCAAGTCCGGCGGCGTGACCACGTCGCTCGTCCTCCCCGGCTCGGCCAACAACATTGGCGGCGAGGCGCTGCTGATCAAGCACGCCGTCGGCCCCAAGGACGGCCGTCCCGAGATCAGCGCCGAGGCCATGCTCGCTGATCCGGCGCGGACGTGGCGGTACATGAAGATGGCCTGCGGCGAGAACCCAAAGTTCGTGCACGGAAGCCTGGCATCGCGACCACTCACCCGGCAAGGCGAGAGCTACGAGTTCCGTCGCGCCTTCGAGGAGGCCCGCGCCATGATCCAGAGGCAGGACGACTGGTGCGCCAAGGCGGGCAGCGTCGGCGTCGAGAACATGGACACCTATCTGCCCCAGGCGATTGCGCTCGAGTCGCTGGGCGCCGCGCTGCGCGGCCAGGTCCACGTCAACGTGCACTGCTACACGATCCCCGACCTCGAGGCCATGGTGGACCACACCAACGAGTTTGCGTTCCAGGTGCGCGCCTTTCACCACGCGCACCAGACCTTCCTCGTCCCCGACATACTCAAACGCACGTGGGGCGGTCGCTTCCCGTCCAGTGCGCTCTTTGCCGACAACATGTACTACAAGACCGAGTCCTACATTGGGTCCAAGCAGGCGGGCAAGACGCTCTACGACGCGGGTCTGACACCCGTCTACGTGAGTGACAATCCCGTCCTCAACGCGCAGCACGTCGTGTTTGAGGCGGCCAAGGCGTACCACTACGGCTTGCCGTATCACGCCGCCATGGCCAGCGTGACCACGGCGCCCGCAGACGATCTTGGGATGGCCCACCGTCTCGGAAAGGTCAAGCCCGGCTACGACGCGGATGTCGTCGTGTGGGACAGCGATCCGTTGAGTGTGGGCGCCACGCCCGTGCAGGTCTGGATCGACGGAAAGGATCAGTTTGAGAACCCCTTTGAGCTGGACAAGCCGAGCAAGGGGCCCATGGTAGCAGACACGGCACTCGCCACGTCGCTGGACGAGGCTGTGGAAGTTGAGTCGGACATTTTCCTCACCGGCGTCAAGAAGGTCCTGGTGGGGAACAGGGACGTGGAAGACTCTGGCGACGCCGGCTTCAACGTCTCCATCTCCAGGGGCCAAGTCACATGTGTAGGGGACTGCACGTCTGAGTACGAGGTTGCCGTCTCCTCGGGCGCCAAGGTGATGGACCTCCGGCTCCGGAACGGATACCTCCATCCCGCATACGTCGGCTTCGGGGGCACCCTGGGCCTGAACGAGATTGACGCGGAACCGACCACCGACAATGGCGTCAACCCTCTGCACTTTTCGCGCGCCATTGACGGCCTCATGCTCGACGGCAAGAAGCTGCAGGACGCCTTCCGGGCCGGCGTCACCCGCGCCATCTCCGCGCCCCTCTTCACAGGGCGGCAGACACACCATGGCACCTCTGTCGGCTTCCGCACCAACGCCAAGACCATACTCGACGCGGACGCCGTGTTCGCCGAGGACGTGGGCGTGCACTACACCCTGAATGAGGCCGTGCGCGCCCAGGACAGCTACTCGGCTGCGTTTGGCAAACTGAGGGACGTGCTGATGGCCACGGGCGGCGTCGAGAAGGATCTGCTGCCGTACGGCGAGGAGGCCTTTCTCAAGCGCGTGATCGAGCTGGGCATGCCCCTCGCGCTGACCATTGACAGCGCGGACCAGATCGCCACCGCGCTGCGCGTCAAGGGCGACATTGACGCGCTCAACACGGGCTGGACGCTGCGGCTCGTCATCGTCGGCGGCGCAGAGGCGCACCTCGTAGCGGACGCGCTGGCCGCGCACGGCGTCGGTGTGATCCTGTCGCCTCTGCAGTCGTACGGCGACACATGGGGCGCGCGTCGGGCGCTGTCCGGCGCGCCCCTGACCAACGGAACCAACATTGACAGGCTGGTCGAGGCGGGCGTCACGGTGGGCATTGGTCTACGCGAGGACACGGAGGTCGTCTCGCTGGCGTTTGCGGCGGGGACGGCCATGCGGAACAGTAACGGGCGTATTGACGAGCGGGCCGCGTTTGATCTGGTGGGCCCGAATATCCTCGCCATGATGAACGTCGATGTGCAGGACGGTGAAGACTGGGTGGTCAGCGAGGGCAGTCCGCTGGAGATTGGGTCGCGGACGAGGGCGGTGGCCTCGGGCGGCAAGGTGGCCGTCTTTGTGTGAACAGTCACAATTATTGATGCTTATATTTTGCTGCTCACATTGAATTCCAACCCTTACACCCGTGTTGTCTGTCCCCTCGGCACGCGGTGGGATGAGGATGGAGATGCGCGCGGTTAACCCACACTGCGCGCGCCCGATGATCAATCGGACCATGCGGGGGCCCACAGCCTGACTGTATTTAAGCCTTGCTTGCCTCTGGATAGATGCAATCAAGTAAAAGGCAGCAAGCACACTGCCATGAGACTGTGGGCGTCCGCGAGCATCGTAGCTGGGATCTCTGCCTGGGCGCTGTCAAGACGCTTCCTCACCACCACCACCACCACCATCACCAAAATGCCGCTCGCCCCTGTGATTGCCCTCTCCCACGGAGGAGGTACGTCAAAGCTTCACGTCAGACACCAGTACATACTGACACTACAGGCCCCCTGCCTCTCCTGGGCGACCCAGACCACAAGACCATTGTCTACTCCCTCCAGCACCGCGTCCCCAAGATCCTCTCCCTCGCCACGTCACCCCCCAAGGCCATCATCCTCGTCACCGCCCACTGGTCCACCGCCGCACCCACCATCTCCGCCGGCGCCCGCCATGAACTCCTCTACGACTACGGCGGCTTCCCCAAGGAGGCCTACGAGGTCAAGTACCCAGCTCCCGGCCACCCCCAGGTCGCGCAGCAGATCGCCGCCGCGTTCGAAAGGGAGGGTCTCACAGGCGTCCAGCTGGACCCCACGCGGCCCTGGGACCACGGCGTCTTCGTCCCCATGAAGATCACCCGTCCCGAGGCGGACGTGCCCATTGTCCAGATCTCTGTCCTCCAGGACGAGGATCCAGCGCGTCATCTACGCATGGGCCGCGCCCTCCACGCGCTGCGCGCCGACAACATTGCCATTGTCGGCAGCGGCTTCGCGTCGTTCCACAATCTACGCACCATGATGGCCATGCGCGGCGGGCGGAGTGCGGAAAAGGAGCAGGTCATTGGCTATTCGCGGGCGTGGAACAAGGCGCTCACCGACGTCGTCACGGGGGAGCATGTCTGGCGCGGGCTCGAGGGGTGGCGCGCGCTGCCGTACGCGGACATGATGCACCCGCCGCGCGGGGGCGAGCATTTCATGCCGCTGATTGTGTGTGCGGGTGCCAAGGCGCCGGAGGAGAAGGCCAAGTGGTACGTGGATGAGTATCTGGGCGTGGATATTTACACGTACTACTGGGGCGGGGAAGAGATCGAGTAGGTCTATACATGTACTCATACAGTATATATAAACAAAAGACGAATTCAAGACGCGAACCAGCGCATCTTGACCCAGTAGACCACGAGGCCAATGGCCCAGAGCACCACCAAGACGAGCGCCTGCACGGGCGCAAAGGCCGCGCCCCTCACGATGACGAAGCCACTCACCAAGGCAAAGACCACGGGGATGATGAGCAGCGGCTTGTACGGCCTCGTGAGATCAGGCTCCCTCCAGCGCAGGATGATGGCCCCAAGCACAGTGAGGAAGAAGAATGTGTACTCCCCCAGGCCGTTGAACGTCAGGAGCGAGCGAAAGTCGCCAAAGAGGATGTACAGCGCCGACAGGGCCATGGACAGCAGCACGGCGTTCACCGGCGCGTCAAAGGCGGTGGAGGAGGACGACGGCGTATCGGGGCTGCTGCGGCGGTCCTTGGGCAGGCCAACCCGGCCGATGACGGTGAAGAGACGCGGGAACCAGCCCTTGTTGGCCGCCGCGACGGTCATGCGGCCCACGACGAGGGAGTTGCCGAGGATGGATCCTGCGACGACGAGGCAGATGAGCACCGCGGCGAGGATGCCGAAGCGGACGCCCAGGAGGCGACTGATGGCTGTCTATGTTGTGTTAGATGACAGGACAATGTGATCAAGAGAGGGGCAAACGCACCACCGCCACGCTGTCGCTCGTCGAGACGACGTCCCAGGGCAGGAGGATGTAGTAGGCCGCGTTGGCGACGAAGAAGCACAGGACAATGGTCGGGATGGCCGTGTTGATGGTCAGGGGCAGCTGCCTGCTCGGGTCCTTGAGCTCGGAGGAGATGTAGATGGCCTTGTCCCAGCCCGAGTAGGCCCAGAGGGCGCCGTAGATGGCGGTCGAGCAGTGGCCGAGCATCTCCCAGGCGCCGACGTCCTGCCAGACGGTGCGGTGGCCGTCCGGGTGGACCGTGTCGCGGTACGCGAACCAGCTGCGGACGAACCAGTCGCGGCCGCCAATATCGGTGCGGCCGGGCTGGCTGGTCTGCAGGACGACGACGGCGAGGCCGGCGACAACAACAAGGAGGATGCTGGTGAACTTTGTGCCGAGGAAGAAGCGGCTGAGGTGGGTGCTGACGCGGGTGCTGATGGAGTTGGCGAGGCTCACGACGACGAGGACAAGAACGGAGAGGCCCTTGTGGGCCAGGGTGTCGGCGCGGTCCGTGACGCCGAGGGCCGAGTAGATGCTCTCGACAAAGACGATGCTGAGGATGGCAATGGTGGCGGGCATGACGGCCATGATCCAGGTCCACGCGGCCAGGAACCCGGCCAGGTCGCCGTAGATGTACTGCAGGTAGGGCTGGACGCCGCCCTCGCCGTGGATCGCGGTGCCCAGCTCGGCCAGGGTGTTGGCGCCCGCCCAGGCGAGGAGGCCGCCCGTGAGCCACATGACGAGCGCCATGCCCGGCGAGGGCACGTTGGTGTCGATGGCGCCGGGCGAGGTGAAGACGCCGCTGCCGATGACGATGCTGACGAGGATCCCGTAGGCGGCCGCGGCGCCAAAGGTTGGCGTGAACGTCTTGGACGGCGGGGCGGCGACGGACTCGCCATCCTGCGGTGCGTCGGCGAGCAGCGGCTGCCTGGATGGGTCTGGGTGCGGTGGCATAGTCTTGTGCAGCAGCTTGTGTGATGGCAATGAGGCGCGCCAACACCGTGTCGCTGCGTAGTGGTCAGGGCGATGGTGAAGTGAAGTGCAGTGAAGTGAGGGCAGAGTGAGGTGATGAATCTGGCGATACCGTGATTGGTCACCCACCTAATCGTAGATGACGCGAGTAGAGGCTGCACTATCGGAGGTACATCATCTGCGGCTCTGATTGCAGGGTTTGTTGTGTACCTGTGCTAAGGCTACTACTGCGTGCAAGGCATACATGTGATATATCGCAATGATTGCTTATATTCCTCAAGTCCTACATACTTGTGCTAGCATGAAAAGCCAAAACTCGGAAAATGTTCCTCACATGAGGGTTTAGGGAAGTCATCCTAGGGTAGTCATCGCACTCGCCAGCCAGGCCCAAGTCCTGATTCCGGCGGACTTCTTCATCTTGAGCATTTCCAGTCATGAACACATCTACCGATCACCAACAAGCCGGATATCAAGAGTCTTCACACTAACCCAAACGCTGCATTAGCTCCCGAATATGATTCATAGTGCCAACACAACGCCAGACAGTCCACCGCGGCCAACGACCAACTCGCAGTCACATTGATCGCAGCTATTGCATGCCGCGTCAGACAGTCAATGGCATTCCATGCCCACCCAGATGCATCAAGCAATTCCGAGAAGCGGCTCTTCTCGCTCCCCAGTGTTATTTCTCGCGATCTGACCGATGCCCTGGGTCCAGGGCGGTCACGTTTCGACGCGTCGAGTCTTCGACCAGTGGCATACACGCGCAGAGGAATGCTGCGTGCCTGAGACATGCATCCCTCCATCCGACACGCATCCATCACGCTACACTCCTGCGCTTTGACTTTGAATCAGCGTATCCATATGAGCTTCGATTCAGCATGCTACCCTGTAGTCCAATTTGGCGAAGTCATGGCGACTGTCAAGCTACCTTGGAGGTGCTGTCAAGCTGTGAATGCTGTCTTGTCCTGGATCGAGATGTCGTATGCCGCAAATCTCGCTATTGAGTGAGCACATACTGGAGCAAGCATGACCGCCTGGTTCCATTTTGCGAACATTAATTCATGATGTATTCGACGCACCTACACGGCTTTCACATCAACATGTGTTATTAGCACTCTTCATGCTTACGGGACTTCTCTCGGCGCCTCATCTGTGTCTCGCTTGCCTGTCTCATCCCCTACAAGCAGATCACACAAAAGAAAAACATGTCTCAGATCCTCCAGGAGTACAGTCGGAGCGTGCCGCTCGCTGGGAAAGGCACGGCTTTCAGTAGTGATCGGAGCAGGGCTATTTTTCCTCTTGGGGCAGGGAGCTGGACATGGAAGTTGATCCTGTCGCCCTGGGCGTCTTTGCGTACGGCGATCTGAGAAATGAGAACTGAGCTCGAGCCGGCCTTACTCTGATGTCAATGTACGGCTGAGCGGTGTTCTAGCCGCCGTCCTCGTTGAAGAATGGGCTACTCTGTCCGTCCTAGTATAGCGCAGCCCGGATCGTGGGGACGGAGCCTCACCCGGAATCCAAGATTCGATCAACTCTTTACGCATATGCACGTTTCGCACCTTGATACCGTACGCGCGTATTGGGCACGCAGACAAAAATTGCGCACGCGAGGCCTTGCGGCATTCGATGCTTAGCTGGCTCAGGCACCACAAGCCGCACCCGCCCCGTCCCAGATATGTCTTATTGCTACATTCTCCAAGCTGGCGGTCGACTCTACAGACCGCATTCCCGCTCGCGCCTGCTATTGACAATTCCCTTGCCGGCCATTGCGCGAGAACACCCTTGAGGGCATCCCGTGGCTATAAGATGGCCAGCCTGACCGACCCAGGGAAGAGGTTCCGTTCGTCTCCATCTGCAGCGCCAACACCTCAGAGCACTTTGCTTCGTCCATTCCCTCGTTCAGAACAGACAGACCCGTCGCATCATCACCCACTCTCTTTCACTCTTTTATACCACCCACCTAACCTCAACAGCCTTCAAGATGAAGTACGCCTTTGTGTCCGCCCTCCTGGCCGGTCTGGCCCAGACCACCCTCGCCCAGACTGCGTGCCTGGACAGCTGCCAGGTCGCCGACAATGCCTGCCGCACGGCTCCCAACGCCAACCTGTCCACCTGCGCCTCCAACCTGGCCGCTTGTCGGGAGAAGTGCCCTGCCGCCTCGCCCATGTCCTCTTCCTCGACGCACGCCCCCGTCGCCACCCACACGCCCGCTGTCGTCGTCGAGAAGGTCGTCGTCTGCCACGTGTGCGAGGAGGAGGCGGCCCAGAAGCACGCGCAGTGCAAGGCCGAGTGCCAGATGAAGGAGAACGCGTGCTGCACCGCCCCCGGCGCCAAACAGTCCACGTGCTCCTCCGACTACGCCGGCTGCGAGGCCAAGTGCCCTCCTCCCACTGCTGTGCCTCAGCACGGTGACGAGTGCGAGATCAAGTGCATGGACGTTGACAACAAGTGCCGCACCACACCCGACGCCAACCTGTCCACCTGCGCCTCGGACCTCGCGCGTTGCAAGGCGTCTTGCCCCCAGCAGCGCAACAAATATACGCCACCGCCTCCCGGCCCCCACCACGGTGACTGCCCCGAGTGTGACGACGACAAGGAGCAGTGCCACGTCCAGTGCAAGGCCCTTGACAACGAGTGCCGTACCAAGCCTGGTGCCAACCTGTCCACCTGTGCTTCTGAGCTTGCCGGCTGCGAGGCCAAGTGCCCCCCTATTCACCACGGCGAGGAGTGCGAAGCCAAGTGCCAGACCATCGACAACGAGTGCCGCACCAAGCCTGGTGCCAACCTCTCTACTTGTGCCTCCGAGCTTGATGGCTGCAAGGCCAAGTGCCCTGCTGTGCCTCCTTACCACGGCGACGAGTGCGCGGTCAAGTGCCAGACCGTCGACAACGAGTGCCGCACCAAGCCTGGCGCCAACCTGTCCACCTGCGCCTCCGACTTCGATGGGTGCAAGGCCAAGTGCCCTGCTACTCCTCCTCACAACGGCGACGAGTGCGATGCGCAGTGCCAGGCTGCCGACAACAAGTGCCGCACCGCCCCTGGCGCCAACCTGTCCACCTGCGCCTCTGATCTCTCTGCTTGCAAGTCCAAGTGCCCCGTCCGCACCATGACCGCCATGCCTCACCCCGTGCCCACCAACAGCAAGGTCGTCGTGGACGACGACAACAAGAACAACAACAAGGGCCTGCAGTGCACTGTCGAGTGCGATACCGTCTACACCGAGTGCTGCGCTCTGCCCGGTGCCGACATTGTGGCCTGCGGCGAGGACAAGCGGGTCTGCTACGAGCGCTGCCCTGCTGATGGCCACAAGAATGGCACCATCCTCACGGCTGGGAGCGAGCGCATGCAGCCCGCCTTCATGGCTGTCGCTGCTCTTGGTTTCGCAGCCCTCTTCTAAGAAGATGGTGTAATGTGCTGCTCCAGCCGCAGTGCAAGCTGCTTCGCCCGATTCGTTTGTGTGTCGGGGTTGAGTCAGGGGAATTACGATTGGGAAAAGTAGATGGTATCCGTAGCATGAAATGAAGATACAGTCTGCAAGCGCTGTCTGGTCCGTCGTCCGCTGATGTATGTGGTGGCTCAATGTGCCCCAGAAGACAACGCCAGTCTTTTCTTCAAAAAGACGGTGTCGGAGATTGTCGAGCTTATGAAAACCTACTACTCGCTGCCGGGACGTCTCAGTTCTGATTGCAACTCGTGATAGCACAGATAGGTCCCATGTCTGGCCACTTACTGCGCGACCTGGCCTTACTTCATCACCGACCAGGAGCCAACGCAACGCTATGCAGGCGTATGCAGCTATCATAGGTCGCGTCGTGGATACGGTCCACCGAGGGTAGCGTTGCATTCGTGCAGATCATCATGGTGCCGTGCTGACCGGTGAAAAGCAACGAAGAAAGCAATAAAGAAACACAACGAGCGCCATCTACAATGATCCTCACGCATGATCACATTCCTGCGCGGCCCTCATGTTCGCCAGACTCATCCCCCTCGTCGCACTGCTCGTCGTAGCCGTCGCGTACCTCTTCTCAGCCCAGCAGGATGAGCCACGCCCTCCCTACATCCAGGGCCGTAACAGGACGGCTCTCTTCCTCGCCAACGAGGAGCATGGACTCGCCAACGTCTTCATCGCCACGGCCTTTGCCATGCTCGAGAACCACCCGGACATCCAGGTCCACTACGCCTCCTGGGACAGCGCGCGGCAACGGGTGCACCGCGCAGCGTCCTTTGCTCGGGAAGCCAACCCAGCCGCCCAAAACATCATCTTCCACACGCTCACGTCCATGAGCTACCGCGACGCCGTCGAGGCGCAGGGCAAGAACTTTACCAACATCATCCACGCGCCCGCCAGCGCCGGCATCGCCCACATCAGCAGGGACATTCAGACCTACCTCTGCCCTTGGGAGCCCGCGCAGCATCTCGAGCTGTACGACGAGGTCGGCGCCCTCCTCGACGCCGTGGACCCGGCCGTCGTCGTCGTCGACAGCATCTTCCGGCCCGCCATTGACGCCACGCGCGACAGGCATCGCCAGCACGCCATCCTGACGCCCAACACGCACGTCGACAACTTCCCGGCCATCCAGCCGTACGGAGGCATGTTTTGGAAGTACCCAGCGTGAGTCGTCGTCGTCCTCCTAGATAGATGTACATAAAAGTCTCGCAGTATCTGACCCCCTCAACCCAGCATGTCATCCGGGTTCTCGTTCCCGATCCCCTGGCACCAGATCCCCGAGAACATATACCTCAACGCCCGCTTCATCTACAGCATCATGGCCGGCTCCTTCATCCGGCGCAAGCAGGCCGTGCTCCGCCAGCACGGCCTCCAGGATCCTATTGACTTTATGCACCTGCACAGGCCCGACGTCCCCTGGATCACCATGCACACCGAGGGCGCCGCCATCCCCGTCGACGTCGTCCCCGCCAACGTCACCTCCGCCGGGCCCATCCTCGTGCACTCGGCGACGGCCGCGCAGCAGGACCCGGAGCTCGTGGCCTGGATGCAGAGGGCGCCGACGGTGTTGATCAACCTCGGCAGCTCCGTGCAGTACGACGACCAACGCGCGCGCGCCTTTGCCCAGGCCATTGCCGACGTGCTCGCGCGCTCCGACGTCCAGGTCCTCTGGAAGTTCAGGACCTGGGGCGCCATGTCGGACGATTACCTCGACGCGCTGGCGCCGCATGTGCTGGGCGATCGCGTACGCCTGCCCACCTGGCTGGCCGCGGATCCGTATGCGCTGCTCGCGTCCGGGCACGTCTCTGTGTTTGTGCACCACGGCGGATCGGGCTGCTATCACGAGGGTATCTCGTAGGTTTTCTCGCTCCGTCTTACCTTCAACTGATCAGACTGCCTGACTGACTGGCCTTGTAGTTCCGGCGTACCACAGCTTGTCCTGCCCCTGTGGGCTGATCTGTACAGCTTCGCTGCTCTGGCAGAGACGCTGGGCGTAGGGAGCTGGGGCTGCCGACAGACGAGTCCCGAGTGGACGTCGGAATGTCTGAGCGAGAGCCTGCTCAGGGTCATTGCGAATGAGAAGATGCGTGAGAAGGCGTCCGCGCTGGGCGAGAAGGTCAGGGCGCGGGGCAATGGTCGGGATATAGCTGCAAAGGAGATTGCCAAGCTGGCGTATGTACAGTGATGGGCAATCAACCCGTACGAGACGGATCGTCACCGTCAAAGACGTGCCCCAGACAGAAGGCCTTTGATTGATCCCAGACTCACCGCACACAAGTTCCCGACACCAGTGACCAACCGCCGTCCTGCCCAGCCGCTAGGCAGGCCATACGACCTCTTGGCCAACAGTCTGTCGCTTGTCGGAGATTAATAGGCTTCAGACACCGTCCCAACCAATCAACATGAACGCTGGTCACACGGAGCACGTGGTAAGAGTCATGTGAACGTAGTATCAAAAAAGTCGTAAGTGCAGCTACCCAAAAAGCTACGTATCCCCTACGAATAGCCATGCTCAGCTATCTAACTCCCCCAAAGAACAGTGTCCAACAAGAGTAAAAAGCGAACCGGGAAAACAGTCGCTTGTCATCTAACACGTAGCATCTACCCATGAGTGAATTGTCCGTCCGTCTGCTGTCTCAGGCCCAGCGCTTCAAGCGACAGGACCCTATTAAGGGCCCGGAAAAGGTGCGCGTATGTAAAAGAAAGCCCCGTAAGCGAGCCCATGCTGGTTTGTCATGCTACATATATCCTGTCGTAACTATGATGGAAAATGTGTACAGCCAGAAGAGAAGGCAAGAACCAAAAAAAGCAAGCACCCGCCGTCTTTCGCTTAGAAGAGCTGGGCAGCGGCGACGGCAGCGGCACCGGCAAAGGCGACGCGGCCAAAGTTGGCGAGGACGCCGGCAGCAGCGCCATCCGAGTCGGGGATGGTGCTGGGCTCAGCAGCGCCGGTGGTGGTGGCCTCTTCCGACCCGTCGGCGGTGGTCTCCTCAGCGGTCTCGGTGGTGCTGTGTGTGGCCTCCTCGGTGGGCGTGGGGGTAGCGCTCACGGTGGTCATGGTGGTGACAGAGACGGGGGTGGAGGATGCCTCAGCGGTGGACTCAGCGGAGGAGGAGGCCTCCTCGGAGGTGGAGGTCTTGACAGCGGTCTTGGTCTTGGACTTGGTCGCCGACGTGGTGGTCTCCTCGTCATCCTCGGAGTCGTCCTGCTCGTCCTTGGAATCGTCAGAGGACCCGTCGCCCTTGACCACCTTGATCGACTCCCAGGAGCCAGAGTGGTCGGTCCAGACGTACTCCTTGATGTCGTCGGTGCAGGGGGCATCACCGCCAGCGTAGTCGACAATGGAGATGGACTTGTAGTAGGCGTTGAAGGGGGCCTTGTCGAAGTCGGTGTAACCACCCGCCCACTCGACGGTACCCTTGGCACTGTTCTTGCCGCCGGCGACCCAGGTGCCGATCTTGATCTCCATGGGGGTCTGGGGGTAGCGCGAGCCGCCCTTGGCCTCCTCGTAGGTCAGGGTGCGGACGACCGCACCGTCAATCTCCCAGTTGATGCGGTCCTTGGTCCAGTCGATCGAGTACGTGTGGGCAGTGGTCAGGGGGCTGGAGACGGGGTGGTAGGCGCCACGGTCGTAGGTTGTGGTATCGCCCTTGCCAAAGTAGTTGGTTTGGACCTGCTCATTGTCACCGCCAACCCACTCCCAGTCAATCTCGTCGAGGTCAGCCGACTCGAAGACGAGCGAGGTGACAATGCCCTGTCCAGCGGCGGCGATGAGCTCGACGTCGACGCGGCCAAAGAAGATGCGCTTGTGGGTGGCCATGGTGGGCGCGTTGGACTCCTTCTCGATTGTGAAGAGGGCACCCTTGCCGTCGTAGGAGACGGTGGTTCCTGGGAGCTCCTCAAAGGCCTTGCAGTCGCCCTTGGTCCAGTCGCAGCTCACGCCATTCTTGCCAAAGGCAGCATCAGGGCTGCATTCTGCGTCTGTTAGTGTTTGGTTCGCTTGAGTGGCATAGCTGGAGGAAGAACGTACCCTTCTCGAGGGGGTCGCAGTCAGTGAAGGTCTGGGCCGAGACCATGCGGGTGGCAGCGAGGGCCACGATGGCCGAGGTAAGAGCCTTGCTGAACATGGTTGCTTTGTGTGATGGATGGAGGTCTGGTGTACGAGATGAGACGACTTGTTTGTTGCTGAAGTCGTTGAGATGATGAGGCGCAAATAGGACAGCAATGTAAGTTACGTTGTTGATAGGCAAGCTGGCACGGAAGCGAGAGAGTGCGTAGCTGCTGTTAGCGAGAGACTGGAAGAAGTTGCAAAGGAGCAAAGGAAAAAAGAAGCAAGCGAACTCTGGAGTGCTCAAGAGCGAGATGGTATTATAGCCAGACACGAACGTGGAGAAGGATCAACGGGAGAAGAGAGCGAGACAAGGGGGAGGACGCCGTCATGTTTTATTATGGCCCGCGTGCAGCAGAGTCAGAGCATGTCCGTCCGTGTCTCACTCAAGGCCAGGCGGTGCCAATCTCAGGCCGATATGGAAGGGGCCCACATCCCTTCAAGGGGCCAGACCCCTGCTCTCGTACCTGAACAGTTGCTGCTTCTGATCATTTGCCGTCTTTCCCGCGCGGTGATTGGTTCTGGGCGACTCGTCCTACGCCTAGACGCCAAGCCGCCCAAGCCCCCCTGCAGGGAGACGCTGAGCGAGGTGCCACTCTTGGCACGTCAGCCCAGCCCCCAGCGCCCCCGTCCGTTCGTTACGGTGCGTGCATGTATTCATGGCGTGCACTTCAGAGACAGACGACAAAAGGCGCATATTTGCGTTCAGCTCCTTGTCCTCTCAACGGCTTTGTGCGTCTACCAGTCTTCACTCATGTTGACGGGAGCTGCTACGGAGCAAAGTCGGAAAATGCCAAAGCCCTGATGCCGCGAGCCGCACGGAGTGATGATGCCTGGGAGCCGGGCCATTCTGAATTTCTGGAGAAAAGCGGCGGGGCAGTGAGTGGACACTGCGGAACAGTGACCATTGCAGGTGACGACCCCTGGCACGGGGTTTCGAGTACCTCACGAAGTAACGAGCCTTGCTGCTTGCGCGCTCGTTCACGGCTGCGTCTGAGGGACAAACGCGATTTGCAACATGCCCTCTTGCGGGAAGGCTCGCCATGAGTGAATGAATCTGCTCTCCGCGATGGCTCCCTCCGATTGTATTATTGTCATGTCGTCAACACTCGAGGAGGATTGCGCGTCAAGACCACCGTTATCTGGCGCCAGTCGCTGTTCCGCACCCGCTAGACCGCGAGCAGCTAGAGCGGTTGTCGCCTAGTGCCAAGGACGGACACCTCTCGGTTCCACCGGCCACCGAGCACAGTCGACACCTTTCACATCTTGCCTTTTTGGGCATGTCCCTCGACCTCCCAGGGAGGCAGCTGCTCTGTCTGTCCAGCAGGACACAGCCACCACCACTGCTCGATGCAGATCCCATCGTCCACTAATCCATTTCTACATCTATTACTCCGTATACGAGACGATCTCTCAAGGCTGCCCATAACGCCGCACCGTCACGACAATCCATCAACTACCATGTCCGCACGACGTTGGCCAAGATGCGAATGTGACTGGCGTCTCTGGGCGCGCTCGTATCCCGTGGGGCGCTGGAAATGACTCCCGCGTCGCTTGCTGGCCTTCATCTCACTCTGCAGTCAAATGCCAACGGTAACGGGCTGCCGACTGACGGTGTTCGTCAGTCCATCGTAGGATTATCTGCGCTGTGTTCAACATCCGTCATGGACGGCGCCAGTGTCCAGAGTCCAGGCAGGGCCTGCCGCCTGAGGAGGACTGGAGGCCCTTCCAGCCCTACGACCTGCAGCGCAGTATCGATGCTCAGCCTCCGGCCTTGCCTATTAACTAGCAGATGCACATATGCAGCGTTGTCTGCAATGTCTGGTGATCAGTCGCACACAGACCCGGCACCTTCGTCCCATGTGCCAATTCTTTCAGTCCCGTCATGAGATCATAGTCGTCGACCACGGCGGATACTATTGTATCCGGACGCCGAGCGAGAGCTCTCGCCAAGCGTCCCCCACCTCGTGTGCGCGCTCGCTTCGGGCTCCAGGTGTGCTATCCTATTTTTAACCCACCCGCATTCCCATGGCCAAACACGACAGAATTTCTGTTGTTGTTCCCGCTCATGGCAAAACGGAGAATGCGCCTCGTGTCGACTCTGCCCCTCCAGATCCAGATCCAGATGACGACACAAGCCACCCACTGGAATGCGGGAGCAGCTCGACAACGCGAAGCACCGGTTGTTGCCGGGGCAGATCGCCTGCCATTCAGCTCGCTAGTCTAGTCAGTTTCGGTCAGACAGTCACCACTGACTGCGATGCCTGTCACCACTCACGCCGCTAGACGAGGCTGCTTGGCTTGGCTTTCATGCTACGTATGACACACGACGTGCCGAGGAACCCAGGACACTGGTCGAAGTTAAAAAGAAAACTACGGTAACACACGGACGCACGGGCAGCTGCTGGCGGCAACGGACGGGCCAACAGGCGAAGGCTCGTCCAATTCATTCTTTTGTTGATCAAACGGAATTGGGCTTTTCTCTCGCTCCCCCTTTTCTCTCTTCAACCTGCCCTGCTCGGCCACTTCCGCATCTGTGCGTCTGATACACACCTGCATCAGATTCACCAGCCGCCCCTGGGCCCTGCACACGTCGCCTCGAGGATCAAGCTGGCTCCCGCACATCTCGCACGGCATGATACCAGCAGACGCACCTTGTGCCTGGAAAATAGGGCTTCTGTAACAAATGTGACCCTCGGTTTGGGTTTCTTCTTCCCACGTTTGCCCGCATGCGCCGCGCTATTGCTGTTCGCTTGGAATGGTGGTTTCATATAGGACAGTGTCTGAGACAAGTGTCTTTCAACACGTACACAGCGTCGCTTTCCAAAGGTTTCAGTATGTTTACCACGAGCTTATTAGCCTCTGCGTCAGATGCGGTTCCAGGGCCTGACTCTACCGTTTGAGCTTGACAAACCGTTCAGTGTCGCACTTGATGTTCCTGACAGCCAGAAGCCTGGCATAGTTAGCGCCGGACGCCATCTCTTACCGAAAGTCCTCCAATGCATCCATTTACGGTGCGTGTGACCAGTCGCGACCGGAGAGGAGAGGATAGCCGTGTGTCTCACTCATATGTATGCCACTGTTAGGCGACAGCTCATCACTTGTCGACTCTTCGTCAGCGCTACGTCCTTGCGGATCACATCAGAGCCCTCCCAGACCCAACCAGCCATCAAAGTGCGGCACTACGACACCATACTCCGTGAATGCATTAACTCCCTTTTGAAAGCCACTGTTGCTCTGTCTATGATGTAGGGTAGGCTCGTGTGGTGAGACGGCACGATACCCAGTTGCCTACCCTGCACTATTTCTCCCGCTCTGCTCCCGCCGTCAGCCAGCTGCCAGACTCAGCCTGCATCACCCGCAGCAGCACCCGCATAACTTCGTCGATCATGGACTGATCTACCAAACGTTCTAGACCAGGATGAGAAGCGCAATGAGGGGGGCCCTCAATGCCTTGGCTGAAATTTCTCCTCACGAGGCCGTCTCCAGGACCAATGAGTCTGTAAAAGGCTTCTCGAGGAGCATATTCAACGCGGCTAGTTGTGTGTCAATTGGGCGGTGCTCCAGCTCGGTTGCCATCCTGGCAGTTCTTGAGATATTAGCTGTTTTCCGTCTGTCCATCCAGGGACGATTCCGGACAGGGCACTTTTGGGAGAAAGTGTCGGTCTCTCACCAGACCCCTCCCTCGTGTACGCGGGCGGGCAGTACTGCAGCCATGTCCTCCCGATTGCGACCGCAGTCTCTCGTACTTCCTGACGCATCCACCATCAAAGCATCATATCCTGGGTCGACTCAAAAATATTATGTCGTCTGATGTAGCTGCCTTCCATGCAGCGCTGCTCTCGTCCACGCGACTCCTCGCGCTCTGCGGCGCCGGCCTGTCCGCGTCCTCTGGCCTGCCCACCTTTCGGGGTGCCGGTGGCCTCTGGCGCAACTACGAGGCCACGAGCTTGGCCACCATGCGCGCCTTCAACACGGATCCGGGTCTCGTCTGGCTCTTCTACGCGTACAGACGACACTTGGCGCTGCGAGCCGAGCCCAATGCGGGACACTTTGCGCTGGCGGAGCTGGCCAGGACGAAGCAGGATGAGTTCGTGTGCTTGACACAGAACGTGGACAGTGAGTGATATGAGGCGTCTCGTATACATACGCACATGGACGTATGTATATACGTACAGACGCAGGCAGAAACATGTAGATCTCCAAATTGGCTGACGAACCTCACACACACAAAGACCTATCACAACGAGCCAACCACCCGCTGGATCAACTACTACTCTTGCACGGCTCCCTGTTCGACATCAGGTGCTCCAATGCATCATGCAGTTTCACCCAGAAGGATAACATGGACGACCCCTTTTGCGAGGCACTCGCGCCGGCCGCTCAAGACTTTCCTCCCGGTGAGCCGAATCCGCTGCTGGACCCGTACCACCGCATCAAGCACGTGTCAGAGGAGGAGCTGCCCAAGTGTCCCCTGTGTAAGACGGGGCTACAGAGACCAGCGGTGGTGTGGTTCGGCGAAGATCTCGATTTTCGGACCCTGTCCAAGGCGGAAATGTTCCTCAAAGACGGAGTGGTATGCTTACCTTTTTTCTTCTTCTTCTCTTCTCTCTTCTTCTTGCTGAGGGGAGACATGTTCTGACAAGAGATCCCAGGACATGATCTTGGTCGTGGGTACGTCAGCACAGGTCTATCCCGCTGCGGGTTTCATCTCCAAGGCCAGACGGCGAGGGGCGCGCGTGGTGGTTGTCGACCCCAAAGCGCGAGAACACAACGAGACGTACGGCTTGCAGGAGGGTGATTTTGCGTTCGCTGGTGATGCTGCTACGCTTCTGCCCGAACTACTGGCGCCATTGATAGGGAAGACGAAGGGAGATGGGACGTTTGAGAGGTAGCTGAGCAGAACATGGCATTGTAATGTGTAATCTTCAGGAGCAGTGGGGCGGGGCGGGGGAAGGGGGAGATCAAAAAGGGGTGTTAGGTTCGTGGGTGCTGGACCCGTCCGGCGAAGAAACGTGGGTCGGCTAGTATTGGTATTCGAATCAAGCAGTTTTCTCCTTACGGAATCAGATCCAAAATTGGCTCCGACCGTTCAAAGCAGAGGACCGGACAGTGCCCAAGTTTGGCGACACATCCGGATGGACCTGGGGGATGATGGTGAGTACAATATCAGGGGGCCAGCACCGCCAGTCCTGCGAATGAGGTTTGAAAAAGTGGCAACGAAGTCAAACATTGTCGCCAAACAGTTTGGCTGAAACTAGACTATATGGCGAAGAACAAGATGAAGATGATGGATGGTGAAGAAGATCCGTCAGTCAGTCAGTTGACCAAAGATCCTCTGTTAGCTGAGAATCCCGCCTACCCTGCACCGACACCGCCATCGTGACTAAGCATCTGCTGCCACTCCTACACCAAGTGAAGATCCCACCAAAACTCCCCCTCGCGGGGCAGCGAAATTCTCAAAAGGCATTTGAGCATTGATCCAACCACGCGCCATGGGCAAATCCTCCAAAGACAAGCGCGACGCGTACTACCGGCTCGCCAAAGAGCAAGGGTGGCGCGCCCGAAGCGCCTTCAAGCTCCTGCAGCTGGACGAAGAATTCGACCTCTTCGCCAACGTCTCGCGCGTCGTCGACCTCTGCGCCGCCCCGGGCTCCTGGTCCCAAGTCCTGTCGCGCGTTCTGATCAAGGGCGAGACGTTTGGCCGGGCCGCATGGCAGGACCGCGAGGCCAAGTTCAGGCAGCAGATGCTCGGGGTTCTCCCTGCACAGACCGCCGAGCAGCAGCGAGCGCAGCTGGAGGCCGAATTGGCGCAGCAGGTCACCGAGTCGAAACCAAGAAAGGACGTCAAGATTGTCTCCATTGATCTGCAGCCCATCTCTCCGCTGGCTGGCATCACGACACTACGGGCGGACATTACCCATCCCGCCACCGTCCCGCTCCTGCTGTCCGCTCTTGACCCCGAGTACGATGCGGCGGCCCTCAATGGCAACAACCAGGCCTCCCAACCCGTCGACCTCGTCATCAGCGACGGCGCGCCTGACGTGACCGGCCTCCACGACCTCGACATCTACGTACAGTCCCAGTTGCTGTTCGCTGCGCTGAACCTCGCGCTCTGTGTCTTGAAGCCCGGCGGCAAGTTTGTCGCCAAAATCTTCCGCGGCCGCAACGTCGACGTCCTCTACGCGCAGCTCAAGATCTTCTTCGAGCGGGTCGTCGTGGCCAAGCCGAGGAGCAGTCGCGCCAGCAGCGTGGAGGCTTTCATTGTGTGCCTGAACTTTAGGCCACCGCCAGGCTTCCGCGCCAGCCTGAACGAGCCCCTCGGCGTCGGGGACAGGCTGGACCGCATGGTCGCGCAGCGGGCGATGCAGAAGCCCATCGTCGCGGACGTGCTCATGCAAGACCCAGCGAGGGCCTCCTGGAGCTCCCTGGAGCCGCCGGCCTTCTCCACCGCCGGCGACCAGGTACCCGAGTTGAAGGTGTACGACGAGACGGAGGATACATGGCAGGAACAGAAGCACGTCCGGTGGATTGCTCCCTTTGTCGCCTGTGGGGACTTGTCGGCGTTCGATTCGGACGCCTCCTACCAACTACCAGACGACTACGTCTCTCTAGACCCCGTCCAGCCACCCATTGCGCCTCCGTACAAACGCGCCATTGAGATGCGCGCGGCCGGTCTCTCGCGGTGAAGAATCCACGTACCAAAACAGCCAGTCCATAGCCCCCCTGATCAATGATCCTCAGGGAGGCCCTTTTCGGCGCGCCCCGCCATTTCCAACATTGTCAGCCCCGCCGACGGCCCCTTTTCGAAATCGACGGCCCCCAGCGTCTTCTTGTACATGTCGGCCGCGGGCTGGTCGTGGGTCATGAGCATCAGGCCCCGCAGATCCGGCCACTCATCTACCATCTCCTTGACGCTGCGCATCATCCACGAGGCGAGACCCCTGCGCTGAAAGTCGGGCAGAATGAAGACGTCGGTCAGGTACGCGAAGCTGACATAGTCGGTGACGAGGCGCGCGAAGCCAGCAAACTTCAAATCCTTGCCTGCTTTTCGTCGAGGGGGCCCGTGTTCTGGGGACATGGTTAGCTTATTTTTTTTTTGTTTTTTTGCGTGGTGGGCGGCGGCCGAGGCCGGACTTACTTTGCATGTCTTCTGCTGTTTCTGGCACCCACCAGATGCTGAGCGTCAAGCAGTTCTTGAGCATCTTGTCCATCTGTGCTGGCTCGATGGCCTCGTTCCACCACATGAGATCGGAGGCAAAGACCTTGTTCACATCGTCGGCTCGAAGATACGACTTGTCCGTCGTGACGAAGAAGTTGTCGCGGTACCAGAAGCGAGGCGCGCCCTCGGGCTGCGGTGCTGCTATCTTGCTGGCGCGGAGACCCATTGTGTCGTCGTCGTCCTGCTTCTTACGGGTTCATCGAGAGGAGAGAGGAAGAGGTGTCTCGCACGTCGACGTCACCCCACAAAGTCTGGTGAATGGGGAAGATGACTGGAGATCACCGGAGCTGGAGAGCCGCTGGCTATTGACTACTTGTGTCATGCTATCCGTCCATGTGCATTGGAACGCTCAGATCCTATTCTGCCAAGGACATGTTTAATAGTCGGCCTTTTTTACGTATGAAATAGTGGTTCTTTACGTAGTTTGGCGGCTAGCGGCGGCTCGTTGAGGCGTAGCGGGCGTTGGTAGCCTTGTTCCGCCTGTCGTCAGGCGGAGGAGGAGGAGGATGAGGAGGGGGAGGAGGGGCGGGCGCGCGCATGATCGACCTTGTCAATCATGTATCGGACGCCCTAGGGCGGACATGTCAGCTGGCGGATTGCGGGGTCGTTCATTGGATTGTCAGGGAAGACGGTTTTCGTTGTTTCATCTAGCGTCCCGAATGGAAGGCAAGGAAGGACAAGGGCAAAGGCAAAGTAGCTTTCGCACGCCGTTCCTCCTACGCTGCTACATCCGTCCTCTTCAATCTAATGTAACTGTACCAGATTTGGAACTTGAGATCCGGACACTTCTCGACAAACGCATCGATCATGTACTTTGTCAGTTCGTCCAGGAACGCATCACCGCCATCCCACTCTGGACCCCTACTCCCCTTCATCGCGTCCACCCAGAACCAGCCCGACGAGGAGACCATGTTCACCATGCAGTCGCTTGCGTACTTCCTCAATGCCTCGGGGCTCTTGTCCGACGCCTGGTACGTCTCGTACGCGGGGTGAACGATGAGCTTGGGTTCCACGTGCTCGACATGCCACAGGTCGGACACGGCGTCCAGCCCAGCCTTGACCTCCTCTACCGTGCGATCATGAGAGGGAAACAATACGGTCTGCATGAGCTCCGGCATAGTCAGCTTGCCCAGCGCAACCATCTTCATCAGCCCAGCCTGCATGGGCTGCACGCCCGGGTCCGACGGCTCGAGCGTGTCGCTCCCAGCCTCGGGCTTCTGGCCGCCAATGGCGGCGACGAAATAACCACCGGCCTTGATCTCACGGGCGCGCAGCCGCAGGAGCTTGACAAGGTCCGCTGCGCCCGCCCCGGCGACGGCGTCGTGGCGGGCGGTGGCAATGTCTTGGGGGGACATGGTCGCGTCCAGCTGTACGTTGAGTGGGAACTCGAGATAGTTGAGCGATGACCAGGAGAAGCCAATGTCAGCGAAGGCTGTGGGCATGACCTGGCGGTAGAAGCTGACGGGCACTATGTGCAGCGTGACGAGGACGTCCTTTGGAGCCTTTTCAGGCGAAAAGTGCTCGTCCACGGTTCTGTTCAAGCTGGCAAAGTCGTTGTACGGTGTGTCTTGAAAGACGAGATGAGCGGAGGCGCCCTGTGGCAGTGTCGAGATGGTCTTCTGCATCGGCTCGACTCTATCCAGGTCTTAGTAGTTTGTGCTCTGAAGACAAGGTCGTATCGAGACGTACGAATTGCTGCCTTGGGAGCACCCATAGTCGATGGCCGCCAGTTCCTGTTCTTGGCGATCTCAGGCTCATATGCGCAGGCAGGTCATGGAGTTGCTTCGCTTACTGTGGCTGAAATCGGGGATGAGGTTCAGCCCAGCCCTCATGGCTGCGTTCTGGATGAACGAGTACTGGTTGTATAGTTCATCGCGCATAGCGATGCGCGTCGGCGCAGGTTGGGTCGTCATTGCGGATGTTGGCGGTGGGTGTCAAGAACACGATGCTGGCAGGCACACTATAATACTTGAACGGCTAATTAGAAAATTCACGTGTACACCGTATCTTATTAGATGCTGTCAGACGACGACGCAGTCAGCATGGCTTTGTTGAGGTAACAAATGGACTGACCAAGCTGACTACTGAGGACCCCGCCCGGCTTTCGCTGGATGGATCGACTTCCCCTGTACTCCGTAAATGCTACCCTTATTATTACCCACATCAGGTTTCACAACACCATGCTCTTCTGTTGTCCCGATTGCGGGTATCAGACGCCTCGCGAACACTCCAAGTCAAGCCTCTGTGTGTCTAGCCCATCGTCATTCCGTTTATCGTCCCTGGGTCTGGGTCTGGGTCTGGGTCTTCTTTGCGTACTATTTATAGGCTGTAAGAGTGCTCTGCCGCCATCCGTGACCCTGATCGACATGCGTATGCCTACACGCGACCGCGTAGGATTCAGGATGCGTGCACAGACGGCGGGGTTGGTAAGCACCCATGGGGCTCGATCGTCAGGAGATCCATCTGCAGAGACACTTTGAAGAACCGCTCGCGCGTGCTGATACGTCTCGCTGCGGAACACTGCCCTTTGATGTGGTGACAAGCATCACGAGCGTGTGGCTGGCCTGACTGTCCACCGCCGTAGCATCCTGGCATCATGACGGGCGCACCACGACAGAGTCTCTTCCCATCCGCAGCTCGTTGCGAGATATATGTCATGGCATGGCGACATGCTACGTCTCTCTCGTCCGAAACACAACCCCTGCCAAGGACTCAATTAGATACCCCAGGATTGGAACCCAGTCGTCAATAGGTTAACAATATTATGGCGTCTTTCCAGGTACGCGCAGACGTATTCAAGTTTGCTCCCAGGACATGCGAATGAACATCGCCAATGACGCGTGGGGGGCCGGCGGTAGACGTCTTCGCTCCCATATGCACTTCAGACTCATTCCGCAGTCCGCAGGAATTTGGGTACATGTATGTATGAACACTGCAAGCCACGGCTTTACTATTATCTTCCCCGGGAGACGGACGCCGTTAGGATACGTACCTGAACCACGGGCTCCGGCGCCGATCACGCCCGCTACCCTCCGTCGCTAGACGCAACAGTGACAGCCATCTATCTCCCCAGACCCTGAAAATGGACTGGTAGATGGTGGCAAAGGATTGGAGAGCCAGCAATGTCGACAATCGTCACGGTGCTCCTCATGACTGCATATCGAGCATCCCAAAGTCTGATACTGTCGATCCTAGACCAGGAGTTGGACAGGTTCATATACGTAGCGCTCCCAGGCGATTGGCATCTTGGCCTCCGCCTTCTTTCTGTTCACGCCGCGGCTCGCAATGCTCGTTGTCAGTCCATAGACTTCTAGCTTGTATTCATTCTTACTGAAATCATCGGCCACTTTCAAACGTCCGTGGCCACAATGGGTGCCCTCGAAGCAGAAAAGCACAGCCCGGTGCGGCTGGACACCAGCAGCAACAACAACAGCAACAGCTTATATGACCGATCCAGCACAGAGCCAGATGCCTTCAACGGAGAGTTTGTGGAGGGCGAGGGCCGCCAAGCCGTGCAGAGTGACCTAGTCGTCACGGAAGACGACTTGCTCGAGGCCAAGGACTTGGCATCGACCTTCTCGCTAGACGAGGTGCGCGAGGTAAGACGGTCCGGGACATATCATCCTCCCAGTCCACTGTCACTCACTCACGACACAGCTCATGCTCAACGTGCACAAACTGCACAAGCGTGATCCCAACTTCCCAACCTCAGTCCTCGACAAGATTGAAGACTTCCTCGGGAACGATGAGGTCTTTGCCAACCCCGACAAGTACGAAGCGCTCATCAGCGAGATCAAGGTGGAGGCGGCCCTCATCACCAACAACTCGCCGTACGCCGAAGTACGCTCCGTCGTGCCAAACCATGACGACCCAGGCATGCCCGTCTCGACCATCCGCGCCTGGGTCATTGGCATCTTCTTCTCGGCCTGCATCGCCTTCATCAATGGCTTCTTTGAGATCCGACAGCCTGCTATCACTGTCACGTCCAACGTGCCGCAGCTGCTGGCGTATCCTCTCGGCAAACTCCTGGAGAAGATCCTGCCTGACGTGGGCTTTACTCTCTTTGGCGTCCGGCATAGCCTGAACCCGGGCCCCTTTAACCGCAAGGAGCACATGCTGGTCACCCTCATGGCCAGCATCGCCAAGAACAGCCCTTATACCAACCACATTGTCTGGACGCAGTACCTCTACTTTGGTCAGAAATGGGCCTTGAGCTTCCCCTACCAGCTGCTCATCGCGCTGAGCACCAATTTCATCGGGTACGGCCTGGCCGGTCTCTGCCGCCGGTTCCTGGTCTACCCGTCGTTCTGTGTCTGGCCCTCGTCGCTGGTCACCATTGCGCTCAACACGGCCTTCCATGGCGAGGGCAACCCCGGGGCCTTGGGCCCCTTTGGCAGGATCTGGCGAGCGTCGCGCATCAAGTTCTTCGCCATCGCCTTCGCCCTCATGTTCGCCTACTTCTGGCTCCCCAACGTTCTCTTCAGCGCGCTCAGCATCTTCAGCTGGATGACCTGGATCGCACCCAACAACGTCGACCTCAACATTATCACCGGCAGCCAGCAAGGTCTGGGCTTGAACCCCTTCCCCACGTTTGACTGGAATCGCTTCGTCTTTTGGGTCGACCCCTTGATGGTCCCCTTCTTCACCACCCTGAACATGTTCATCGGCGCGTTTGTCTCCTTTTTCATCATCCTCGCCCTGTACTACGGCAACGCCTTCAACATGGCCTTTCTCCCCATCAACGTCAACCTGCCGTATGACAACACAGGCATGCCCTACAACGTCACCCGCATCCTCGACGCCAGGGGCATCATTGACGAGGAAGCCTACCAGGCCTACTCCATCCCCCACATCACCGCCGGCAGCATGATGACCTACCTCGCCTTCTTCGCCGTCTACAGCGCGACAGTCGTCTACGGCATCCTTTACCACCGCCACGAGATGGCCATGGGCTTCAAAGACCTCTACAACAGCTTCCTCCCCTCTAAGAAGGGCATCGTCGAAAAGGGCCGCGTGCTCGACGTGCACAACCGCCTGATGAAATCCTACCGGGAGGTGCCCGAGTGGTGGTACCTCATCGTCCTGCTCCTCTCCACCGTCTTCGGCTGCGTGGCCATCGGCTGCTGGCCGACCAACACCTCCGTCGGCACCGTCTTCTTCGGCATCGCGCTGGCCCTCATCTTTGTCGTGCCCATTGGCATCATCTACGCCATGACCGGCGTCGAGGTCTCCCTCAACGTCCTCGCCGAGTTTATCGGCGGCTCGTGGGTCGAGGGCAACGCCCTCGCCATGTGTTTCTTCAAGGCGTACGGCTACATCACCTGCAGCCACGCCCTCCACTTCTCCAACGACCTCAAGCTCGCGCACTACCTCAAGATCCCGCCGCGCATGACCTTTTGCGCGCAGATCGTCCCCACCCTCGTCTCGACCTTTGTCTGCGTCGCCATCCTGCAGTACCAGATCCACCTGCCCAACATCTGCACCCCCGACGCCCCCTTCCGCTTCACCTGCCCCAGCGTCAACTCCTTCTTCACCTCCGCCGTCCTCTGGGGCACCGTCGGTCCCAAGAAGCTCTGGGGCGTCGGCGGTCTGTATAGCCCTACCCTCGTCGGCTTCCCCTTTGGCGCCGCCCTCGTCGTCGTCTGCTACCTCCTCGCGCGCAGGTGGCCCAAGAACAACTCCCTGCGCACGATCCATCCCGTCCTCCTCACCTACGGCGGCATCCTCTGGGCTCCCTACAACTTGACATATATCTGGCCCGCCGTACCGGTCGCCGCCTTCTCGTGGCTCTATATCAAGGGCCGCTACCTGTCTCTGTGGTCCAAGGTATGTTGCCCTCACCCCACTCCACTTTCCAAGATGCAGATGCTGATCATTTGGTAGTACAACTTTGTTCTCTCCGCCGCCTTCTCAGCTGGCATCGCCATCAGCGCCCTCATCCAGTTCTTCAGTATTTCCTTCAGCGACGTGGCCATTGTCTGGTGGGGCAATACAGTGATTGCCCAAGGATGCGAGGCCGAACCGGGCTTGTGTCGACACAAGACGGCGTTGCCGGAAAAGGGGTACTTTGGGGCGGACCCGGGCACCTTTAGCTAGGCGGCTGACTGTTTTCCTTTTCACGATAATGATCTCTTTCAAATAGCGAGCGATAGGATTGTTTTGAGATACCACAATACGATGTTCATGATATATAGCATCTCCCCAAGGAGCCTCGATATCTGGGCAGGCTACTGCCCAGCGCTCCTGGGCTCTCTCACCCTAGACGTAAATGTTTTCAGGAGCAATCATGTACACCTAAAGAACCTCTCACCCAGGCACATCAATCTTAAATGTGCCAGAGGTACTTTGGGCATTTTCAGCAATGTCACAACGCTACACGTAGAGCACAGGCAAAGCGGGGTCAAGTATTAAAATTCAATGGTATCCCTAAACACTAATAAAAGCTGTCTGGCACAGCTCAGACACCACAGATCCTGCAGTGACAACATGGTAAGAAACAACAGAAGTAGGAAAACAATGGACAAAAGCAACAACTTTTCTTTCAATCCCGATGGACCATTCTTTTCTCCTTTTGTTTTTTTCACTTGGACAAAGCAATGTTCTTCCAGTGGTCACGCTCCTGCTCAAGCTTGGCAATCTGCGCCTCAAGCTCGTCCAGTCGCTGCGCCTTGCGTTCCCTTGACTTGCGGGCAGCAAGCGTGTTTCGCGCACGCTTCATTGCAGTTGTGTCATTGGGATCATCAATGATGATAGGGGGCAGGGGCTTATCTCGCTTGCGCGAGTTGACGCCCGAGACAGACGAGTGACGAGTGGACGAAGGCGGGGACTGATCCGACTTCCGCCGGGTGCCAGTCAGAGGACGCTCAGACGAGCTGAGGTCATCCGACTGCTGAGCAGGAGAGTTGTCAACGCTAGCCGGCTGCTGCTGAGACTGCTGTTGCAGCTGCGGTTGCGCGTCGGCCAGAGGGGCCTCCGTGGGGAACAAGGAGTACCAAGCATCGGCGGGAGGACCATCGAAATCCGCGCTGCCAAAGTGAGGCGATACATCGTACGGGTCAAAATCGGGAGACTCGTTGATGGATGGCGACGTCAGCGCTGTCAGAGCTGACGAGTTGGGAGCGGACATGAAGGGCTCGTTGACGAGAAGGTCATGGGGAGAGACGGTACCCAAGTTCGAGGCGGAGCTGGAAACGCTGCCAGAGAAATCGAACGAGGTGCGCATCGCCGGTGAGGAGAAGGCCGTGTGGCCTTCGCCCTCGAACGGGACGTACTCGCCCAAATCGACGTCTGATATGTGTGAGCTCATGTTCCCCGGCGATTCTGGGCTGGAAGACAAACCTGCTGCGTTCATCATCTTGGCAGTTGGGACGCTACCAGTGCTCTGATGGAAAAGTGGCACGGGGGGTCTGTTGGGTCGAGATGAGTGATTCAGCGTGGCGGGAGACGAGGGTGCGGAAGACGCGAAGAATTGTTGTTGACCGGAGCGATTTACGTTGGGGGAAGTAGACGATTGCTTTCCTGAAGCCTTAATAATCTGAGAGACTCGGCGTTGGCTGTAAAGGTTGGTAGATCGGCTAGGGCCTTGACGCGGTTGCGGGCTGTCGAACAAGACAAAGTCCTGTTGTGGTTCTTGTTGCGACTGGTGCTCGGTTGGGTCCGGCGGGTTGGAAGATGGTTGGGGAAGCCATGATGACTGAGGATCCGTGGTGAAGACTGGAAAGTCTAAGCCTGAAATGGTGGCGGTGATGAGGGAACTGTTGCGCGAAGCTTGCGATGCCGTAGTCCTATAGTTCAAATCGACCGAATGGTGATTTGGGGAGCATGGAGTGGGGATGTTTGTATTGGATATCTTTGAAGACGGAATAGTGGCGGTTGGGAGGGGAATGATTTATCGCATCTTGAAGGTCGCCTGTGGCACTGGTAATATCTTGAAGTCTGTGGTGATAATGTTTTGGGTTGGAGAAAAAGTCGGAAGAAAGGAGAGGCGAAACGGTGCTGGTGGGAGGGCATTTGGATTTTTAAGCCAGATTTCCGAGGCAGCGGTGCTCTTTGCGCGCCCTTGCCCTGTCGGCGAGGCCTGCAGGGCGGCATGTGCCTGCCATCTGCTGGGCTGCAGTTTGTACTACAAAGGTGTTAGGGACGACTTGTCAATCCTCTGCGCCCTTTGGATCAAGCCCCGGCCGACCGTGTGAGTCACACCCTGCCGCCCCGCACCAATGCAGGCCCTGCAGCTTGTGATTGGTCAGTGCGTGTATTGAGATTCCCAGACATGGGAAGCCTGGGGATGTGCCTCGCATTCTAAGATTCCGACTTGTTGAAGCCATCGTCGATTGGCTACGCCCACTTTTGTTTGGTGTCGCTGATTGCATAAGCAGCATCATCCGCCACGAGCTGAGCCGAACGAAGACTCATCATCGCTGTTGAGCAGGTGGGAGCCTTCCGCGGGGCGCGACATGCTTGTGCAAGCGCCATACGAATGCGAAGCTAGCTGAAGGCTGAAGCGGCCAAAAAGTCACGCAGCGACGAATTGGTGGCATCGAAACGCGAAGCGGGACCAGGTATCCATTTGTTGACGTCGGAAACGGCACAACAATCCGTGTCGCCTGATGAGGCGGAGTTCTGCTGCTGTGCAGGATGATGGCGTTGCCTCGAGCCGATGAATCGCAATCAACCGCCCAAACCGTCCAGAAAACTGTCCGCCTGCTTTTGCGCCCTTCGCGCGGCCATGTCCTTCCGTCGCTGCTCAATCTCCTTGCGCCGTGCCTCTTTCTGTTCCCCCCGCTCCTTGCGGAGCTTCTCTGTCTGGTTCCGCTCCTCCTCTAGATTCTGCATCTCCTTGGCCCTTGTCTCCTCATCCTTGCTGAACTTGTAGAATCCCGTGCCCTTTGTGCGAATTTCCCAGTCGGCGTCGTAGTGTTTCAGCTCGGGCGGCGTTGCGCTTCGGTCTCGCTTCCGTGCGAGGGCCTCCATCTTGTCTGCATCCTCGGGATTGAAAGCCATGGATTGGACCGCGTCGCCGTGGATCAGTTTGCTCGGTGCGCTAGGCCTGGCTGACATGCGCTCCAGCTCCTCGGCGCCGAGCAGCCCGCGCTTCGCCCTCCTTTCGAGACGCTCCTTTTCGGATTGCTTCACGTGTCGTACGCGCCCGAATTCGTCCTCGTGTTCCACCATCTCGTCGCCTCTCCCGTCGTCTCCTTCGTCCCCATCGTCAGAACTGGTCGCATGGTCGTCTTTGCCTTCGACTTCATCGGCCCATTTGCGATCGAAATCGACAAGAGGTGCTGCCTCATTCTCCTTGGTAACGTAGTCACCTCTTTTCATTGCGGCATACAGACGCGCCTTGGTCTCCATGATGCGCTTCGCGCGTGCGCGTTCCTGTGCTTCGTCTTCTGTGCCGGCGACATGTTTGATGACCAGCTTGTTGTCTCTCTCCTCATCGTCTTGTTGAGTCTTTGCTTTGTTACGGAAGACGCCGTCCTTGGGCTCCCGCGATGGTCTTGAGCGTCCCACCGGTGGTTGTGAGGATGAGCCCTTGGACATGAGCGAGCTGAGCTGCGCTGTGAAGTCCAGAGACGATGTGAGATTCGTGTCGCGTTTCTGCTTCTTCGGCGGCCGTTGGCCGTAAAGATTCGGGTCTTGTGGCATGATGTTGCTTGTAGATGTGGAAATGTGTCGGTGAACTGTTGGTGGCGTGAACTTCCAGAAAGTGTGGTGAGTCAACTGGTCTGGTTTAGAGTGCCTTGATTAGGCCACGGTTGCTCCCAGATGCCACGAGAGGCCACAACGTCATCCATGTAGAGGGTCTTGATTTTCTTGAAGATTGTCTTTGCTGTGAGTGATGGATGGCGAACATGAAACGATATTGCTAGAACGTCATTAGCAATTTACAGAAGATATAGGGTAAGCGTCGTAGTGCTACGTGCCGAAATCCGGAGCGGCCCAATTTGCTGCGGACAATTAGAACAACGAGATGGTTCTAAAACACAGCTTGCTCTAGATGCATTTAAATACCCTCTTTAGACTGGAAATATCAATCGACCACTTAAAAGTTCAAAATTCGGCATCGATATTGTGACAAGGTCAACGACGTGAATGTGCAGTGACGTGGGGCAGGCACGCCTTCACCAACATCAACTGTCCCGCCATCGGACCCTCGATTTTGTCCCTCATTCACTGCACCACTCTACAGTCCACCCAAGCAACCACAAACATGTCTCCAGCTAGCCAAGTTAATATTGCTGTTATTGGTGAGCTGTTTAACACTCTCTATGTGCCTTCTGCCATTCTAACTCTATTCTAGGCGCCGGCGGCGTCGGCAAGTGCTTCCTGTCGCAGCTTCAAGGCCTGGCTGCTCGCAAGCCTTCGCCCAAGCTGAACCTCGTCTACATCGCTACGAGCCGCAAGGCACTGTACAACGAAAACTTTGCGCCCATTGATGTCGGCAGTGCCATTGACTCCCTCGCTTCTTCTTCCAAGGCTCCCCACGCCCTGCCTGCGACCGTCGATTACCTCTCCGGCTCGCCTCACCCGGTCGTCCTCGTCGACAACACAAGCTCGCAAGATGTTGCTGCCCTCTACCCATCCTTCTTGAGCAAGGGTATCTCCGTCGTGACTCCCAACAAGAAGGCCTTCTCTGGGTCGTACAAGCTGTGGCAGGACATCTTCTCGGCCGCTTCTTCGTCCGGTGCCAAGGTCTACCACGAGTCGTCCGTCGGTGCTGGGTTGCCCGTCATCTCCACCCTGAACGAGCTCATTGACACTGGCGACAAGGTCACCAAGATTGAAGGTGTCTTCAGCGGTACCATGTCCTTCCTCTTCAATTCCTTCGCCCCCGTCGCCGGCCAAGGCGGCAAGTGGTCTGCCGAGGTCAAGAAGGCCCAGAGCCTGGGATACACTGAGCCCGACCCCCGCGATGACCTTAACGGTCTTGATGTCGCCCGCAAGCTGACCATCCTTGCCCGTATTGCCGGCATCCCCGTCGAGTCGCCCGAAAGTTTCCCTGTCCAGAGCCTGATCCCCAAGGCGCTCGAGTCCTGCAGCAGCGGCGACGAGTTCTTGGAGAAGCTGCCCGAGTTCGATTCGCAGATGGAGGAGGTCAAGGCCGAGGCCGAGAGGGCAGGCAAGGTCGTTCGCTTTGTCGGCAGCATCGATGTCGCCAGCAAGAGTGTCAAGGTCGGTCTGGAGAAGTTTGATGCATCGCACCCCATTGCTGCCCTGCAGGGAAGCGACAATATTATCAACTTTTACACCGAGAGGTACGGGTCGAACCCTCTCATCGTCCAGGGTGCAGGTGCCGGTGGTGATGTGACGGCCATGGGCGTGACTGGCGACCTTCTCAAGGTGTTGAGGCAGATTTCGTAGTTTCGACTATTGAAAATAAAAGTGATTGATGCTCGCCAATAATTTTCAGTGCATGTTCGACCGATGGTGTCTTTTGCTGTCGTCGACAGCCGTGGTTATGGCTCCATCTGGAAGTCTTTCGTCGGATTGGTATTCCTTCGGCCTGTGCCTTTTGCTATTGAAGCAAGTCCGCAATATCCAGAGCACAATGTCGAGAACGATCAGGAAGAGGAACGGGAGGATGAAGAGAAGGCCGATGCCAGCCTGTGCGGGCGAGTTAGCAAAGCGCCGAGCGCGAACCAGGGGGCTTGGCCAAATTACTTACACATGCGAAACAGATGTAGCGAACGAAGATTTGGTAGCTTGGTATCGATAACTTTTCCATAGTCCATGCCGCATCATCTGTGGAGCCTGCCATGGTGAGAATGTGGGATGCTGGTTCGGGACCATGGATGGGAATGTTGTTGATGATGGGAAATGCAGGGTCCATCATCGAAGATGGCCCAGCCGGATCGTCGGGGCCTGCCTCGGGTTGGCCGTACCTGACGACGGCCGCGCACCACACAGCGTATCTGCCGCTCGCCAGACAAGTGTTCACCGCCTTCCCCATTCGTCTCATTATGAAAGTCACCATCACCAAACTTTCTCGTGAGGCTCCCACCCAAAATTGAGCACGGAGACAGCGAACGATCCTGTTGCAGCAGCAAATATGGTCACCGAAGGCAAGAAGAAAGCGCATCGCGCGCAGTACCAAAAGTCGAAAGCCCAGGATGGCCTTGCCCAGCTTCCACGGAAACGCTTCTATCGACAGCGAGCGCATGCGAATCCCTTCTCAGATCACACCCTCACCTAGTGAGTCTCACGTGCCAAGACTTGTCAGGGCTATGACTAACTGTTAAAAGCCCAGCCTCACCGGATGCGATGGACTGGTCAACTTTCTTCCCAAACTACGTACAAGACTCGTCCTCGGATGACGTGAGCCCGAAGCGGTTGACCAAGGATGTCGAAGTGGTGGACATTGGGTGCGGCTTTGGAGGGCTCTTGATGGCGCTATCGCCTCTTCTGCCAGATAAACTCATGCTGGGTAAGGTGAACCTTGGCGTCCTGTTAAGCGCTCAAAAACTGAACGATATTCTAGGTCTCGAAATTCGGTCTCAGGTCACCGCCTACGTTCAGGAGAAAATATGGGCTTTGCGTACCCAAAACCCTGGAGGTCCCTACCAGAACGCCGCCTGTCTCCGTGCCAACACCATGAAGTTCCTCCCCAACTTTTTCCGCAAGGGTCAACTCAGCAAGATCTTCATCTGCTTCCCCGACCCGCACTTCAAGGCCCGCAAACACAAGGCGCGCATCGTCTCGACGACGCTCAACTCGGAGTATGCGTACGCGCTCCGCCCGGGAGGTATCGTCTATACAATTACAGACGTCAAGTCGTTGCACGAGTGGATGGTGGAGCATCTGGATGCACATCCGTCATTCGAGCGGTTGAGCAAAGAAGAACAAGAGGCGGATGAGTGCACAAAGGTCATGATGACGGAAACGGAGGAGGGGAAAAAGGTTACGCGGAACCAAGGCGAGAAGTTCGTCGCGCTGTTCCGGCGCCTGGAGGATCCGCCGTGGTGAATGAGTAGTGTGGATGAAAGAGCTATTATGATTCATTTGAAGTGTATACTGCCATTTGGGTGAGATGAAAGGTCGTGAAGGACGAGTCCCTTTTAGTGACAGGAAGCTGGCAAGTACATGTGGGCAATGGCCTGGTGGTTTTGCTGCCATGAAGAACCGTGGGACATTGACCGACATTGTGATTTTATGAAGCAGTCCTCCGTGCTTGAATTTTACTATTTGGCGTCCTGAGTATTTATTTGAAGAAGCCCTTGACCTTTTCCATCTCGTCCCAGCTGCCCATGAAAATGCCGGCGCGGTCGTGGATGTGTTCAGGGGCCACATCCAGCATCCTCCTCATCTGGCTGTCGACGGCTTGGCCACCAGCTGCAACACGGTCAGATGATTTTCAAAACACTCGGAGAAAGAAGAACTCACCATTCTCAAACACTTGGGCCATGGGCGCGCACTCGTACAGAATACGCAACTTGCCCTTGGGGCTCTTCTTGTCGGCGGGATAGGCAAAGACACCGCCGTACAAGAGGGTTCGGTAGGCATCGGCCACCATGGAACCGATGTAGCGCGAGCTGTAGGGCTTGCCGTCGGCCTGGGCCTGCTTGAGGGAGTTGAAGTAGTTGTTGGTCTGGTCGTTCCAGTACAGCGAGTTGCCCTCGTTGACGGAGTAGATGGCCCGCGAGCGGGGCAGGCGCATGTCCGGGTGTGTGAGGATGAACTCGCCGACGCCGTTGTCGAGGGTGAAGCCGTTGACAGTGGCGCCCTTCATGGTAAGGACGAGCTGGGTCGAGGCGCCGTACATGGTGAAGCCGGAGGCGAGGAGCTCGGCGCCGGGCTTGAGGATGTCCTCCTTGGTGCCGGTGCTGCCCTCGGGGAGCTTGTGGATACCGAAGATGGTGCCGACGGAGACACCGGCGTCCAGGTTGGAGGAGCCGTCTATGGGGTCACAGGCCACGGCGTAGCGGGCGCCCTTGGCGTCGCTGAAGAAGATCACCTCGTCCTCCTCTTCGGAGACGAGGAGGGCGACCTTGCCGCAGGAGCGCATGGCCTCGATGAAGAGGTCATTGGAGATGACGTCGAGCTTCTTCTGGTCATCGCCCGTGATGTTGGAGGAACCTGCGAGGCCAGTGAGATTGACGAGGGTCGCGCGGCGGATGTAGTACGCAATTGACTTGAAAGCGAACTGCAGAGCGTGGCAGAGGAGCCTTGCGGGTTGTTAGTTGAGTTGCTTCTCACCGGGGGGGGGGGGGGGAAACCAGGCTCACGTGAAGTCACCAGTAGCCTCGGGAAACTTGGCTTGCTCTTCGGTCAAGAAGCGAGTCAGGGTGATGATGTGGGTGTTGACCTTTTCGGTCTCGCCCATGCCGTTTGACATTGTGCTGGTAATTTGTTTTTGTCTTGTGTGTCTGCGAGAGAGGCTTTGGAGAAATCGCAACGGAGTTGTTCTTGGTCAACTTCGTGTGGGTTGAGTCGGCTGGCTTATGATGAAATCGAGGGCGCGAAAGAATCACGATGAGGGGCACGCGGGGTAGTTTAGCTGTCACGAGACGGAATCCAGAGTAATGATTGCAGAGGCTTCGAGCCGTATTTATAAAGAATGAACCGAAAGATGGAGAAGAATCAGCCATGACGACTGGCGGGCCGGTAGTGTTTTAATCAATGGGCACATCTCGCGGCGTCTACCCCGAGCATCATCACCCTCTGCTTGCTCTCCGGGAGGATCAGGGGCACCCCACGCCTGTTGTCTCCAGATGCGCGCCCCGAAAGACGCCTTTTGACTGCATCGTGACACATCTGGCGGTTATCATCGCCCATTGTCATCGGAGAAGCTGCCATTGGCACCCAATTGTCGGGTGGGCAAGAGAATATCCCGGGTCGGCGGAAGGGCTCGTCCTCCCTCGACAAGCTACAACGCGACCTTTGGGGCGGCCTCGATGGGAATTCGGGGTACGATTGGATTCTTCTCCACATCCGTCTAGCTCGGCTATGCAATAGCGAGATGCATCTTCGTGGAGCCCAGACTCTTGACTGATCCGACGTCTGAGCCTCGAGGCGGTTCTCAGTTTTCCCGTGTGGCTAATGTTGGCTGTGGCTGGCATTTGCTGCCTCAGGCGAACACAGTTCACGTGCGCCGTCGTCGGCCGTCCCGCCGGGAGGCACTGCCACGGCTGGCAATGTTCGGCGACGCCCTCCATCACTGAGGTGCTTATCCTCGCCTGTGGGGTCATCAAATACCTCGGCATGTGAGTCCGAATTGCTCCCCAGATTTGGGAACGCTGCTCATCTGGGGCAACCACCATCATCATCCATCGTCGCAACGGGCTCATCCCATCCCCATCGCGTCGGCTTTTTCCCTTTGGACCCTCATCGACAGATTGATCACTGATATTGACCATGGTCGCCGACACGCTCGTCTATCACCCTTCGGTGGCGCACTACCTCAAGTTCCTCTCCACGACACTCGGCCGCGACAAGCTCCTCCGGACGATCCAGTACTTTGCTCGCTTCTACGCGTGGTACCTCCTCCGCACAAACGCCACGCCGGCCGCCATCGCGCCATGGGCCGCCACCAAGAAGCAGTTTGGCCTGGTCCGCAAGTTCCTCCGCATCGGCAAGAACATTGAGCACCTCAAGGCCGCCGCCACCGCGACTGACGCCAAGAGCATGGACCCCGTGCTGCGCTACACGACCGTGGGACGACAGCTGGGCTACGCCGGCTACCTGACCTTTGACGCCGGCACCGTGCTGGATGCGGCCGGCATCCGCAAGTGGGAGGGCGCAAAGAGGCTGCAGACTGAGGCATATCGGTTCTGGGCCATGGGTCTGACCTTCAGCGTCGTCGCCCAGGTCTACACTCTCTGGAAACTGAAGCAGCGCGAAGCAAAGGTGGACAAGAAGGACGGCGAAGGCGTCGTCGAGAGCAAGCGCATCACAGTGTAAGTGATCCTGTCTTGTACGTCGAGGCGTGATACTAATGAGACTGCGCAGGGAACGCGCCGTGAGCAAGATGCAGCTCACTTCGGATCTCTGCGATCTGACTGTTCCTCTTTCAGCCCTTGCCTGGGTCAACTTTGACGACGGTGTCGTTGGTCTGGCCGGCACCGTCAGCAGTTTGATTGGCGTCTACAACCAGTGGAAGAAGACGGCCTGAGGATCGGATGTGTATACCAAGTATTTCTATATCATATCTCATGCACCTTTGCAGTAGAAGCGTCACAATTCAGTGTTTTGTAAGAAAAACAACACATTTCTATTGAAGTTGGTGCGAAATTGAAAAAAAAAAAAAAAGGAAAAAAAAAGGGGGACGTGGGCAGCAAGTCAGGTCTGCATAGTCTTACAACACTGAGCCCTCCAGGTCTTCTGCGGCTATATCGCCCAGCTCAGACATCTCAAGGCCAGCAGCCCTCGTATCGCACATACCCACCATTAAAGAAGAAGAATCGTTGGTACTTGCCACGTGTGAAAGCCCCATCCCATGTTTCTCACGTCGACCCAGATTCCATAAAACTTGCCACGCGTTCACTTCCTGTTCATTGTACACTTTTCTCATGCGGTGGTTCGGACTCGTAGGCGTATTCGTCTGCTTGGTTGGTAACAATCTAGTACCTCCAGTCAAGGACGGTTCCGCCAAAGGGCGCAGCATAGATCTCAAATACAACACACAAATGCAGAGTGCAGAGAGCAAAGAGATGTATTTACCAGTAGCGACCACCGCGTTCATAGTCGCGAGGTGGGTACGGCGCATCCCTAGGCGGATAGCCACCTCCCGGTGCATCTCGCGGAGGGAAGTCCCTGGGTGGCGGAGGGCGATCATATGGCCGAGGCGCACCATAAGGGTCAGGAGGCGGTCCGTAGTCCCGGCGATAAGGGTCGTCGTAGCGACCGCGAGGAGGTCCTGGGGGAGGGTAGTCGTCCAAAGGTCCACGAGGGGGCGAGCGGTAGCCGCCCCGACCGCCACGGTCATCGTAATAGTCGCGGCGAGGGCTGCGGTCACGGTAGCCGTACGGCGGTCCGTCGCGACGAGGGGGACCCCGGCGGTCGTAGTCATCCATGGGAGGAGCACCGTATCGACCACGGCCACGGAAGCCACCTGGAGAGCGAGACCTGCCTCGGGGGGGTGGAAAGTCTGGCTGCGTCTGGATATGGTCAGAACCAACAATGTACCGGATGACAGGCAGAGAACCTACGTCGGCAATGCATGTGACTCGGCTTCCCTTGAACTCGGTGCCGTCCAGTTTCTCCACGGCGGTCCTCAAGTCAGCGGCGGATTCAAACTCGACAAACCTAGATTGTCAGCAAGGCGTTTGCTCGAGCAGCGATGAGCGTCTTACCCTTTGCCGCTGCCATCACGCGGCGTCTCCGAGTACACAACGTCGAGACTGGATTGACGGGCAAAGTCCTTAAGGTCCTGTCCAGCAATCCAAATAAGTCACTGTCCGGTGACGACGGTCCGGGCATCCGGGGGAAGAAAAAGGGAACAGACCTGCCAGCTGGTCTCTGCGGGAAGACCAGTGAGTTGCATGCGGTGAGGCGTTCTCCGAGGGCGGGGCGGACCGCGCTCACGAGCTCCATATTCACCAGGGCCGCCGGGGCCGGGACCTTCGCGCTGGCGGCTGCCTCGAGCGAATTGCACGGTGAGTCGCGAGCCCATGAGATCCGATCCATCTTGCCAATATTAGCGGGGGAGTCCAGGGCACCGGGATTGACGGTCGCATCACGTACGGAAGGCTGGGAAGACAACGTTAGCAGGAGAATCCAGCGTCGCTCATCGTGCGGTGCGTAATTACCTGGAACGACATCGCGCGCATCCATGGGATCCTTGTACTCGATGAAGCCGAAGCCATTCATGAGCTTGATCTCCGTAATCTCTCCGGTGCCATGGGTCGCAAAATGCGTCTCGATATCAGTCTTTGTAGCTATTCGTATGCAAGAAATCCGCGTCAGTTGATGGTCCCTCGATGCAGTAGCCAGAGCGAACAGGAAGACTAGGAGAGATGGCGTATGGACCTTCGCGTGGGAGATTGCCTAGATACAGGCGGGTGGCCGAAACTTCGGTCATGGTGACCGTTGGGAACGGAGCACGATTGCTCGCGCGACCTGGGGGAAGCCAGAGGGAGGGAGAAAATCCGGTGGGAGGACTCCTTTTGTTCGAGCGCAGAAGAGAACACCGGGCCTTGGAGTGGAAGATGATAATGGCCGGTTGAGATGGATTGGGAACGGACTCGGATTGGGGATGTTGCTGAGGTGATGGCGGAGCGCAACACTCGATCACAAGGTGAGGAGAAGGTCAGTTGTGCCGTGCCGTGTTTGCGCGCGTTGCTGACATAATAATTTGAGCGCCCCCGGATTTCAGAAATTGGGACACGTAGCTGCATCACTGCATCATCATCAGATTGATCGACTTATGGGAACACATTACGGCCACTTCTAAAGTGCAACATGCTAACCTCGTTCGAGCCTACAGACAGGATAATCACGGTATCTATTAATTTGATGCGCCTAACTCCATGCTATCTCCTATTGGCTGCCCTGGCCGAAAAGCACAGATACCACTTCGTCTAGAATCGTAAACATCAAGTGCGCACTAGAAACTGTTAGCCCTCACACAACACATGCTACACTGGAGACCTACTTGAGTCGTGGGTTGTTCAAGGTGGCAAAGATGCGCCGACTGGCTACCTGTGCGTTCACCCTGCCCACCACGTTGCCAGCCAGATCGGGCACCAATGTCGCGAGCATCAGGCTTGCCTCGGTGCGCGTCTTCTTCTTCTCCGCTGCTGTGCGTGGCTTGCGCTCTCGGTTCAGCTCGCCGCCAGGCCAAAGTGATTCTTGCACCATGGCTACGTAGCGCAAGATGCTGTCCTCGTGCACCAGCATCTTGACATTGTCACGCACCTTGCGCTCAATCGTGCCACCTAGTAACTGCTGGAGAACCACCACGGCAGCACGGCCTCTTAGCCAGTTATTGCCCTTGTTCAGTTCAAAGACCTCCAAGAAAATGTCGCAGATCGGCTTGATAAACGGCTCGAGTTCTTTATTCTCGAATGCGTTCAGCTCCGCCTCCGCCTCTGCTGCTGGGAACGTCTCCTCGTGGACATTGATTGGCATCGAGTTCAGTTGACTCGTAGCTGCGGCTAGGAGGTTTTGGCCTGCCACCGATATCTGGTCCAGCACGGGAATGTTGCCAAGAATATCCTCCACGCCGTCCGTGACGGAGTCATAAAATCGTGTCATCATGTCCTTCTTGTCTGCGTGATCCATAATGTCCTGCGCTTGAGCGAGCGGGCTCTGTGAGAGGAACGCTCTCAACTCACGGCTGCGGCACACGTCGGGCAGAAGCAGCAGCTCTCGCATGAACTTTTCCAGAGACAGCCGTCTCTTCCGCAAGAACTCGCTCTGGAACTTCATCACCACGCGGCGTCTGGGGAAGTCGAGGTTGCGCACCGACGGATACCGCGATCGCAGCTTCTGATGGAGTTCATGGAACTCGCTGTATCGTCGAGTGACAACCCACGAGGCTGCCGGCATCTGCTCCCCTGCATCCCGATGCACTTCAATCACGTAGAGCGCGAATTCTCTCCCCTCCTCGTCTTTGCCGACCTGGATGGAGTTGATTTTAATCGACGATCGGCCGTACAAACTGTTGTCACTCTCTTGGACTGTGTACTGGGAACGCTGGAGCTCCTTTCGCCGAATCTCTCGTTGGAGACTAGCCTTGGATTTCCTCAAGATGCGGAGTTCGGCAGTGTTGTTTGTCAACTCGGCCTTCCTCGTCAACGATTCCACAATGGCTTCCTGTGTTTGCAGACGGTCGATATCAGCTGTCAAAACGGCAATGGCCTCCGCCAGACCAAGATCCCCAGGCGCCGCCTCGTGGACCTCATCTTCATCTTCGCCCGCAGCTGCTTCTTCACCATCATCTTCCGCCGGGAGGTACTTATCCTCGTCCGCAAAAAGGTCATCGTCGACAAATACGCCAATCCGCGACGCCGCACTGACGAGGCCGAGAGAAGATAGACTAGGCTTGTCAGCCTCTTTCCCACCGCTGAGCACAGGCTGGGCCGAATCGATTGAGCCGCGATGCGAGTCGTTGTCGTTATTGGAGAAGCCTGCCGATCTCTGATCCTCAACCTCCGCGCCAAACAGAGACTCTCGCAGGTCTTGGGCAGTCTGTGGCCTGTCGTCGCCCATGATGTTACTGAGAGCTTCTTCCATGGCCTGCACGACCTGAGTATCTGGTCCTTGCTGCCCGCCTTGTTCCAGACTCGCGACAGAATCGGCCATGCCGTCATGATCCAAGTCACCATCGTCAAACAGAGGTGTCGAAACTCCCTCATCCAATGACCTCCTACCAGGCACATCGGGCCCGCTGCCACCCGCGTTCAGCGCTCGCAGGTCAGACGTCGATCCAGCGCGTCGTGTCATGTTGGTTGGCGGAGCTGCCAGCCTCGAAATTGGCTTTGGCTTGGCTTGGTATGATGCTGAAGCACGGTACTCTGGTCTCGGGGCAGACGAAGTCGTCGTGTTCTCCGGAGGCGCTGGTGCCGGCGCAGCAGACTTGCCTTGCGCCGCCTCTTCCGCAGCGAGGCACTTGTAAAACAAGTCGGACTTTTTGAAAGCTTGGAAAAATCGATTCTTCATCTCGTCTAGTACAGCTGTCTGCGCCTTCAGAATGGCTTGTCGCGCCTGGTGATACTGGGTCGGCGTTGCGGCCTTGCCTGCCCGCAGGAAATCCTTCACCTCCTGCTTGGACGACGCTGGAACCTTGAGCTCTGGCTTGGACAGATAAGCTTGTTGGATTTGCTGCAAATCGAGCCGGTCGGACTCTGTCCACATGGGCAGGTTCGGCGGCAGCTGTTCGTCATCGTGGCCTTCGTCCTCCAGCGGATTGCGAAAGCCGTCGACCACGAGCCAGAATTGCACCAATGACATCAAGCCTTGCCGGTCCATGTACTCCATGAAATAGGACAGACCAGAAGAGTCCCGAAGAAGCTCAACGAGCGAGGCATCTTGAAGTCGCGACGTCGTAGGTACGGCCGGCGCCATGGCGGTCGCAGTACGCTTGTCCCCTCCAGCCGCAAGAATATTGACCTTTTGGTCTAGAAGTCGCTTCCCCATTTCCAGCCGACGCACATAGACAGGGTCCGGATTGTCCTGCAACGAATCTCTCTTCAGCTGACTCGCCACTTCGCTGCGGAAGCGGCGTGCGTCCGAAAGATTGTTCACCTTGCGTATCGCGCGGATGAACTTTTCAAACTTGCGTTCACCGTCCCCTGGATTGATGCGCGGGGCCAGCGCCTGCTTGCCCGCCTTTGGATTCGGCGATGCGTGTTGGTCGAGCGCCGCCCTGAGTTTCCGAACAGTAGACCTATCCTGCAGCATGGAACGACCGTAGTTTTCCATAATCTGGTTCCATGTATCCGGGTCGGACAGCATCTGGAAGACGGGGAAGAGAACTGCGCAACCCACAATTTCCCGTATCAGCGTCAACACGGCCCGGCTAGACAGCATGTAGTATGGAAGAATGCCTGGCACAACCTTTGCAACGAGCGTCCTTAGATGATCTTGCTGCACCATCTTTGTGTCGGGGAATGACAAGGACGCCGCCGGGTGTAGCCTCCCATCCCTGTACTTTGAGGCAATTGCCAGGTCCAGCTCTTCTGACTCTGTCACCGATCTGTTGAGTTTGCGCCCTCGAACCGCCTTCTCGGCATCGTAGAAGTCTCGGAAATGCGTCGTGAGGATCGGCACGATACAACTCGTGATCAGCTCGGCCAGGTCCTTGTCACGGATCGAAGCTTGCAGGCTAAGCAGGGCGTGTCGAATCGCTTTGTTGACTTCGTTCGGGAACGTTGGGTTCGGACTGATGTGTCCATACCAGCTCTGTATAAAGTCACGCGTGACGAGGTCGAGGACGTGCTGGATACTATTGGTCACCTTGGGCGATTCTTCGAAGAGCTGGGGTCGGTCGTAGGTCTGGCGCTGACGCAGGGCCGCAACCTCCTTCTTCCAGGAAACGTGGCCCGTGAACAATGCTCCTCTCGATCGCCGTGTTCGCTCAGCTAATCGTCGCGAGCTCAAAAGCAAGACCGCCAGCAGGCAAGCCAAGGCCACAAGGATGCCCGCGACAAATGCGTATCCCACCCAGCGCAAGGCGGGCACCCACCTCACGGCAAGGCCCCAGGCCACGAACACGGCCACAACCGCGAGGGCTGCATCGCGTCGCGTTAGGAGCATAGTCGCATCGTCTTGGTGATGTTGAATGACGGCAGAGGACCTGGGCGCGGGGTCCTCTGTGGTGTTGGCCCTCGGTTGGCGCTAGTCCCAAAAAAGTGCTGTGCCACACCTCGTCGTCCGCAACCTCCAAAAAAATGTGTATGCTCACTTTGATTATGCGTGTCATCCTTACTGCGAACCAGTCAGTTGTTATACAACGGTGTAGAGTAAGGCGAAATTTACGTGCAGGGGCCATGCTTATGGCTATTAGCTTTATTTCAATTGAAATAAGGCAAAGGAGACATACCTAATCTTCTCTGTCTGGCGGATGTTAACGGGGTTCGAACTGCTGACGTGCGGGGTAATAACATACATCGTTTCAAATTTGACTTGTGCTCCGTAGAGCAACAGACTGATCCATATTTTACATTTATAAACCCTGCCACAAGTTGGAACGTGCAAGGATCGCGCCGCGACGGCGTGGACGGACTTGCGGAGTGAGCGGATATGGATGGCTGGGTCACGGATGGTGGCTGGGTGGTGGGGTGGCGCAGCCCCCGCCAACTGCCAAAATCGGCAAGTTATCGACCAATCACATGTCGTTACGCGGCACACGTCTCCGGAGGCGCGTGGCAGTGTGGAGGCTGAACCGCTCGCTTCATGAACCTCACCACACAAGCACTGTTTTTCACTGCTTCACGCAGCAATAAGCAAATGCTATGACCCTGGGAATTGCCGGTTCGAGCGCCCGTATAGGCCGAGAGAGGGATAGACCAGCGCGCAGCGCGCGAAACTGCTGGCGGGCAGCAGCAGCAACCTCGACCGCCGCCGCCGTAGGACAAGGAGTTGAAGGAGGAGGTTGAGGACGGCGCCCGGTGATACCATCGACAATTTAGTGGCCAAGTCCGAGACGGGGGGGTAGGCTAGTTGCTCTTGGAATGTTGAGCTGTCGACCACTCATAGTATATCCTGAAGACAGCTACCAGGTATGCTCGGCCTCTAGATACTAGAGATCGCCTTTGTAGGACATCCAAAGAGCTTGTATAGCACATCAGGGCACTCAAAGATCAGATTCTCCACCAGTAGGTCGCCTAAGCTTCAGCATCACTTGGATCGAGATGTGCAGACCTCAGTTTAGTCTCTCCAAATTTTCATTCCCTCTCAGCAAGACCTTTCGAAAACATCGCACCTTGCTTAACACTGAGCCCCGTACTTTGCGAGCGGCGTTTCATGCAATCAATTTCTTGTGAGAAGAGCCGCTCCATCAGAACAAGATGAGGCTGGTCAATACACTTGCTGAAGATTGGTGGAGTTAATACAAGGAAAGCATGGTCTATCGACTCTGCCAATGTCACATCGAAGGCTGTGCGAGCAACTCAATATTGAGTTCCATCGTTAAAGGAGACCTCCGATTGAGTACAGGGCGACAAGGCAAGCAACTCTCTGTTGTATTTCAGTGCTGATCAAAAGCAGGACCATCTATCCAACCAGCTGCTGCCTGGCTTCGGTTAGCAAATCGACCCAAGACATAACACGACATGACACAAGAGTTCTTCGATGAAGTTTGAGATGTGACTCTGTCGCCCCAAGCGAATCCACTGCAAACCTACCTCGGTAGTCCTTGGGAAAAGGAAAATGGTCCGTGGGATACATCTTGCTTGATGAGACCAAACAGACAACCAAGACGTTGTTTCAGATGTCATCGCTGACGACCCAGCATTGCCGATGCGCCCACATTGTATTCAACACTCTCAATAATATGCCGAATCCGTTGTTCCAGTAGCTTGCGAAGCCAGAGACAGTCGTAGCTGTCGGAATGAATCGAGCTGCCTAGTCACTACAGTGGAGCTTGACAGCATGAGAAGAAGCGCAAGCTTCTACTCTAGAAACTTTAAACTGTACCAGCCCCATACAAGGTGTAAGTTCAGGTGACTGACTGACTTGAGGTAGGCATGGCACTTGACGGTATATCGGAACGATTCAATACTGGTATCCGAGGCTGCAGGAGATACGGGCAGGCTCCAACTACCTGACTTCTGGAGTTCCAAACGACCGATCCAGCCCCCAAAACAAAAATCCCGATGAGTTTTTCTTCGACATAATCATCTACTCCCGTCACAACGATCCCTTTGCCACTGTATATGGCGGCCGGGCGCCGGGTTTCTAGGGGCGATCATACAGGCTCAAGCGAGGACACTATAGTTCAAGCTCACTCGCCGTCGCTTCAGTGAGAAACTATTGAATAGAAAAGAGA